GGAAATCTCGTATGCTGAGAGGCTGATATATACGATCTCTTACACTAGTTCCTCCACCAGCTTCATGACTAAATCCAAACATTACGTCTTGCTTCAATCTCGTGTCGGGTGTAACAGGTACCGCTGTTTTCAGCTGTCGAGCTTAACTTCAGCTCTTCCTTTCGTAGCAGTTATGTCCCTCTGGGGCAAATTCTCTTAGTCTCCATTACGTTAGTGCTACAATTTTCAGCTGTACTCGTCTGTCTAAAGAACAAAGAAAACGTCGTTGGAGGTGAAGAAATAGCTTTGCTACCCAACAGAGCATTATGACCCAACCTCAGGGTGTAACTCAAGTCTGATGGACATGATGTCTATCAAATGGCTCGTTACTGGCGTGTGGATTTGTTACTTGATTGGACCTGTGGAATATCAATCCTTAATCATGATTTCAGTCTGGCATATTTATCCGTTCGGCCATTCTGGACTTGGCGGTCGAATGGTCACACGAGGGAGCGTTGCTGCCGCAGTCTGTTGAAGATGCTGCTTCTTAGATGCAAAAAGGCACTGGTGGTGGTAGTCAGGTTATGCGGGCTTGAAAGATGTAGCTGGATGGTCGGTCGGAGGTTGCAGTTTCGGAGACGCAGTTGAAACGGGACCTGCAGGGCCATCCCTGGCTGAGCATGACTTGGCGCTACTCAAATCAGACCTCATGTCTTATCGCACTCTATGCGCTTCCTCAGAAGAGCTAACACATGTTAATCCTGTTGTTATGATGACTTCGAAAACTGATACGAACCTGAAGAGTATTACCTGAAACCTTCAGTCCAAGCCCGATCAAGCGCCTCGTACTTTTGTCCCTCCTAGTATCTTACACCTTCGCCGACCTAGACCGATCTTGCGCCCAGTCCATACACGTACGGACGATTATGGAGAAAGAAACTTGGATTACAGCATAGATAGCCTTCAGTTGGGTAGGCGCTGTTGCTCAAGATGTCTGATGAAGCATGATGCAGGGTACTGAGGTACACACCGACCACATCGACACACCGCTTTGGTCCCCCCTTTATCCATGGATACTGCGAAAACGAATCCAGGCGGTTATACATAAGACAAGAAGCTTGCGGATGGAAAGTTGTCCGCTCGTTCCACGCAAGCTGCATTGGCCGCGTTAGGTGGATATGCACGAAAACTCTATGACACGAGCGCTGATTTTAACCGAATTTCTACAAGATAACTACGTCGATCTTACTGTAAACTGCTCGCAAACACAAGAACCGTTGCGTGTAATCGACGCTATTGGGATGGCCCTCGATCAGCCACTGTCTATATATTTGAGTAAGACCAATTTGAATCCTAAGTGAAATCTGGGCGGCATGGTGCCTTGGGATGCGGATGCTAATGTGAGCCTTGTGGCCACCGTGCACTCCAAGCGGGGTGCTGTACGTTCAGAGTTCGACTCGGACTGGGTCTCTTTTTTGCTCTTCTTGTTTTTGGGTCTTTGTAGCTACGCATGCCTTTTCATCCTTCTTTGTTCGTTTCCAGTTCCGTTTCCGAGCATAGACTCTTCACATCGCAACCTTGAACGGACACTTGTAGTACTCCTTGCAGGGAGGTGCATTTCGCAGTTATTAAGAAGGAGAGTCACTTCGTCAGCAAGCCCCGCAGGAGTACGCTGCCAGCATCTACAGCAGCTACAGTAAATTCTGCTGCAATACTGCGATGCGATCATCGTGAGCTTTAAGTGTAGATTGTTCATTTACGCTCGTAGTCTGTAGGGCATGCACCGTGTGTGTGCGAGTTGCAAGTACACGAGTGAGCAGAACCAGACACGTCCTTTGAAGACTGTAAAGAGATCGTACAGCCGCCGCCAATACTCTAAGAAGCTCCATCACCTTGCCTCCTACGCGGTGTCAATCCGACAATCCTCCGGGCATGCCCGTCGATGGTCGCACCGTCAGCTGCGAGCTCTCTAGTCAGTCCTGCCACCTTGCCCCGGTACCGGATTTCCAAAGCTTAGCGTCATGGGTAAAGTATCCCGCTTCACATCTTCACGCACGTGATCTTATCATTGACAGATCATGACGCTTTGGATCCTTATGCTGTCTTACGTCGGAGGGGGATGTACATGCTCACAGCTTGCAAACCGGAATGCAGAAACTTCGAAGAGGTAAAACGCAGAGAAAGAATCCAACGGTACATGATGCTTGGAAACCACCTTTTGGAACGCTTCAATCGATGACGTGAGGGCTCATGACAGTACAAGAAGACTGAGCAAAGACTCCTGGTTCCTGCCTTGACATCCTTCCGAAGAACTCTGAATGCAAATGCCTAGCTCTACGCGAGTCCCAATCCTCCCGAACTTGCCCGACGAGTGGTGCACCGCGACTTTCAAATCTTTCAACTTCTTGCCAATGCCTCCACCTTCTTCGCCAGAGCGGCTTAGTCGCTGTTCAGACCTTCCATTGGAGCTGTGTCGAAAGCCGTGGGGGTCAAGGCCGACATTGACGATGAGGCCGGTGGAGTTGAAGCTGGAGTCTGAGCAGCTAGCTCGCCGAGAAGCGCGTCCAACGGGTACGGTGTTCCGCTTGGGGCGGCCTTCAGGTGAGCGAGACCGTGCTGTTCAAGCATACGCTCCAGATGCTCGATCTGCTGCTTCTGCTGCTCAATCTTCTGCTTCAAATTCGCGTTCTCCTCCAGTGCCTCGCCATGTAATCGCTTGTGGAACCTCATTGAACTGGCATGTCGATCGTTCAGGTTCTTCACTGCCTTGCGATGCGCGTGCTCGAGATCCTGTGTTGTCGTTGGAGACTGTTGACCAGAGACTTCGAGAAGACCTTCCGATGTTCTAGCTTCGAAAGCGGAATCTTCTACTGGGGGTAAGCAAACACTGCTCGCGATCGTACGAGAGAACAACTTACCCATGATCATGTCTTCTGGATCTTCGACAGCTTTGGTACGCTTAGTCGGCGGATCAGGGGACGAGTCGGAGGCAGCGCGCTTGGCAACTCTTAAGGTGGATGGAACTGGCGGAACAGCTGCGTTCGAATCCTCCATGGAATGAAGCACCACGGAAACGTCTTTGGCAGTAAGGAATGCCATGCGCGGCTGTCCTCGAATATGAACTTGCTCTACGAGCTTGGTACGCACCCATGGGATGTCTTTGGTGAGTCGAGCGATACTTACGATTCCTTTCCTTACCCGCATGGGCCAATCTGCAGCCTTTTTCTCAATGCCATCTTCGTTCTTCGGCCGAATAGATGCTGGTACTACGTCGTCGAATCCACACGACCAAAGCTTTTGAAGCCTTGCTTCGTAAGTCCGCTTCTTCCTCCCTGTGCCCTGTTCGTTGGGAACCTTCTTCGGCGTACCCTTCCCGTTCAGGCCGTTGTCCTCAGCGGTAAGGCTCTCGAACGCAGTGGTAATGGCATCAGTTGGGTCCGACATCTTGGTTTTTGACTTGTGTTGGCTGTTGCTGTGATGGAGCTGACTTGGAACGTTCGATCTTCTTGAGCTTTACTTAAAGCCTCGCTTCTTGGTGTGACGTCGATCGCTGGTGAAGCAGATTCGCTCTTCACTGCTACGCTGCGTGACATTAGTGCACCTGCCAAGGCCCGGCGTCACCTTCACTGCTCAGTTCGCATCAACCTTTTTGTGGCTGGGTAAGTATTTGATTGGCCTATTTGACAGAGTCGCAATTGAGCTGACGTTAAGCTGGAGTTGCATGAGAAGAGCCTTACTCTCCTACCGATTTGAAGTAGTGGAGTTGAAGGTGGCATGTAATACAGAGTAAGGAATAGTTGTGGACGCTAGGCGGGAATTCGAGATTGGAGACCGTGGAGGACGTACGTACCATGTAGCATAAAGATAGCATACGTCTGCGTCTAGCAGGATAGCACCGAGCAGAGCTAATGCTGTCAAACAGTCGGAATCTAGCTGTTCGCCCATGCTTAGTCTATTTATGGGAGTCCGCTGAGCGATCGAAAAAAGCCAGGTAATGAATAGCCTTCACCGCAAGATTCCTTGCCGCGTGAAGTAGAGTGAAACAGGAGGCCCGGGCGCATGAAGCCCTTCTTGGAGCGATATCATCAATGGAACGTTACACTCTAAACCATGGTGAGACTCGAAAGAGGTCTAAAGTCTAAAAAGGACAAGAATCTTCTTGATAGAGAAAGCTTCCGAATGCAGAGACTAAAGCCAACCATGCCATCCAAGCATATTGTCTTCTACCAATATTCTCCCGTAGAGCATCGCTAGCATACTACGGCTCAGTTTGAACGCAAACGCTAGCCGATGCTCCGATGCTGTATGTGACCACCATGACCGGACGAGCTATCCTGCCAGACTAGTCCGTGATATCCAAAACCAAGTGCTCCCAGAGAAGGCTGCCGCTGTAAGTGCGGCGAAGCGCATTCGACGTTTGCAGCTCCATGCATTCCGGCGGTACTGAAAGCTCTCGACAGCAGACTTTGTCGTCCAAGAAGGCGCTATATCGATTTGACGGCATGTATCCGCTCTCGCAACCGAAAAACCTTACACGCTCTCCGGCGTTCCTACTCCCTCATCGACGACGGCAGGCATCACGGGATCCGCCGTTCTCGCCCTTGCACCGATAGCACCACCGGGATGATTCTTCTTGAACACCTTCCGCGTCCTCTCGCCATGGATTCTGTCCACAGCGGTAAGAGCCAGCATATCGCCGATGGCCATGGCGACGGTCGTGCTTGTTGTAGGCGCCGCAACGCCAAAAGACTCTTCTTCGGACTCATGGATCGGTCCAGGTAGTAGTATTGCGTCAGGGCGGAGGGCTAGGAGCGGACACATCGCCGGTGTGGTGTGCGATGTGAGAACGAGGATGGGAGTGGTGGACGGGATGTGAGGGAGCAGGGAGAGGAGCTCGGCTGTGCGGCCGGAGAAGGTTATCAGGAGAAGGGCGTCATTCTGGAAAGCGAACTCGTCAGCCAACTGTTCTTTGGCAATCCGAGTGGTGCGGGTCTGTAATCGAATGTAACATACCGGCCGTACGTCCCCCAGGTCCCCGTGCAGCGCCTCCCCAGCGTGCATGAACGAGGCCCCCAGTCCCAGGCTCTTCATCGTGGCCACCGTCTTCATGCCTACGAGTCCGCTCTTGCCGACTCCGCACACGACGAGCTTGCCGCCGGCCTCGTTGACGTTTACGACTGTCTCGACGGCGCTAAGGAGGCCATGCTTGGCTGCGGGATTAGTCTGGTAGAGCCTTGTAACGTGTGACAGGGCCGTAGCTTCCGTGGAGAGGACGTGGACTGCGCGCTCGAGCGTGTTTGCGCTTTCAGGGTCCTCGATGGCAGCGGGAGGAGTGGTGGGAAGGGTCCGCTTGCGCTTGAGGGGGCGGAGAGTCGGTATGGGCGCAAGACTCAATCCCTCAGTATGCTCAGGTGTTGGAGAAGGGAGGGCGGTCAATGCCATGGTGTATGATTGAGGACAAGTAGGTATCAGCGTTTACAAAACGCTGGGGCGACTGAGGTGAGAAGTCTAAATAGTGAGAGAGAGTGTTCGGCGATTAGGTACCTCCGTGATCAACCCCAAAACAGGCCGGGACGAGGGGATAAGAACGGCGGTTGACAAGGAAGACAGCGAGGCGCAGAGGCCGCGTTTGTAAGCTGATCAGGAGCGGACATGATGACTCGGTGAAGTGCGGCGCTCTGATCAGTCCGAGTGGTGGTTGACAGGAACATTCTTAGCGCATCTCATGCATGTGAGGCCGCGGTCTCGGCCGGGAGTGTTTAAGCTTTTTAGTGTCTTCGGCGCTTGTCCCGAATCAGGGTCCAAATCGTCCGCGAATCGACCGCCGCCAGCCACTCGATGAGCCACGAACTTCAGGGTCTTGGTGCCTGAGGCATCAATGACGCTTGAGACGTGGAAGAACCAGTGAACAGTTGTACGCTATCCATCGTTCTCTAATGTTCTTGGGGCGAAGCAACCGACGACAGTCTAGCACACAGAGTACTTTGTCGTGTTGATGGTGGTTGGGCATAAAGCAGAACAGGGGACGCTTCCGTTGGTTTCCCGGCGACTTCCCTAAAACTACATCTCTAGCATAAGGGGTATCTGAGAGAAACAACGACAACAACATCTGCTCCTATGCCTTGCCAAACCGCCAAAAATCGTGCGCATCACCGATAGCAGCAGTCCCTCTCTAGCTCCCCTCGATTGCTGGAGGAGATACAACAGCCTGCTGAGAGAAGCTTCCACCAGGAAGTCAGCATCCGGTAAGTCCATCAAAGAACGCACAGGGGCTTCTTGAATGGGGAAGCACTCACTCCATCAATGTCTGCGCGGCATCGCTTTGCCGTTTCATCCCGGCGAGGATGGGAGCGGCATCCATTTTCTCCTGAGGGAGGCCCTCTGCTACTGGCGGAAGCGCGGAGGCGGGGGAAGAAGGGGCGGAGGTTGGCTGCTGTGCAGCTGGTGGAGGTGCGGAGGGGCCGGGAGAGAGAGCGGGAACAGCGTGTTTCGCTGCTGGTGCAGATGCATCAGCGGCAGGCAAGGCGGAGGAGGTAGGCTGCTGTAGAGATGGCGAAGCCTGTGTCAGTGATGTGCCGTTGCTTGCAAAGGGCGCTTGGTGAACATACGCTGGATGGCCCGGTGACGGGATTGTCGTGCGGAAAGTTACGCAGGAGATCCGGGCTGAGCTTTAGAACTGCAATGCACCGGGGTTGCACGTTGCGGAGAAATTCTGAGTTGACCTTAAGCGTAACGAACAGACGAGGCTTCCGCTTCCACTTCGGAATGGCCTTGAGACGTTTCCGACTACGCTCCTGGTCCACCAAGTCATCTGCCTCTTCGGTCAACTCCTCATGCTTCCGCTTGGTCTGGTACTTCTCGAGCCGAGCCTTGCGAGCGTCCTCGCTGTCTTTCTGCCGAGTGTAGTGTCCCGTCGCGTACTTGATATCCCGAGGAGTTATCCATCCCCAGCTGCGGACATTCTTGTCAGGGTCTTTCTCCCGACGCCACTGATACGTCTGCTCGATATACACCATAGCCATGAGATGATCGTCCCGCGATTCTTTGGAGAGTATAGAGAGTTGCTTGGCGATCTCGAAGGTGAATTTTCGAGCGGAATCTCCACCCACTTCGTCGGGATGCCAATGGAGTTGAGGCACTAGCCACGACTTGAGCGGCATGCCCCAATTTGCACTGATCTCGTCAAGATACGCCGCAGTGGCAGCATCTTTTCCTCTTTCATCTGCGGCGAGGGTGCCTTGTGGTGCGCTGTTGGGCTGTGATGGTCAGCAGATGTTTGTTGATGAGACTAGGAAAGTCTCATGGCGAGCGATAGCGTACCTCGTTAATCTCTTGCTGCGCTGTAGAGGACATAGGTTCGTCCATATTGAGAGTGATGAGGATGTCCTGGAAGGCGATTGAATATTGAAGACAACAGGAATTGAGTGACTTGCAGACAGCTAAGACAGACTTCGAAGAACAACGCAGTGTTAAGGTAGAATTCACGTGTGGGACGGAAATTGGAGAGCGTGATGTAATCGTCGAGTGAAGCACAAGAGAAGTGAAAAGTAACGTGACATGCGAGCGGTGTCCTCATCTCGGAGAAGACTGAGCAGACGGAGAACGGAGAACCGAGTCTACTAAGAAATTACAGTAGAGATACCTTCAACAAGCTCACCTGGTAACTACGTATTGTCCGCAGGTATGCACGGGTTACTAGTAGCGGAGGCAAGCATTGTTTTGATTGCTCGAAGTTGCCGAAACTTACTAGCAAAAACCTCAAGAAACCAATTCTTCCCACTATGACAGGAGGAGAACCGAGTGAAAAGTAGCTTATCGGCTCAATTAGTTATAATGCACTTGCAATAATTGACTGCATGCTTCTACAACGAGATCCATTGCTTGCTGTTGACACAGAACGTGGCAGAGACACTGCACTTACAAACGAGCTTGGATTCTGCTGTCACAAGATGCAGGCTGCACATGTATATCGCAATGCCTGAATTCGTTCTCAAGCTCGGACTGTAGAAGGCCATTAGCCCACATGGTGCAATGGGCGTCGACGGATCATCAATGGCGTAATTGAGCGCTGTTGCCCCTCAAGCTCGGCTGGAGGTACGAGTCTTTTTGTTCGAGTCCTCTTGGTACCCTTATCTTTTTTGCATTTTGATTCATCGGTTCGCTTGGCGTGATCGGATTGATTGATGTGTGTATTGCTGTACCCGGAGCTCGTTCTTGAGATTCTTCCATTTTGACACTTCTTCCATTTCTGCTGGTGCCTCTCTTCCACCTTCTCAGGCTCTTCGCCTTCTTTTTTGAAAGTTGCACATAAAATCGACAGACTTTGAAGGAACAGATTGCGCAACGCGATAGATCCTCAGGATGCTGTGCCACACACCGCGGCAGTAGCGATGGCCTTTCTCCTGCTCATTCTCTGGAAACCTGTCGCACTTCACAACGAACATGTGGGAAGCGGCGCGTTCTTTCCATAAACTTCATCGGCATCGTATAGAGTAGTCAAGCGTAGGCTCCTATTGTTTTCCGATCCTTTTTATGCCACCCATTGGAACGCAAGGTCGTCTTGAAAGATCGCAGCGTTGAATCGAGCCTGCTGAGTCGGGTAGTAAATCTTCGCACTCGAGCGCAGTGATATCTCAAAATATTATGCTCAAGCACTCTATCTACATCATCAGCCGTCAGCGAAATATTATAAGTGTCAATCAGCACCGAGAGGTAGTCTTCGTTCTGCGGTTGTTTCAACAAACCCAGATTAAGTCTCGAAAGTATACCATTCATCCAAAGGTCCGTCGCGGTGTTGTTCGAGACGGACGAAGGGCTGAGTTTCATTCCAGATTTCCTCATAGTCACGGAGCCACATCATTCAAGATGCGCATGAAGTTTGCTTCAATGCTGCAGGTACGTTGACGTTCAGTTAAGAATGGAGAGGAGCGGTAAGCTAAGGGTTACCCCTGGAAGGGAGCCAATGACAGCGCGAAACCCCTGTTCAGCAAGGATTCAGGGACCGCAACATGGAACCAGCATCGTGCTGGCAGCCGTCTTGATTAAATGAAGGTTTAACAGTCACAGATCTCTCCTGTGGTACTCGCAATTCATTGAGTAGACAGCTGGATACCTCGCTTGTTGAAAGCCGCCTTCACTCATACATAGGATGTAAACCGGCAACACTACTACAAAAATTTACCATTTTTACCACAGGTCTTTCGAAACGTACAGGTGGAAACAAAACGCCGCCCAATGCTGTCTGTCGCCTAGTGTGCCACCAGCCCCAGAAACACTACACCGCTGCTATGCTCTTTCCACAGGCTTAACGCCTTTGTGTATCGCTGCAATCCCACCCGTCAGATCCTCCCACCCCTTTCCTGGTACGACGAATCCAGCATCCTTGATCATATCTCTGAACTCCTCCTGACTCGGGAACTTCTCGATGCTCTCCACCAGATACTGGTAGCTCGCCCTGTCACCGGCCACTAGCTGCCCAATTAAGGGTATGGCGCCAAAGCTCCACCGCTTGTACACCTCATTGAACAAGCCGTTATTAACCTTGCTGAACTCCAGACAAGCGAACACACCACCAGGCTTCAGCACCCGGAAAGCTTCTCTGAGCGCAGTATCCTTGTTGGTAAAGTTCCGTATGCCGAACGCGACGGTATATAGGTCGACGCTGTTGCTCGGTATCATATCCAACTTCTCCGCATTCGCCTCCACAAACTTCAGCCTGTCGCCCTTGGCATAGCTCGTCCCGAGCGAGCGCTTGCGTCCCTCAGCCAGCATATCGGAATTTATGTCCGCGACGGTCACGCGCGTCATGTAGTCGTTGTGGATGTTAGAGGCGTGGTCCAGCATCCGGAACGCGATGTCTCCGGTGCCGCCGGCGATGTCGAGGATGTTCCAGCCTTGGGCGGGCGCGGAGGTGGAGGATGTGAGGGGGTTGGTGCCAGGATTGAGGGAGCGCACGAAGTGGTCTTTCCAGAGGCGGTGGATCCCAAGGGACATGAGGTCGTTCATGGTGTCGTAGGAGGAGGCGACGGAGGAGAAGACGGCGCCGACTGCGGTAACGATGTGAGCTTCGGATGGCGTTGAACAGGTAGGCAATTACCTCGCGACTCCTTTAACGACTCTGATACCGTCTCGAAGCCAAAGTGAGTCGTCCTAGGAGGGTTATCCTCCGGCTGTGGCGCCTTCGTCGCTGGCTGCTCTGCATGTCGCACCGAGCTGGAAAAACATCTGTACGGTCCTTGTCTGGCTGCGAGCCTGGCGCCCTGCAGCAATTGCCGCCTCACAGCAGGCGAGAAGGTGCTCATGGCGGTTTGTCTATAGAAACCCGACAGCCCAGCTCCAGCGCTGATCATGGATTCTCAACTTTCCAATCTCAGATCCGATAAGATCAAGATTAGATGATGAGATCCCTGGCGGAGACAACCGACGGTAGCCGTACCACAACCGGCGCGTCAACACCAAGTCCTTGGAGTAAGAATATACAAAGCCTGAGGGGTTCCCGGATCCAATTCCTCTTGAGAATGCACAAACGATCAGTATGTCTCTGCGGGATGTAGTACGAAGAGCGACACCGCGAGGGTTGCGCCCCCGCAAGCCAACATCACCCTGCACCGCCCAACGATTCTCCCCACAGTGGCAGCGATGGAGCTCTATTTCTCAGCGGCCAGGCTCCGATCAGTAAGACCCGCCCATAATATGCAGACTCCCACAGACCTTTAGCTGACGGGCTGTAGTGTGCATTTCCCCGGCGCAGTCAACAGCAAGTTCACCACTACCCTCGACTACGAGCGGCCCTCCGAGAAGCCCGCCATGCCTACATACCGATACATGGACCAAGACGGCGCCATAGTAGACAAGAACAGGGAGCCCATCGACATCTCCGATGAGGAGGCTATCAAGATGTACAAAGACATGCTCACAGTTAGCATCATGGACCTCATCATGTTCGACGCCCAGCGACAAGGCCGGCTAAGTTTCTACATGGTCTCTGCCGGCGAAGAGGGCATAGCCGTCGGGTCGGCCGCCGCGCTGAACCCGTCGGACGTCATCTTCGCGCAGTACCGCGAGACGGGCGTCTTCCAACAGCGGGGGTTCAGCCTCGACGAGTTCATGAGCCAGCTGTTCGCGAACTGCAAAGACTATGGCCAGGGACGTAACATGCCGGTCCACTATGGGAGTCGGAAGCACAACATTCACACCATCTCCTCTCCGCTCGCGACACAGATCCCGCATGCAGCCGGCGCGGCTTATGCGCTCAAGCTCCAGGCGGCGCAGAACCCGAACGAGGAACCCCGCATTGTGGCGTGCTACTTCGGCGAAGGCGCTGCCAGCGAGGGAGACTTCCATGCCGCGCTAAACATCGCGGCTACGCGAAACTGTCCTGTCGTATTCATCTGCCGGAACAACGGGTATGCGATCAGCACGCCGACACTTGAGCAGTATCGCGGGGACGGCATTGCAAGCAGAGGCGTTGGGTACGGCATCGAGACCATCAGGGTCGATGGCAACGACATCTTCGCTGTGCATGAGGTGACGAAAGAGGCGCGGCGCCGGGCGCTCGACGGCGGCGGGAAGCCGATTCTGATAGAAGCGATGTCGTACCGGGTTTCGCATCACAGCACTTCTGACGATAGCTTTGCGTATCGCGCCAAAGTCGAAGTCGAGGATTGGAAACGGCGGGACAACCCCATCACACGGCTAAGGAAGCATCTAGAGAGTAAGGGGGCGTGGAACGAGGACAAAGAGAAGGAGGCGAGGAGCTCTATCCGGAAGGATGTGTTGGCTGCCTTCAATCGAGCCGAAAAGGAGAAGAGGCCGGCACTGAGGAACATGATGGAGGGCGTGTACGCGGAGCTGACGGAAGAGCAGGAAGCGCAGATAAGGCAGCTGAGGGACATCATCGAGCGATACCCTGATGAGTACGATGTATCGGAATTTGAGGGTGGCCTTGATGGACTCGGTGTTAAGTGATTATACATGAAAGCAGTCGTCGAGGTTCATCACCACAATTAAGTCTAGTTTCTGTTGCAGAACCACACCTTCGTATCGCAACGCAAAAACCCTCATCTTACAATCGTGGAGCCAGTCAATGCCAATTACCATGAACCATGTTCATACCTTCGTCTCCGTCTCAGCGTCATGGTCTGAACGAACTGCAGTACCCCCGAAGGTTTCAACAAGTCCATAAGTTTCCTGAAGTATATCCAGGCAACCAAAGAGCAGCGTGCTTCGTCCTTCGTGCTTCGTGAGTCAACCATCTTGCGGTTCCTGCTTGATGAGACGTGCGTGCGCGTCATCTGAGAGCTTCATAGTATCCAAGCCAGCAATGACTAATGCAAGATTAGCTCGACTAACGCAAGATGTAAGGTACTTCCTTACCTGGGTCCATCGAGGCCTCCCGTCCCACCATCATAAACCCCACCGAAATGTCGTGGCTCATCGAGCTGTGGTGCTTCATCATCAACTCGCGTCTCGCAGGGTGCATGTATCCGTTTTCAGAGCCCCGATTCTCGCCCAGCGGCGCCTCGGAAACTGCTTCCTCGACTTTGGTCTGTCCGACGGTTTCTTGACCGCGCCCTTCCAGCATTGCGCGCAGCAGCGGCTGTAACGCGTCGCCCCTATGGGCATAATCCTCGCTTGCTGGCAGTGACCAAGAAATGGCTTTCTGGGATTTGGCTTTGTTCCGCTCTTTAGTCTTCCTTCCCAGCCTGATCCTCTCTTTCCTCTTCCTCGCGCAATCGCGGTCTTCCCTCTTCACAATGACTGCCAGATCCTCACGCGTCAGCTCTCTCGCGTTTTTGAGGAACTTGTCCGCTTCCTTTCTCTTCGGCTCGTGCTTCCGCTTCTTCTGCCGAGACATGAGCTGCGTGGATGGAGAGCCCAGCGCCACGCCTCCGTCGTCTTCCTGGCGCTCCCGCACAAATTCGACCAGGGCCTTCACCGCTTCCTCATGCTTTCCTTTGGTCAGCGCCGAGTACTCCACCAGCCAGCGGAGATAGGCACAGCCCCAGTCACGAGGATCTTCGGTCTCGCGGTCAGGTCTGCCTATCTGGGCCTTGTGCTCCGGCTCATGGCTGGTAGCGACCCTGGGCGCGATTTCTCGTGGCAGAGCCTCGCCGATCTTGCAATGCCAGTTGCCTTCGATGGCTGCTATGGAGTTCAGGCGGTTGATCTTGGACCTTGACTTCATCTCTGTGAAGGGTCGCTTTCTGGGCAGAGGCCCACGGCTTGGACGTGTGGTCATTGCTGCGAAGGACTTGTCGAGATCGTCCAGGTTGTTCAGGGAGTCGTCGCCGGCAGTAGGTTCTTTATACTCTGACGGTTCGAGGATGCCTTGTCTTGCCTTTCGTTTGTCAGTCATGAAATGAAGTGAAAAGTGAAGGCGGTCACGTGAGGGACTTCCCACCTGCACAAATGTGCGATAGGCGTCGCCTTCCGACTCGGTGCCAGATAGGTCGTCCATAGCTAGCGTGGCTTATCAATGTTGTTGGCGGAATAACGAATCTGCTGGCAAATGTTGATTTGAATGATTGTTTGTGGTAGTTAACAGGACATGCAACTTGAATATTCAAGCTTAAGGAAAGAGCAAACGAACACCGCTAAGTCAGCTGAGCTAGAAACGCCACTAAACCTAGGTGGACTTCACAGAAAGCTTGAGAGCCAGATGTTGCAGACCAAAAATGTTCAATACTCCTTACGAACGCCGGTGGCTCAAAGGTCGGCCCTGATTGACGCCTCAAGCAGCTTAACGCTGACTACGAGTCCCTTGCTTGATACTTACTAACAACCTGTATTCTCACGAACAGCCAAACGTCGTGACTGACACTGATGGTGATGGTTGCGGAGTGCTGGCCGGTGAAAAGTGGCAAGCGACGCATGGAGAACCAGAACATTACCGTATTCGACGTAAAACGGCATCCATAGTATGACTACGAATATGAAAATACGAAGCACGAAGGCGCATATGTGGCGACAGTATGACCAAAGAAGAAGAGCGCGATACAGCTAGCGGCGGCTGTCGGAGCCCTTTCGTGTCTCTCTTAAGTCTGCGCCATCATGCTTGCATTTGCCGAGGCCAGGGACCGGGTTCCGTAAACCTCGTCGCCATGGTCGTGGCGGGCTACCAGTCGTATCGTCCACGTCCTTCTAGACCGGTGCTCGTAGTTTGAGAGCCACCATACTCTTTGCGATCGTAGCTGATACCGTCGCCGTTCGCAACTACTACCACTGCTGCTCCCCAGAAGCATTCGGGCCGGTGCGACGTTCTACGGCAGGATTGGTATTGCCGTATGCGGAAGTTGAAGTCACGGTGCCTGAGACGGTTGGACTCAAGATTCATCGTTCAAATGGAATAGCTTGTATCAATTGTCTCGACTCTGAACGAAATTTGAAACACTGCAATCGAGTTGATATCCCTCCCGAGAATCGGCTGGTTATCAATGGAGCTCACGAAAAAAAAGTCTGCCGCCATGTGTCTGTAGATGACAACACGCAGAGTCCTTCAGTGAAGCTCAAAGGTTTCGGCGGAAGATAATCGAATTGGCGTTGGTACCTAGCTCCTTGCCGGACCACCTCTTCATCCTTTCACCGGCGCGTCTTCCAATCCAAGTCCCCCAACCTCACCCAAGAACTCCCCGTTTCTCTCTCCTCGAAGCAGCGCATCCACATCCACCGCACCGCTCGTCAGATACCTTGGACTGACTCCAACATTGACTCTCTGCGCCAACAAACTCCTCAGCTCCGCCTTCATCGCCTGCACCTCCCCCTTACTCATAGCCCCCGCCACCCTCTCCGCTTTCCTCCGTCCAGCACCACGTCCCCTCCTTCCAGGCGCATCCCCCTCAAACTCCTCGCTATCATAATCCACGCCCAAATCCTCCGCAGCTTCACGCATCCAATTATCCTCGCTCTTCTTCTGCTTCTTCGCGTTCTCCGTATCCGCGATCTTCTTCGCCAGCGTGGCTCGTGGCTTCAATTTCGATACGATCCGGCGATCGATGTCCAGGGAGCGGATGAAATACTTACTGTCGCTGCCGCCTCTCCTTGCATGGACTTTGGCGACGAGGCGGCGGACACCGGCGACTTCTTCGGGGGCGCATATTAGGATGCTGGAGCCGGAGTTCTCGGCTCGTGCTGTGCGGCCTGAGCGATGCACGTACATGTCCGCCGCTCGCGGGAGGTGATAGTGGATGACGAGTTGCACGCCTGGGATGTCGAGGCCGCGAGCTGCGACGTCGGTGGCCACGAGGATGGAGCCTGGTCTAGCGGTGAACTGTTCGACGGAGCGGAGGCGGGCTTTTTGCGGCATTTGGGAGTGGAGACCTAGCGCCGGAAGGTTGAGGTTCTGGAGGAAGGGCAAGAGGCGGCGGACGGCGGATATGGAGTTTGTGAAGATCAGGGTGCGGGTGTTGGGATAGTGTGTAAGTAGAGCGTAGAGATACAGATCCTGCGCGCTATCATTAGTATCGAAGGAGACATGGCCTGGGGACAAGTTCTGCGTCTCACCTTTTCCGTGCCGGCGCATTCCACTAGACCCTCTTTCAGTCCTTGAGCCATTTGTTCGACTGGATTGACGTCAATGAACTTCGGCTTGTCTTCCCGAAATCTAAGCTTCTTCAACAGATACTCCATCGACTCTCTCTTGTCCATGAGCTCGCCACCGAATTTGCCTTTGGCAGCAAGCTTCTGTTGCAGGCCTTTGTGGAACGTCGCGGAGAACACAAGCGTCTGCCTTTGTTGTTGCTCAGCCGACGAGTCTATATCGTCGTTTTCTATGTCCTCATCATCTTTATCAAGCACATTCAAGATCTCCTCAACCTCCTTGAAGTGCCCCTCGCTCAGTAGGCGATCAGCTTCGTCTACCACGAGGAACATGATCTTTTGAAGACGCTTGAGCAGGCCTTGCCCCTGACTGATGACTTCCCACAACCGCCCCGGTGTGCCAATGATAATATCCGCTTTTGAAAGCAAGCGTTGCTGTTTTTGTATAGACAGCCCTCCAGTAACAGTCGCTATTGAGGGCCCGTCAAAGCTACTATGGGAGCACAAGGCGGTCAAGTGCGCGGTGATTTGGTGCGCCAGTTCTCGTGTAGGCGAGAGGATAAGGGCCAGCGGTGCATGGGTATCTTCAGATGCCTGTGAAGCTTTCCGCCGACCTGTCTTACTCTCTAGGTAATGCTCTAGTATGGGTATTCCAAACGCCAGCGTCTTCCCCGAGCCGGTAGAAGCCTTCCCTATCACATCGTGGCCGTCTAATATCTCCGGAATGGCAGCCGATTGTATAGGTGTAGGCCGTGGAAATTTGAGCCTCGATAGTGACGATAGTGTGGCTTGTGATAATTCAAGCGAGTCCCATGCCGAAGTGTTCACATCGTCCTCCTGCACCTCGTCACCCAACCCAGCAAACGCATTACTGCCCCGATTACGAGGCTCTGAAGTGCCATTTGCTCGCTCTGCACCCTTTTTATGCTCCTTCTTTTTCTTCTGCTTCTTGTCCGCTCGCGCAGGTGCCGCTTTTGCTGGGACCTTCGGTTCCTGGGCCTGATCCTGATCATCGCTGCTAAACCCTTCCCACTCTTCGCCGTCGGACGGCTTATCAACAACTGGCTGCGGTTCCCTGGTATTACTATCTTTCTGTTGCCCCTCTGAGGCCTTGCGCTTCTTGGTGGATTTCGCCGTGCTCCGTTCCGCCGTCTTGAACGATACTCGGCCATCTGTTGCGCTCCGGACTACTTCCACGTCGTCGATCTCCTCTAGGCCGAAGAAACCTTCGTAGTTGTCTAAGCGATCCGGCAGGGCCACCTCATTCCATTCCAGATCGTCCAGTCGGACCTTGGAGCCGTTGGCTGCAGGTGCTGAGGTTTGCGGCGTGCTCCGGTAGTCAGCGTCGCCGCCTGCTATCTTCTGTCTCTTGCGAGCTTTCACAGCAGCATTCTTTGAAGCCAGCGGCCTCTTCCTCTCGATCGGCGTCATGTTGACGAGGCTCTCCAGGAGAATTTTTGAGCTCTGGACGTGGGGCGTAGATTTTGTTTAAAGGTTTCATGCGGAAATCCTCCAAGGCCTCGCGTAAAACTTCCCTCGCGCAAACAATTCACATGTGCGGGAAGTGCGCGCATCCAAACTTCGACTCACCGCAAGCCGGTCTTTATGTGTATACACCATGGGGAAATCTTCGAAAGACAAGCGGGACGCCTACTACCGTCTGGCAAAAGAGCAAGGCTGGCGCGCTCGCAGTGCGTTCAAGCTACTGCAACTGGACGAAGAGTTCAATCTATTTGAAGGCGTCACGCGTGTCGTCGATCTCTGTGCTGCACCCGGAAGTTGGAGTCAGGTTCTGTCTCGCATTTTGATCAAAGGCGAGAGCATCGGGCGTGCGGCATGGGACAGTAGGCAAGCGAAGGACCGACTCATCATCGATGGACCATCAATAGAAGACCCGCAGCAGCCTGATGGGGAGCCCATCAAAGAAGAATTGAAGCCAAGAGCAGGTGTCAAGATTGTGGCTATAGATTTGCAGCCGATGAGCCCATTAGAGGGTATCACAACGCTGAAAGCAGATATCACACATCCTTCGACCGTCCCGCTGCTGCTCAAAGCTCTGGATCCAGACACCTTCGATCCATCGATGACCTCAGCATCTCATCCAGTGGATCTGGTTATCTCCGACGGAGCTCCAGATGTTACCGGCCTACACGACCTAGATATCTACGTGCAGAGCCAGCTGCTCTGGGCAGCACTAAACCTCGCACTCTGCGTACTAAAGCCCGGCGGCAAGTTCGTCGCCAAGATCTTCCGAGGGAAAGACGTCGACCTGCTATACGCCCAGCTGCGACTGGTGTTCGAGAAGGTCCGGGTTGCAAAACCACGCAGCAGCCGCGCTAGCAGCATCGAGGCCTTCGTTGTATGCGAGGGCTTCTCCCCGCCCAATGGATTCAGAGCTAGCCTGGACAATCCACTCGGTGCAGGCACGAAGTTGCCTCCAAACCCGGAACTAAAGGTGGAGAAGACCAAGCCTTCCCGCCGCTTGCGGGAAGATGGGATCACAGAGCTCGAGCTTGGATCGGAGTCAGAAGGAGATGAGGAAAATGTCCGCTGGATCGCGCCATTTTTGGCGTGTGGAGATCTCTCTGCCTACGATGCTGATGCATCGTATCACCTTCCGAAGGACCGGCAGAGCCTTGACCCAGTACAACCACCCACGGCGCCGCCGTATAAGAGGGCGCTGGAGATGCGGAAGGCTGCCGGTGGAGCATACGGCAAGACCAGGAAGACTTGAGTTTTCCATCATTCCTTGTATGACGCGTCCTCTGGGCCTTGGCAACCTGTGGTTTGTCTAGGCCGTATCTAAGACAACCTGGAGGGGCGACTGTCTACCTCCGTAGGGATCGTTCAGGGCGTCGATTCTAGTAGACGGAGCACCATTCTGCTACTTCATGGCATAGAAGCAGCGATTGTGAGACTTAGCGGCCCCTGGCTCGCTATGCTTCAGACTCGGGTGCAGAACGAGTGATTAAGGACATCAGCGTCCGCGAAGTATATATCGAAGGTCATGGCTGGCAGATTAGTCCACCTCGGACATTGCGGACTGCACTTCGTACTTGATGCAAAGACTCTGAGGGGCCGAGCAGGAATACGGAACGCTTAGTAATCATAGATAGCGCTATGAGGAGCCCTGCTATGTGATGTGTGGGCCGCCTTCAAGCCGCGACCAGATTCAGCGCAAGAATCATCGAATGCGACGTTGGCGTAGTGCAGAGTAACATGCAAGCTTTAGATCTCATGAATGATTCATCTCCTTGGCCTGATCTGCCTAGACCTTACCCTCCCTTTTGCTCTTGTATCTGCGTATGCCACAGACATCATGGATACAAGCGCACCGGCTTGGCATGGTGTTGCAGATTCCGGATGATATGCCAAGACATGACAGCCGCAGTTGAACCGGTGAAGACCAACTTTCCGTCTGCCCTTGCCATCGCGAGAAGCTGTCAAGCACCTTGATAACGACCCTCTTCGCCTCGCCCATCTCCTCACAGCCTACCCATCGCAACTAGCGCGCACCCTTTGCGGCTTCCAGCACTGCCTTGCGCTTCAACTCCGATCGCCTCCCGTCGTTGCAGCAAACCCCCCTTCCGCACACCACAAGCTCTCCGCACACACAGGAAATGGATCATTCGCGAGACCCCTGCCCATGGGTGGCTCTGTCGGATTTCGGCGGCGCGTTCTGCATGGGAGTACGTGCTTCATCGCTCCATGCCGCCTGCGATTCCTACAGCAGCTGACATTTTCTCTAGGCAATAGGCGGCGCAGGTAAATCGTCATCAACAGAACAGCATCAGGAACACAAGGCTAATATAGGGGCAAAGTTTGGCATGGCGTAAAAGGTGCGTGACAGCTCAACGCAGCTGTCCTGGGTACTTTGCTAACTGGCCTGCAGGATTCAGGAATTCGCCCTACGGCGAGCGAAGAATTGGCGGTATGTAGCACCATGCCCTAAAACCCCCATCGACTATCATTCCACGCACCTCGGCAGGAAGGGCGAGCATCATGCCGCACCGGATTGCTTCCCTAACTGTTTCAATTCTCGAGCCGGCGGCTAATAATCTACCTACAGCCGTAACCGCTATCAAAGCCCGCGCACCAGTACTAGGTGGTAACTTCGGCGTACGTCCCAACTACAACCTGCAAAAATACCACCACATCCTCCCTCTTCCCTACGACGTCTTCAGACTCTGACACTCGCTAGGTATGGGGCGGTCTCTTCAGCACATTCGACTGCGCAGTCAAGGGTATACGGAAGAAGGAGGACCCGTGGAACGCGATCATCGCCGGCTTCTTCACCGGTGGTTCGCTAGCGGTGCGAGGCGGTGCTAGGGCTGTACGAAACGGTGCCATCGGATGTCGGTTTCCTCTTTCCCTACCTCGAAGAGAAGACAACGAAGCTTCAAGGTATTGCTAGGGATGAATAGCTGACCTCTTTGTAGGCGCAATCCTCCTCGCAGTCATCGAAGGCGTTGGCATCGGCTTCCAGCGCATGATGGCCGAGAACACCCGCTTGGATATGCCTCCTCCGCCCCCCCAACAATCGCAAGGCCAGGCAGCGATCGCCTAGATGCATGGTCCTCTCAACAAGCGGCAATCGGAGCTGTACGGACTGTTCGGCGGCGGGTAGAAATGTCCTTCTGAAGGTCTCATCGAAGTTGTCCACGGAAAGCGAGTTTCAGGGTTGGCATCGGGCTTTGGAGTACATCTATTTAGCGTTTCATACTCCACTCTTCTCCGCTAGGTTTTGTATGTATATGGTCGGGTGGAAGTGGGCTCACGGAAGGGCTTGATTAGGTAACGTCGGCTGCGTCTGAGAGATGCAAAATAGATGGGGGAGTATTGTACATAATAGCGGCGTACTGGGGCCAAGGTTGTACTCATTCAAAATCAAAAACGGTTAGAAGCAAACAGTGCTTCCACTCAACGCTCCACCAACACATAAACCGCTCGAATACTATGTCGAGTGGCCGTCATCACCTCGCATCCATCAGCCAAACGTAAGCGCCGTCCCAGCAATCCTTATCCACGCCTCAAGCGCCACGCTAAACAGCAATATCAACAAGAAACCTCGAATCACAGGTTTCCAATAACAACCATAAACCTCAGCCGCCCCTCCTTCCTCTTCCCCTGTCCCAACATCCCCTCCATCCCCTTGTCCCCCTCCCCGCCCGCGCCAGGTGTGCTCGGCGCCTCCGGGCCCTCGCCCACCCCAGGGCCCGCAAACGCGTCCTCCAGCATCAGCGTGCTGCTCTTCCAGCCCCAGCTCTGGCTGAAGTTGAACCTGTCCGGCGCGGACTCGTACACGGACAGCAGACGCCCGCCCTTTGAGGGCGAGTAGATCTTGAAGTAGGTCTTTATGGTCGGCCGGGCGTCGACGTAGGCGGGGAGGGTTTTCACGCTGCTCCGCGAGGATTTGTGCGGGAGGGTGGAGGAGGGCGACGGGTGAGGCTGGCCGCGGGGACGGTCGGAGCCGCCGCCGGTGTTCTCGTCGCCGGACCCGTCCTCGGCGTCCGAGTCCGAGAAGTTAGGGAAGTTGAGCATGCCGCTCGTGTTGCCTGCCGATGGTGCGCCTGTATTCACGTTCGACAGCCGCGCCGGCAGCGTGACGTCCGACGCCGAGGCTGCCCTTTGCTGGAAGCGCCGGCTCAGGAGGCTAGGCCTGGACGCCGAGCCCGCCGACCCCGTCGACACGAGCGTCGCGTCCGGGTCGCCGCCGCTGCCGGACGTGTCGTCCTCCGCGCCAAGTCCCGCATCCGTCTGCTCCGGCCTGACGCCCCTTCCACGCCTCCTCTCGCGCCGCTCGCTACGGAGCAGCATCTCGCGCTCGAGCAGCCCGATGCGCTCATCCACGGTGCCCTGAGCGAGGCCACCAGCGGAGCCAGCAATGACGTCTTCGGCCTCGCGCTCCTTGGCGCGGTGTAGGTAGACGCCTAGCTGGGGGTTCTTGGCCGAGCGGACTTTCTGGATGTAGATGTTCCAGAGGGAGCCGGCGTAGAAGACCGTGCGGGAGTAGACGCGCTTTTTCTCTTTGATAAGGCGGGGGTTCGGGAACTCGGCAGAGAAGCGGAAGGGCGGGAAGTGGGTGTAGGCGATGGGCTTAAGGGGAATAGTGGAGCCGCTGGAGGAGTTGGGGCGCGCGGTTGTCGAGGTGCGGGCCACGCCTGTGTCGGTGGTGGAGGGAGAGGTGCCGAAGTCCATCGCCCATTGCACGTCTTCGGGCTGTAGTGTGGCGGATAGACGGGAGGCGTGGCGTTGGAAGGCATTCGAGGTTGTGACGACTGGCTCGGCGGTGCCGCCCATGACGATGTTGCAATCGGTACTTGGGATCCAGAATTTGCGTGGCTTTCCGTTTGCGTCCCAACTGCCGGACTCCATGTCATCTTCCTCTTCCTCTGGTACCGTGTCCGCCATCTTCTGCTTGCCCTTTGCCGATTGCGGGCTACTAGCCTTCGCAGACTGGCTGCTGTCGCGGGCGTTCGTCGTCGTTGCAGGCTCTTCAGCGACTTTGCTAAGGCCTAGCTCCAAGTCGAGGTCACGGGCGTTCACAACCCTTTGTCGTAATTCGATTTGCTGCCACAGCGCATTCGTTATAACCGGTTCCGGCATTACAGGAAGTCCCAGGATGTCACGTGCCTGACGAATGTACTGTAGCTGCTCAAAATCGAGATGGACATAGTGGATGCCTTCATCCAGCAATACCAGCAACGGCTCGATCTCTGGGTGCGTGTAGAGAGCTAGCCAGCGATGATGGCTGTCCGGAGTCGCTAGACCGAAGCCCACGGCGTTTCTGCGGTACACCGTGTCAAACCTGACTGCCATGAGTCCCAGCATGTCTGGAACCCGGATCTTGCTCTTTTTGCCAGGCTCGATCAGCCCTGCTTCGACAGCCTTCTGTCTGAGGCGGCGGTCCAGAAGCCGTTTCGCAAGCACCCAGCGATCCCACTCGCTGTCGATGAAGAAGCCGTCACCACCTACGATCTCCCGGATGGTATCACCTGGTATGTCGTCCCAGTACTTCAGAGGCATTTCCCAGCCGTCTCGGCAGAGCATGGCTTTGGCCGAGGCAAGAATCCGCTCGCCGGCTCTGCCGTAGTAATTTGTTGTGACCAACTTGACGAGAGGCGACAAGGTCTGCGGGCTCATCTGACGCAGAATGGCATCAATACTCGAGTCAATGAGATCCTGCATTTCAAGCCAGCATCCAGTGGCAAACAATCCAATGGCCTCGGCGTCTTCCTCAGCAGCGATGTCACATCCGTACAGCCGCTTGATGGCAAGTTCGAATGCGTTCTGTGTGATGGTCGAGTCGATCTCCTCCGGATGCAGCGTGACCTCCTTCGCCTGACTTTCGAGCCATGGCTCGGACAAGGCTGTCGTGAAGAACGGTGCCCTGTCAAGCAGCAGCCGATGTAGCCTGTACTTGTGGTCGAACGCAATGACGGTGATGTCCGAATGACGACCAGCGAGCAGTCCGCGGGTGTAGAGGTGATCGGGGAGTGTAGCGCCTTCGGAGGCTAGTGCTACAGCAGGTTTAGTCTAAAGCCATCAACCGGTGTTGCGTGTGTCCTTACATCTTCTAGCTAATGAGCTAACGGCATAGTTGTGTGAAGACGTCCTTGATGGGTCTGGGGAGTTCAGAGAGGCCTGAGCAGCAAACAGTCGGCTAAGGGTGGTCAAGGTAGTGTGTTCTCTTCTTTCCAGTGACCTTCTTCCGTCACTTGGAGCATTTGGGTCATCCACATCTTTCTCAGCTCGTGAGATCGATGTAGTGTTGGCAGGTATGATCGAGGGCCGGTCATCGTCAAACCGAGCAGTCCGCCTGCTGTTGTTGGGAGAGGCGCTGGCACGGCCGGCTGTGGGACGTGATCCATCTGGAGGCGACACTGGCTGAGAAGCCGCTCTCCCTGCGTCTACCGTGAGCTGTGCAGAGGCCGACGGGCCGGACGAGAACAGAGATCCAGAGGCGGATGAGAACAGAGAAGGGCGAGAGGCGCCGCTGGGTGTGGGCGCCTGGCGATCATTACTCCACGATAAGGTTCGCGAAGACGGATCGAGGTTCAATGTTGAGGCGAGATAGTGCAGGTCGTCTGAATCCCCTTGCTGTTCCTCGTGTTGCTGGTTTAAATCCATCGTAAGAGAGTAACGCCGTTCAATACTCTCTTCCGAGCTCTTGGATCAAGACGGGCTGAATGCTTGAAAATCTTCGAATGTTGCTCCAGTGTACAGGCAGAAGTTTGCGGTGATTGCAAGGACGTCGTCAGGACAAAAGAGCTATGGAGTCAACGCTTGCAATCTTAGGTTGTATTACTGCTCGTGAAGGGCAAGGCATGCTTTAGCAACCCTCGGCGGCAGAGCAACCACGAAGCCAGCGGGCGTATGTGGTACTAGATCACGGTATAATGCTTGAATTTGTGAATCTCGAACCGGTGACAAACACCTTGTGTGGTCGAGAGTAGGGTATCCGGACAACAAGAGTAGACAGCCAGCTTTGTTAGACGGCGATAGGCAAGATAGAGGGGTGAGACAACATTTGGCCGCTGACGTCTGGTGTTTGATGCACGAGACCGCTCACCGCCAGGCGCAAACAGGAAACCGCCTGGAACGGCGGGCGGAGACAGCCCGAGTGGCCGCTCAGGTTCGCCGCAGGGTCCACCCGTTCGGCTGGCTCTCGGGGGGCATGTCAGTGTCATGCACCGAAGCTTGGCCTTTAACCACACCTCAAACCACACCTCTGCACAGTAAACCCCCCCCCCGCCAGCGTCACCGTCACCCCCTATTCTCGCCTGGCCAAATGGTCTCAATCTTTCAGACATTTCCGCTACTGCGGAGAGCAGCACCCAGACTATCCAAGGAGTTCTTCGTCTGCAGTGTCCGTCCCGCTTCAACACGCGCCTCCCAACCTGTATACAGATCCGTCCGCCAGACCCCCTTCCTCCAGGCCTTCAGATCTCAGACAACCCATGCACACAGACCGGGCACGTCAACAGCACTGGGCAGGGATGGCAGCTCCCCGCTGGGTGCATTGAGCGGAACAATTAGCTTGAAGAGCCCTGCGGCGAGGAAGGCCTTCTTCCCTGAGGCTAGCGACAAGGCAGTAGCATATTGGCTCTTTGGCAGCGCAGCAAGCGTCTTCGGCATTGTTGTCTTCGGCGGCCTCACGAGGCTCACAGAGTCTGGGTATGCGAGAGTCCTTCTTGGTAGCATCTCCTACTAACCGTATACCAGTCTCAGTATCACAGAATGGCGTCCCGTCACCGGCTCCCTCCCCCCCACCACGCCCGAAATGTGGAACTCCGAGTTTTCCAAATACCGCTCCTCCCCCGAATTCGCCCTCCTAAACCCCAACATGACCCTCTCCGAGTTCAAGAAAATCTACTGGATGGAGTGGACGCACCGGCTCTGGGGCCGCGTCATCGGCCTCACCTTCCTGATCCCGACCATCTACTTCATCGCACGCCGCCGTGTCTCCGCTCCCATGGCCCTCAAGCTGACCGGCATATGCGGCCTTATCGGCTTTCAGGGCGTTATCGGCTGGTGGATGGTCAAGAGCGGGCTGCGCGATGATCTCTTTGCGCCAGGGAGCCATCCGCGCGTGAGCCAATACCGCCTGGCCACCCACCTCGGCGCGGCCTTCCTCGTGTATTCCAGCATGCTCCTCTCCGGGCTCTCCATCCTGCGCGAGCGCGCGCTGCTCGCCGACCCCCAAGCCGGCCAAAAGCTGCTCGCAACCCTGCAGCACCCTAAACTCCGCCTCTTCCGCCGCTCCGTCGCCGGTCTGGCTGTGCTCGTCTTCACGACCGCCATGTCTGGCGCCCTCGTCGCGGGGCTCGACGCAGGCCTCATCTACAACGAGTTCCCGTACATGGGCCTCGGTCTCACGCCCCCGAAATCCGAGCTCTTCGACCCCTTCTACAGCCACGAGCCCGACCGGTCCGATCTGTGGTGGCGCAACATGACGGCGAACCCATCGCTCGTGCAGCTCGACCACCGCATCCTGGCCACCACGACTTTTACCGCCATCATGGCGCTGTGGGCGTATAGTCGCTTCTCACCCCGCGTCCGGGCGGCGCTGCCGCTGAACGCGAAGAAGGGGGTCAGGGGCGTCGTGCATTTGGCTTGGCTGCAGGTTACGCTGGGGATTAGCACGTTGCTTTATTTAGTGCCGACGTGGTTGGCGGCGGGCCATCAGGCGGGGAGTTTGGCGCTGTTGACGGGGGTGTTGGTGTTGGGGAGTAGAGTGTGGGTGCCGAGACGGATGACGAGGTTGTTGCAGAAACGGTTGGTGGTGGGGGAGAGTGCGCTCAGAGGTGGGAGTAGGAGGGGTGTGGGGTTGGGGGTTGGTGGTGCGGAGCAGAAGCGTGTGTGAGCGTTTGTTTCTGGGGGCTGGTGATGAGGTGAGTGTACGAAACCATTCTTATGATGCTATTAGTATGTTCATGTGTAGCATAGCGTGACGGTGCGGGTTATATCAATAGAGTAGTACGCCCGCGCCTGTCAGGTCCCTGGAGCATGTCCACTTGTGGTTTTGTAAGCTCTGAAGGAACAGTTCCCCAAAGGGCGCATAGGTTAGCTCCGTTGATGAGACTTGTAAGAAGAGTCTTTCAATTCTTTCCATTCTCTCAAGCGGCATCTTCGATCTATGACGGGCTAGCATTCTTTCAAGCTTTAGGATCAGGGCTGTTTATCTAGCACGCTCTTCACTTCGTGTCTATCTCGGTCTCTAGGTGTCATTGTCCATCCTGGATAAGCTGAGGTACCCTTCCAGCCTTAACATCACGTCCTTCTGGTGGCCACTCTGGTCTTTCAATAAATCTAACTCATTTATCTCATCAGTCTTGACATTGCCTTCAGACTGCTCAGCTCACCACCTTCTATCATATCTACATACAGCGTCCGACGCCTCTCACAACACCGCTATTCGGACTCTCTAAGTGAGAATTGCGGCGAGGCGTGTAACCTAACCGTTAGATAACGCGACCTAACCGCAAGGTAACATTCAGATTAGAGATCTTGACGGCCAGCTTTTGCGCGTCCCATCGGCGGTGCTCTTTTCCTGTTCACTAGGCTGTTCACTCGCCAGCCTCTCCCATTTAAACCCCTCCACCCGCCGTCCACCTCCCTTCAAGCTTCAACAACTTCAGCCTTCATTGGTTCGACGGCTTTGACGTACCACAGCCTCTTGCCTAATCATCCATCATCAACACATCTTGCTTAGACGTTGAGCTATCACAACGGTAAGTAAACTGAAAGAGCTAACTATTACTTAACTTCGTACTAAGCTCTTACACTCACGTATAGTAGAGACAGCTCCTATCATAGAACTAGATTCCAAGAGAGTGTGAGTTACTTCGCTTTACGTAAAGTTATCTACGGATAAGAGGAGAGAATTTTTATTAAATGTCACGCTTTACTAACCACCGTTCCGCCGCTAGCGAATCAGCACAATGCCAGTCCTTCGAAACCCCTACGAGGATCTATCGCCTGCGACGCAACAGACCATCGAACAAAGGCTCAACGCCATCCAAACACTCTGGAAGGTCCCGCTTGCCGAAGCCATCGGCGAAGACCTTAGACCCTCAGGCGCAGATCCGAGATCATGGGGTCGCGCGCTCCTAGAAGTCTTGCCGAAGCTAGCTGAGGAGACGCAAGGCGATGTGCCGCTAGTCAACGAGCTGCTCCGCGCCGAATACAACGGCCGACTACAAGGGACCGTGAAGCTCGCTCGTAAAACTACTACCCCCGATCACGGAATCAACGCTGGTGATGTGAGACGGGCAACTGCGGCTGCCAAAGAGCGCAAAGCTGCCAACAGCGCCAGCAAGGCCAGAGCTCGTAAGCGCGCCACCGCCTCTAAAGTGCGCGAAGCCGCCAGCGTCCCCAACAATATCGGGCTAGAGGAAGATGATGGTGACTATGTGCCACCACCACCACCAGTTCCTCGTCAGCGTCCCAGCCAGAATGCTCCCACGCCACGCATCCCTGTAGCGTCCATGACGCCCAGGAGAACAGCCTCACACGTTGACGAAGACTCACTTGTCTTGGGCCTACAGCGAGAGGCGGCTCGATTGAAGACTGAAGAAGCGAAAAGGAAGCGGGAGGAGGCTGAAGTCGAGCTTGAGATAGCTCGCGCAAAGTAAGAACTACTCCACATGCAGCGAAATTGCAAGAAGCTGACCGCAGGACAGAAGGCAGAGAAAATCATGAGACTGGACTATCAAGACCCGACGACAAGGCGCACGATGGGCGTTTGTCCCGTGACTCAGCTTGGGGCTTCCTGCATTGAGAGTCTGAAGGGGCCTCCGAGTCAGTGAGATGCGGCACTAACAGACTTGACACTTGGTGGATATTGGAGAAAGCATGCTTCTTTTGTCGTGCGTCAGCTACATCTGGACTTCTTCATGGTTTTTGCGTAAAAAGGTTTGGGGTTGCACTACTGAATGAAAGCGTTTTTTTGGAGAAGCACAGCTTTCTTCTGTTTGCTCCATGGGTCTATGGCCATTCCGAGTCACACCCTGGAATGGAGATTTTGCTGGAACTCGGCCAGAGAGCGTTGCGACCTTTCCACTATTTTATTCAGCGGGTCATTAACAGCCTCTTTGGTACGATCCTGCGTCGGTAATCCCTCTTACATGTGCTTCTCACCCTCTTAAAACTCTATAGGCGAAAGTCTTGTCGTCCAAGTCCCATTTCGCCGGTTAAGCAGCTATTCGACATGACAGCATCATTCTTTCAATACTGATAAGAGAGTGTGGGGCACGTGATATTATGCTGTGAACGTCCCTCTTATCACCGCAATTTCCACTCGCTAGCCGCACTGCAGTGTTCGAATCGATTTCAGTCAGATTCTTAACTCATGCTCATTAGTCTCTCCTGACACCATCAGCGCGTTTCATTCTAATTCGAGAACATCCGAATCAGTGACACCAAGAAAAGCAGTGGTAGAAGGTAGGTTGAAAGACGCTAACCAGGAATCTCTCCATACCTCACACATTCTCTACGCTGACAAGAAAGCAACGCGCTTTACTCTCGGTGCCCGCTACCATAGACCATCAAGCGCATTACCGAACAGCTACGAAGATGTATCGTCCAACGCCGTTCACTGCTCGAGATCCCAAACTCAAAAATTACGTCGAGACTAGAATCACCACCATAGAAACGCGCTGGCGCTCTAAGCTATCAGATGCCATCGCTTCAGATATGCAGCCCGATCCAGACCCCAGGAACTGGAGCCGCAGTATGCTCGACCAGCTTTGTCATCTATCCAAACTGACGTACTGCAATCTTCCCCGTGCTCAAGAGCTTCTCCGCGCTGAATTCAATCGTCGACGGGAGGGTGGGGTAGCGGGTGCTGTGCGCTACAAGAATGTAACCCAACTCATCGCTTCCGACATTCTCCGGGCGGTGGTAGCTTTAGAACTCGGTGATAACGACGAATCGTACGAAGAGCGGGACGCAACGCCTGAGGTCCCGCATGTGCCGACTACGCGCGCTCGGGCTGCTGCCATGAATACCGACGTTCAGGCAGCCACCGGGGGCTCAGCAACCGCCAGCAAAGCACACCCAACTATCGCCACGCCCGCAGAGACCGGCAACATGCCACGCAAGCAACCCATTCAGCATGGTCCCGAACCTCTTACATCAGCAAACCTTATGGCACATGATGGCACGGTCACGTTCAGCAACGAAGACCAAGAGATTATGGATCTGGAGGATGAACTCGCACGGCGCAAGACCGAAAAAGCGGAGTGCAGGGTAGAAGAAGCGGAGCGCAAGGTAGAAGTAGCTAAGCGTAGGCTGGAGGAAGCTGAGCTCAAGCTTGCCCATGCACGACAGAGGTAGGGATGCTTTCTACGCAATGAAAGGTAATCTACATGCAGCTGCTGACCATAAGATAGGTATGGCAGAAAGCGCGCCCGAACACTCGCCGCGACTGAAGTTGTGGACCTCGGTAGTGAGCCCGACGATGAGCATAGGATGGATGTCGGCAGGAACGTCCGTATTAGATACTAAGGGTATTGGATGGAAGAAGTTGGACGCATGTTGTGACTCGGCGAAAGAGCGGTCTGTACTTTGCTCTCCTATGCATGGATGATGCCTAGCCTCTCTGAGAGTGTTTGCGAGTCTTTGCATGAATAAAAGTTTCAGAAAGCGGTTGTGGCTGTACAGCCAAGTGGAGATTGTTGTAAGCATGAGTTTCTCTTCTGATTTCCGGTAAAGGCGTTTCCATGTTTAACAAAATCCTACACTACTCGTTTCACGTCATCACATGCTGTCTGATCTCTGTTGTCCGTCTCAGTCGACAGACTAATTTACCGCGATTGGAGGCTAACGGTCGGTATCCGTTTGCATTGCTGCACTCGCCCTAGTATCAGGTGCACGGACCGGCAGCTCGTTGTTTGTCTATGAAGCTTCCCCCAACCACCTAGTCTCTGTCATCTGCCGCACACTACGACTACTATCACTACACCAAAACTCGTGAAAGTACATACGCCGACTATCCTGGAGCCCAACGGCACTCGCTAGCAAGCAACTCGTCGGTATCTACCTAGATGAACTTAGTGGGTTTTGATGCTACACGACCGGTGAATTCAATCTACTGAACCGGGTTGTCATTCTAACAGACGACACTAACTTACAATAGCATGAATAGCCTTCGGATAAAACCGGACTCTAGAAGACGGTAAGCTTCTTCGCTAAACATGAACTTCTATGCTGATAGGAAAAGTGGCTATCTTACACATTGCGTTTTTGCCGTCAGCCTGTCGGCGACTGTCCCTTTCTCGTCATCCCGCCACTATGCCAGACCGCAAGAAGTTTGACAAGCTGGCGAACGCAAGTCAGAGGGAGATTGCAAGGAAGATTGGAGTCGTGGAGAGCTACTGGGAGGTCAAGCTGGCTCAAGCAATCGATGAAGATATCAGGCCGCAAGACGCAGACCCAAGAGAGTGGGGTCGCGGCCTACACGACGCGCTACCTCAACTAGCCCAAGTGACGATTGGCAATGCATCTCTGGCGAACGCCTTCCTCCGCGTCGAGGTCAACCGCCGACTTCAAGGTTTGGTGCGCCATGCTTACAGCGACAGCCTCAGCATCGTTGCTGGAGACGTCAAGCGAGCTGCTCAAGCTGTCACTGACGCTGCAAGAGCCACCAACATCACTCAAGCAACCACTCACATTCCCGAAGCTGCCGATGCTGCCGACGATGATGACGATAGTGGACACTATTCGCCGTCGCCTAGCACAACCGGCTCTGCTTCTCATGCGCGGATGTCCGTCACCCGCTTCCGGGCCGCAGCGGCCAGCGCAACCCAAGCAGTGCCGGTTAAACGTTCGGAGGCTATCGCTGAAGCTCAGCGTGTCCTCACCGCGACAACAGAGAGCCTCGACGGTCTTCATCGGCAAGACCTTCAACAACCACTCCAGCAACCCTTCCAACAGGCCTGTCAGCACGTTCCTGAACACCATACGCCGACAACTCCCGCAGGCCATGTGGTGGATCTAACAGTGGACCCACAACAGCAACTTCCCCAACATTCTTTCCAGCACATCTCCGAGCGACATGCCCCAACGATTCCCGCCGTGCAGAAAACGGAGAGCGCAGATGACTTCCGCCCGCAAGCCTTTCAGCAAACTGCTCAGCATGCCCCTGGTTACCCTGTGCCAGCATCCCCCGCAGCGTTCACTGTAGCCCAGGCTGACATTGAAATGGCTGACGTCAGTGAGATGGACATCATGAGGCTAGAGTACGAACTCAAGCAGCACCAGATTGAAGCAACGAAGCTAAAGCTTGCTATGCTGCGCGCAAGGTAAAAACTATTTCAACCGCAGCTAGGAGTTTCACTATTTGCGACATGCTAACGGCAGTACAGGAAGCAAGGACAATCGTAAGATCGCTAAGAAGGAACGTCACAGCGGGGGTTTTCGGGGATACTAGGCTCAGGTTTGCTTGCTTTGGCACGGATGGCGTGTGGGAAGGACTGGTAGTTGATGAATTGGGAATGGTGGGAAACTTGAAAGCAATCCTTTTCCCTAGTGCATGAAGTGTGTCTAGAAGCTGGAGGAAATTATATGAGCAAGGTCTCGAAGCGCGATTGGAGGGGTTGGGACAATCGTTTTAAGGACTTACGACTTGGAACTCACTCTCGGCAATTATGGAAATCTGGCGGGAAGCATTGGCAGCATGGTTGCTCTTGTGTTAGTGGCGAGTCTGCAATTTATTCACGTGATATCGAAATGCGAATCAATCTCTTATTTCCACAAATCCGCTCGACGTCCTTCAATCTGCATCCTCACGCACCATCTTCTTGTGAGGAGATAATCCTTGCACCCACGCGGACATTTGCTTCCCAATTCTTCTCTTAACCTCACGCAAGTCGACTAAGAAAGACGCGTTTCGTTCTAGATCCTCGAACCGACTGCAGTGGCAGCGAATGCGGAAGACGCAGTGGAAGCTTGAACGTCAAGACAGATCGCCACTCTAGTTATGGCCTCCAATTTGAGCGCCGTCGTGAGCCGTCACTCAATCTTTCAACCAGCAACCATAACCAAATTTGTGGACATGGACTCTGAGAGCCAGCGGTATTTTGAGGAAGATGTCGCATCCATAGAGCAACACTGGGGTTGTCGCCTGATCGATGTTATCGAGGAGAGATTCAGGCCCGACCAGGATCCACGGAACTGGGGCTTCAAGATCATTGAGCTATTCGAACGACTGGCCAAAGAAACAACGGGTGATTTGCGCCGCGCTCAGACGCTTATCCGCACCGAATATGACGAAAGATGGGGGCGCAGGGTTCGAACAGCTGCTAGAGACACGCCGCATCTCATCGAAACTGACCTCGAGCGTGCCATTGAGGTTGCAAAACGGGCTAATCGGTCCCGAGCACGCAAACCGCAGCTTGCTGCCTCTGCTCGCATACAGAAGACGGTCAAACGCCCCCGGACTGCGGCTGCGACTCCTCTCACGAAAGCAGACACGGACAAACCTTCCGTGGACTTGGGTGAACACCTAGCTGTAGCAGCTGCTCAGCTCGACCGCTCAAACGCTTCGCCCCAGCAACAAAGTCAATTCATCCCTCAACACCGTAGACTAGCTACAAACACTGTACAGCCTGAGCCGCCAGGTGACACTCCTTCCCTCATCTCCACGCCAGCAGTGCACGCAGAGGCTGCAGAAACCGGTGTTTCAAACGGAGCAACCGCTTCCCACCAGACGCCCACCGTCACACCTCCAGAAGCGTCTAGAGACGTACAACCTGCCAACGCCGCTCCAACCAACGGCTTGGAGGTGGGTCAACATCACAGCCAAGCCGTCCACAGACGCAGTGGACCGATTGCTGCAGTGCACCATCACCCGAGTTCGCGCCACGAAGAGGACGTCGCGATCCTAGAGCTTCGACGTGAACTCGCTAAGCGCAGGACGAATATCGCTAAGCGGAAGACGGAGGTTGCGGAGCGTGAGGCCGACGAAGCTGAGCTAGATCTGGCCATTGCTCAAAGGTGCGGCGATTTTCTGATGCAAGAGCAGTCTGAGCAGATGGTTTGCGGAGAAAGGAACTGGCTGGAACGTAGACGCCGCGCAGGAAGTAGAAGGCGCGTTGGAGTGGAGGATGGGACAGAAGTGATTGATCTCGGCGAGGAATCAGATGGTGTTGAATAAGGGGATATCTCCTATAAGTTCATGGATCATAGCGGACTTCCTTGAGGGAGTGGAAGTTGCGATTAAGGTGGCGTACCAAGGAGTGGCTGTCAGGTGCAGTGTCTCGGTCTCTGATACGTTCCCTGGAAATGATCTCAAGAGGTGGTGGCGGCTATTCTAGTCGCAGTATGGCTATCGCGGGAGGTGTACACGTACCAAATACAGAAGTTCTATCTCAACCGAATTGACATTTATCTAAAGATGCCGACTGAAAGTCACATGACACTAAATCTAGGCACGTGACAATCTTCGTTAAACCACCCTCTTCGGTGATCAACTCGTAGCACACTCCGTAATACTTCACTCGCTCGCTCAATCTAGTGTTGGCACGGCGTCTTGTTGACCACTCCGTGTGCAAATCCGGGAACCCACCGGCGACAAGACAGATCAAAGCACTAAGTACATGACATCTCCAGACTTCCTGCTCAGCCCGATCAAAATTCTTTCATTCAACATAGAGTTTAAATCCATGTGAGGTCTTCATGCCTGAGATCTACTGACCCGTTTCACTCTACTCTTTCGATGAAACACTCTAACATTGTAGGAGTCACCATCACTTCTAGTCACTAGAGTTCGTCTTTCTCATTGTCACCTTCAACACTACAACCTTGTTTCAAGCAGTTCATCCTTCTCGCAGCCAGCGATCATGAGAATGAAAGATTCTGTTCCGGTGCCATTCGTCCACCTACCTGAGAAGAGTCAAGGCTGTGTTGTGGACAAGATTGCGTCCATAGAGAAGCATTGGGCCTCCAAGCTCCCAGAAGCAATTGCTCCAGATCTTCGACCTGCGAAAGACCCGAAGGACTGGGGTTATAGGTTCATACACAGTCTCCATGTCCTAGCCAAAGCAACCACCGGGGATTTATCCCGTGCTCAAACTCTTCTGCGTAAGAAATACCTCGACCGACAGCAGGAAAAGGGCAGGCACATTCGGCGCACGACCTACCTTATCAGGATCGATATCGAACGCGCTATGGGAGCTGTCCGGTTGTCCCGCTTTGATGCACGCAAAATGCAAGCTGGTTTGTCTTCTCTTGTACCGTTGAAGGGACAGGGAAAGCAGCCGGGACAACGCTACGGGACTACGAAGATCGCAGTGGTTGACAGCGGAAACCCTCCTCACGGAGCAAACAGAAGCACAGTTGTGAAGGCCTCAGCATCACAACCTACCCCCGCCGCTCACACCCATAATCCGGAGCTTTCACCACAGGGAACCACCCAAGACGGTCCTGCACTACTACCACCAGCTCCAGCGCCGGACTCGAGTTTACCTTCTAGTGAGGACCTAGAGCTTCTCAAAGTTAAGCTCAAGCTTGCACAACGTAGGCGCGAAGAGGCTGAGATTGAATTCGCAATTGCCGGGATTGCTCAGAGGTCAGTCATGCACGTTGCGTACCATGATGAACACAACGCATCTGGGATGCTAATGGGAGAATAGGGCTCGCTCAAGGCGAACACAGCGTGGCAGCACCTCGACGGAGATCGTAGGTCTTGGTAGCGCGCTCGAATGAAGCATGATTTTCTGACGGAAGTCGACTCATGGGATCTTATCAAGACCGTAGCGGAAGCTGGAGTGGTGCTATAGTGGCCGAACTTGAAGGATCGGAGGAACTAAAGCCTATACTGGTGGTATTTCCGGTGGTTGGGATCCGCGGATATCTGCTGGACCGTTCTTGGGGGTGGATCTTCTCAAATCCCTTGTTTCTGCTTTGAGAACAAACCAATCCAGGCTCTTGCTCCCTTATTGAATCTAACGATTTTACAATTTACTGAAGTGTGACCACAGCTGAGCATACGGAACAGCAGACTGTGACCGGAACAAGGCACCATCCCTGAAGATACTTTGGCTGGTGAATACTAGCAAGAAACACACAAATACGCTAACGGGTATAGTGAATAATCATCACACAGCGCCCAAAACCAACACCGCGTTCGAACCAACACCACGCCAAATCCCACTCACGCACCCCCATTTACACGCCCGGCTTCTCCTGCACACGCTGCTCGAGCACATCAAACTGCACCTCCTTCAAAATCCCCACCTGGCTCCCCGCCGTACTCCCAATACTCGCCGCCTCGCCCCTCCTGGCCGCCACACACGTCGTGCAGACGGGCTCGTCCTTGCTCTTCAGCCCAATCTTTCCAGATAGCGAGTTCAACTTCCCGGATGAAGTGCTCTTCATCTTGAAGCTCTCGACGGGCGTCTCCCTTGACCGCGACATGATCGTTGCGCCCAGCGCCACGCCCGTGGTTGTGAATTTGTTGGCGACGCGCATGAGCACGGGGACGGAGGCGGAGACGAGGGCGAAGGCTACCCAGAGCTCTTCGCCCACGAGCGTGGGGACTATGTCGATGTTGGGGCGGCCGGAGTGCAGGAAGGTGAGGTAGGCGGAGAGGTGCATCCAGGCGGGGATCCAGACTCTGTGGTGTGTCAGTCTTTTTGGGGGGAGTTATGATTGCGATGACAAGGTACGTACATCAGTCTGAAGGAAAAGATGGTCACAACCCAGATCTTTGTCTTCATTGTCGACCTGGACAATCGAGATGGCCGTTGCTACCTGGAGGACAGGCACGAATTCGAGGATGGCTTCGAAGAGCGTGAAGACGATCCAGCGAGCCGGCTGCAGACATGGTCAGCGTCTTCCCGGAAAGGCTGTTTGTCAAGGGGGTGCAGTGAGGGTCGGGTGCGGTACTGATGGGAAGCGGGAGAACGGCCAGTTTTCAGGGGGGTTAGATTTGAAGTCTATTCCGACACCGACTCAGAACAAGAGATGACGCACGTTGTTGGGGCAAGCAGTTTCCTCTCCTGGATTGAGAATCTGGCCTGGCGAGCAGCCCGCTGAAATGATGAGGGGCCCTGCGAATGTTTGACAAGAAATCAAAGCAAGTATCGCCCAGAACCACGGTTTCATTGCACGTATGTTTGTGCTGAAAAGAGTTTGGACAAGAAAAGCCGTAGATATTTTGGCTAGGTTCAGGATTATGGCGAGCAGTATACGGCTCGCGAACACCAACTGTAGGCAACGGGTTATTATCGAGTGCAAACGAGTTTTGGTTGCGGTTGCAGCTTACCTTTGATGCGTTGATTTCCTCATCGTCGCTGGTCACTCTTTCAGATTTTCCCACCGAGTTGAGCAGCGAGAAGAGTATGATGGTCCAGTAGACGATGTAGAGGAGCTGCCAAGGATGCCAATCAGCAAAGTCGCTTGAATAAAAGAGAGTTTGGGCCTACTTACATGCGCAAGCAGTAGAACACCATCGCCTATGCCAGCCTGCGTCCGCTTGACGCTCACTCTCACGATGGCTGCAAGTGTGACAAACACTACTGTAAAGACATGTGTAAACCAGAGCCACGGCTGGTGGTTGTCTGGTGTGAGGGCAGTCAAGCGATTGTCAGAGGAAGAAGACATGATTACTGCAGTAGCAAAAGCTGCTGGTGGGTGGATCAAAACGTAATAGAGACGCTCGCAGAAACGACGGCGACAAAAGATCGACAGCGGAGAGCGTTAAAGCACAACTGAGACGATATTCAAATCCTCGAACCGTTATCTTCGTAGGATCATTAGGTTAAAGTGGGAGGCGTTCCTGTGCCTGAGCGTGCTTGTGCTTCATCGCCTCCGACCTGCATCAAGCCCACGCCGCACACGGTTGCACATGGGGTCTGAGGAACCCCAGCATCGCACATCGACGGCCTTATTCTGCAGCTCTGCAGCATGGGGGATACGGCAGAGTGAGGTTCACATCTTGGGCGTGCCAGAGTGTCGGAGTGTTCTTGGATCTGCCAAGCTGCTAGGTATGTAGACGAGGTTGTTAGGGCTTAAGAGACGGGGGGAACGCGGCCGAAGCGGGGCGCCTTGGGCCTGCACACCAAGGTTCGCCGGCGGGACGGGAAGCGGAAAGGGGCTCGTGGCTGATCTTGGATTGCGGAGAAGAGCGAATGGCGGAAGACGCCGCAAACGAGCCGATGCGGAGCGGGTGTGCTCGCTTCAGCCTGTTCTTGTGCTTTGGGAATCATCCTTATCAGTACCGTTGCTTAGCGTGTGAGGGCTGCAAGCCCAGGCCAAGGACAACAGTGCTTGTGCAGTGCTTTTGCAGTGCTCGTGGGGCCCCGAGAGGCCTGCAGAGCCTGAAAGGATCGTGAGTGGCCTGATTTTGCCATCTATTGCTACCGAGTGTGATGGCAGAGCTTGCATGCACAAGCTGCCACCCGCAGTGTAATTTCACCAATGTCCCGATGTGCAGACAGCCTGCATCGAGGCGGATTTCCGAGAATCTTGGAGCCCACCTCCTGGAGAGCTCCATTTGAGAAAGGGCTAGGTCTTCCATGGGCCCTCTGCATGAACCTTCTAGTGCCTCGGTTTCCTGGGGGCTATTTTCAACTGCACCTCTTCTTCCCTTTCTCACCTCAACTCTCGTTTCCTATCCTCTCCCTCTACGTATCCCTCTATCGACGATTTCAGATTCTCATCAGCCAGCATGGCCAGCGCAGTAGAGATGACCGAAATGCATGATGTGCATCTGGCGCCAAAGCCAGGTACGCAGGCCGATGCCCAAGACATGCGCCGAATGGGCAAGCTACAGGAATTGAACGTGAGCAAAAAATGGATGCATGGCAAGGTCTATTACAGAACAGCTGACCCTTGTCAAGCGTCTTTACACTTGCATGACACTCGTTGGATATGCGGTGATTGTGGGTTTGGCATGGCCGTTTGCTCTTGTGTAGGTCACGAACTTGCAGTCTTGATACACAGAATATACCCAGTTGCTAACCGTTCTAATAGCACCGGAGCACTTGCTTTGACGAATGGAGGCGCCGCCGGTGCGGTGTGGGTATTCCTGGCCGTAGCTGTTGGCATGTTCTCAGTCGTACTTTCCATGGCCGAAATGGCGTCCATGTAGGTAGTCCGCTCCCTGCGACCAAGTGCACATACTGATCCAATTTAGTGAGCCGACCGCTGGTGGTCAGTACCACTGGGTATCTGTGTTCGTGCCTAAGAAACACCAAAAGATAGTCAGCTACGTCGTCGGTAAGCAGCCGTCTTACGCGTTCTATCCTACGTCCATCCCTGGCTGACTCAATTAGGCTGGATGTGTGCCCTCGGATGGCAGAGTTATGTGCCCGGCGCCGCCAACATCTGCGCTTCATCGCTTCAAGCCCTTGCCGTCGTAGCTTCCGATTCATATGTCCCCCAGGCATGGCACCTCGTCCTCCTTACCATAGTGTTCTGTTCGTTCGCCATACTCTTCAACGTCTTTCTCGCAAGAAAGCTGCCGGGCATCGAAGCTGGAGTCTTCACGCTCTATGTCCTGGGATTCATTGCATTCTTCATCATCCTCCTGGCTATGGGCGACCGGTCCAGTCCAAACGAGATTTTCACTCATTTCCAGGATAATGCTGGCTGGAACAGCATCGGCACCGCCTGTTTCGTAGGCGTGAGCGGACCGGTCATCACAATGATCGGAGCGGACTCTGCGGTCCATCTAGCAGAGGAACTAAAGGATGCATCGAGATCGCTTCCCAAGGCTATGATAACCACCGCACTCGTTAACTACGCTCTTGGATTCGCCATGTTGGTCGCCTTCATCTCGGTCGTTGGAAACATTGATGAGGTTCTCGAGAGTACGACTGGACAGGCGTGGGTGCAGGTCATCTGGAACGCCACCCAGTCCCGGACCGCAACGATTGTCATGGTGGCCATTATCATCTTCTTCTACATCTTCTGCGCCGTCAACGTGAACACGACTTCATCGCGCCAGCTTTACGCATTCGCGCGTGACGGAGGCTTGCCCTTCTCCAACTGGATTCGCCATGTAAGCTTCAACTTCCTCTTTTTCCCCCAAAGGAACACTGCTAACAGCAGCCTACAGGTGTCCCCCAATAGGAACGTCCCCACTAATGCGATCATCCTCACCTGGCTCATCGGCTGCGGTCTGGCCGTAATTCCGCTCGGCTCAAGCACCGCCTTCCTCAACATCCAGACAATCGGCAACGCCGGGCTCCTCTCCTCATACATCATCTGTATCGGGTGCAGAATCCACAACCGCAACTTTGGTAGCGTTTACGGCAGCCTGTCAAAACCACCGCCTTTCTTCCTCGGCAAGACACGCGGAAACGTCATCAATGGGCTAGCTATCTGCTTCCTCATCGTCTTCCTGGTCTCGGGTGCCTTCCCGGTGGCCCCGAACCCGACGCCTGATGCCATGAACTGGAGCTCTTTGGCGTTGGTGCTTACTATAATTGTTGCATTGATCGCGTACGTTCCGCTTAGGAAGTCGTACCTCGGGCCGAATGAGGGAGGCTTTGGCCCGGTCGAAACTGTGAACGTGCAGATGGAGAGCAAGAGCTTTGATCGTCCCTGAGTGGTCTAGCGGTGGCTTATTTCTGTGGAAGCTGAGGCTTTCTCTTCTTGGATACCACCATTCATCGAGGAAATTTTCAAGACGAACCCGGATCGTTTCCTTTCTGGGCGAAACATTTATATTTTATCAAAACCTTTGCATTTCATCACATTTGACAGTTGCCCAACGTGTTGGCCGTTCCTCCATGGAACAAATCGAGCTTCGACTTCGTGGAACATCTCCATATTTGTGTCTGACGGTCCCCGAGCAAAACCAAGAGTCAGAGATTGCACTACATATGCATTCGCTTGCGCGTCCTGCCATGCACAGCTCATGCGGCATGCAGGTGAGTTCTAAGGGAATGTGTTAATGGGTGTAGAGTGGCGTCAATTCTCTTCCGGTGCGTACGGTTTAGGATCTCCACATTCTCTACATGCAGGAGAAAGGTGAGGTTGCGCAGATGGAAGCCCCCTGTCGGCCTCATGGTCACATGACCATCACGGCCAACTCCGACGAGCTGAAAGAAGATCACCTCACTTTCACACCGTCTCTCCCCACATACATGTGTCTATCACACCACAAATGCGAGACTTCTTGCGAAGCTTCTGAATACAGTGATGGCTACGGTTGAATGTTCGTCGGCTGAGCGACGATCTCGTATTGCAGCACGCCGGCGCAGCCTGCTTTGCCCGCGGTCTGGCGGCTTCTTCTCCATTCTGTTACCAGAAGCGGTATGCCTCATCGCTTTCTGACTTGAGTGAGTGACTCTGCCGGCACGATAATTTCTCGGACAGGCATGAAATGCTCAGGTGAGGTTGGCCACAGCCACATTACCATACAGTCAATTCCTCTTGTCGTGAATCTCTTCCTTGATGCCTCCTATCATATATATGTGGGTACTTGCATTCGATGGGTTCCCTTCCCATCACTACAGTACACATCGACAGAGTCTCGTATCAGACCTCTGTTTACCAATCTCCTCTTCACAATTATTTCGAGGCGTTAAAGCCATCACCTCTCCGGAAAACAATCTCAACTCTATATCTCTTCTCAACCATCGATCGTCCTTCACATATCACCACACATTGCGACCCCTCAAACAGTCTCTCCGCAAATACCAACACCACTGCCAAGCAACATCTCCAAAACCACAATGCCCTCACCAACACCCCTCCGCGCCTTCGCCCGCGCAACAAGGATGTACTTCAGCGAGCCGTACCCTCACGGCCGCTACCCATCAACACTACTCTCACACACCCCCTACGCGCCCTATTACGCGCAACGGATCTGGAGAACGGCGTCCTGGTACGTGCCTGCCACCGCTGTGCTGCTCGGCTGGCCGTTCGCTGCTGCGTCGGTGTTAAAGAGGACGGGGATTTGAGCCAGGTCAGAGCGGAGGCCCCGATAAGCCGCGCTCAGAGGAGGAAGGGTTTAAAAGGAGGATATAGTCTTAGTGTGTACCGTCTGGAGAGTTGTTAGGGCGTGTTGTGGACGCGTTATGTCTGCTTCAAGATATTTGTCTGGCTGTGGGGTTTGGTGAGATAGAGGTTGGAAGGCGCGCACTGCGTAGCAAGCGTAGTAGACCATAGAGCATGTGTGATATCGAAAAGAATAGACTTCTCATGGAATCAACAGAACTCGCGATACAGAGCTTTTTAGACCGCGTGAACCAGCAGTCGTCCTGCCCCACGACCCGCCGACCCCTCCAAACCCCCCCTCCGCCCCGACCATCCTTGTCCCCACACATTCAACCCCACGATGCCACCACCACCACCACCACCTCTGCAACCCCAACTCCTTCCCCTCACGAGCACTCCCCGCCTAATCCTCTACGCACAAACCCACCACACGCCCTCCGGGACGCCGATATCCCTCCTCCCACTCCTGACGAACCCAACGGGCGTCACGCATGTGATCGTCGCCGCGATCCACCTCAACGAGGGCCCGGGAAACATCACGCTGAACGACCACCATCCTGATGACAAACGGTTTGACCAGCTGTGGGCGGAGGTGCGCTGGCTGCAGGGCGCGGGGGTGAAGGTGATGGGGATGCTGGGGGGCGCGGCTCGGGGGAGTTTCGAGCGGCTCGGTGGGAGCGATGCTGAAGTACGCCTTCCTCTATGAATATCTCCTCTTCCCCCTCTTGTCTCTTTGCGACGCCCCGCCCACCTCCACCTCCCCTTCCCGGTCTCTGCTATGACTCGAACCACAGCTTACGCAACCCTAAGTAGTTCAACGCATACTACCTCCCCCTCGCGGCAGTTATAAGGAAACATAACCTCCAAGGCCTCGACCTCGACATCGAAGAGCCCGTCCCCCTCTCCACACCCCTCCGCCTCCTCTCTCGCCTCCGCGCCGACTTCGGCCCCGCTTTCCTGCTCACCCTCGCCCCAACCGCAACCGCGCTTTTGCCCGGCCTGCCCCACCTCTCCGGCTTCAGCTACTTCGAGCTCGAGCGCGCGGCCGGCGGGTTGATCAGCTGGTACAACACGCAATTCTACTGCGGCTGGGGCGACGCGGCGCAGACGGCGTGGTACGATGCCATCATGGCGGCGGGATGGCCGGCCGAGAAGGTCGTGTTGGGGGTAGTGACGAACCCGGGGAATGGGGCTGGGCATGTGTGTATCGATGGCGCGGCCGGCGGGGTTAGGAGAGCGGAGGATGATGGGGCGGAGAGGAAGTGCGGCTTCGGCGACGTGCTGAGGATACTGCGGGCGCGCTATCCAAGGTTTGGCGGCGTCATGGGCTGGGAGTACTTCAATGCTGGGGGAGGGGAGGTGCCGCCGTTAAGCCCGTGGGCGTGGGTTCAGGCGTTGGGGCAGGTTGTCAGGTGCTCGGTGCCTGTGGCGCCGGGAATGGTAGAGGGGGGAAGGGGAGTGGAGAGGCCGGCGGTGGGAGGTCAAGCGCAGTGGCCGGGGCAGCTACCGGCGCCGCAAGTATCCTGGCCGGGAGAGGATGTGGAGATGTTGGTTGGGCTGGGGTTTGGGAGGCAGCAGGCTGTTGCTGCGCTGAATGTTACGGAGGGGAATGTGGAGATGGCGGCGGGGCTGTTGTTTGGGGATTGAGGGGCTTGAAGCCAATAATATGAGGGGTGGATGGGATGGGCTCAGTCCAACGAGTTTCCCAGTCGGGGCAAGGCCCAGGCGTTAGGGGGTGATTGAAAGGATAAAGATCGGACTATTTGGCGCCGATTGGCATCATGGTGAACGCTTTCCGGGAATCTGGTTTACCGTGTTCTCAGGTAAGTGCACGGTCGTGATCATGGCTACCTACCAGCATTTAAATAGACAGACTTTACACGATCGACCATCTGGCAGAAGCGTTAGTACGAGATCATCACTAGCCAAATCACAAGTACCAATTTTCCACAATCAACCCGCTCTGCTCCTGACCGTGCGCCTTATTCAAACATCTGCCGCACATTCAGATTGATCCTCTTCCCCGCCATCCAACTTCTCCACCGCTCATACGGATCCTCACCGCCTCCCGTACCATCTTCGTCGGCTTGCACTTCTTCTCCTTTCTCCCTCGACCCAGCAGGCCAGTCCCTCAAAAACTCCGGACACGTGCCCGCCACGATCTGCGGCACACCATGCCACGCAAACCTGCTCTCCCCAATCATGTAAACCGCATCACCCGACCTCAGCCGCACAACCACCGTCCTACACTCCCCCTTCGCCTTCCCCTCAACCCCAATGACAAAAATCCCATCGCAGCCCAGACTGATACTGACGAGGCCCTTGCCGCAGGACTCGGCGACGTCGCGGTGCATGCTCAGCGTATCCCCGGGAGCGTAGAAATTCAGGATCGCGGATTCGGGTTTGGTTTCAGGGAAGAGGTCGGTGAGGAGAGCGGCGATGTCGGCGGGGAAGGGCGGCGGAGGGGCGGCGGGGTAAGCTTTGGCGGTCCAGTCGTATTGACCGCCGAGGGTCATCCAGCGGAGTTTCTTTTGGAAGAAGGAGGCGAGCGTGAGGGGTTTGTGCAGGTGGGGGTCAAGAGGAGTAAAGGTTTGCTCTGGGGAGGCAGGAACGGAGAAGAACGACATGGAGGATGAAGGGTAGGGAATGTTGTAGTGGGTGTGGATGTTGGTTTTGTGGGTGGGGTTGGAAAGATCGCGGTGCAGCAGACGGTCGAGGAGAGTGATTTGGACAGACGGAGGAAGGAGATTGGGTATTAGTTGAAGACCTACCGAGCTGTATCAGAGCTACAGCTTCCTTCACCAGGGACCAAGTGCCTAGATATGGCGTGCTATTCCTTACCAGGGATATCTGGATGTTCATAGACGGGTAGTGTGTCTTGTAGGTTCTCGTGGTCCGAGGGGCGGCTTGGTCCAGTGAAGGCGTCGAAGGTCGGCCGTAGCTCTTCAAAGTCGAAGCGCCGCACCACGCGTAGGGCATCCGATGGTGCTTCTGATGGGCCGTCTACAATGGCTCGATCGAGAGTAAGGGCTTCTCTTTTCATCTTCTGATACTTTTTGTAGATGTTGCGAATGGCTTCCGGCGGCCTCTCGTGGGCGTCCAAATGCTTGTGTGGAGTCATGGTTGACATGGCTGTCTCCTCCTCTTCTTTCATGATGACCTTCGGCTCCTGCACTCCTGAGCTGAGATTCAATGCCTTTAAGCTGGATCGCGTGACTACGACGAAGTCTGACCTGCCCAGGTGGTGTCTGATTTCCATCATGATGCCAAGCTTTGCGCCTTAGCGCGCTACCGCACCGGTTGCACGTAATTTATTGGCTGCAGTCTTGAGACGCGGCAACGCTGTTTATGCCCCGATTTGCACCCTTTCCACACCAACACACCCCCGAATTCCAATTCTCCGTACTAACCAGCAGCACACGAAAGACCAGAGGCCACAGGAAGCCGGATTGGTCAGAGCGTTTGCAGCAGTAAAAGGGCCCTTCGACGATATTCGTTTTCCGCTTCACAGCAAAGCATCCAAGAGCTCCCATCCGGTCGAGTCTAAGATACCTACAACAATCCAGTCCACCTTCGGCTCGTAACTCCGCCCGGAAGGCCACCCACCACAATGGAGAACTACCAGAAGATGGAGAAGATCGGCGAGGGTAATCCAATTCCCCCTCCATCCACCTCCCCCACTCCACTAACATGCCTTCCCAGGCACATACGGCGTCGTCTACAAAGCGCGCGACCTCACCACAAAAGACCACCGCATCGTCGCCCTCAAGAAGATCCGCCTCGAAGCCGAGGACGAAGGCGTCCCCAGCACCGCAATCCGCGAGATCTCCCTCCTGAAAGAAATGAACGACCCCAACATCGTGCGCCTGCTCAACATCGTGCACGCCGACGGGCACAAGCTGTACCTCGTGTTCGAATACCTGGACCTGGATCTGAAGAAGTATATGGAGAGCCTTCCCGTGAGCCAGGGCGGGCGGGGCAAGCCGCTACCGGAGGGCTCGGGGAGCGTCCTGGGGTCGTTGGGCCTGGGCGAGGGCATGGTGAAGAAGTTTACGTGGCAGCTTATTGAGGGCGTGAGGTACTGCCATAGCCATAGGGTGTTGCATCGGGATCTGAAGCCGCAGAATCTGCTCATCGACAAAGAGGGAAACTTGAAGCTGGCGGATTTTGGGCTCGCGAGGGCGTTTGGGGTGCCGTTGCGGACGTATACGCATGAGGTATGTTAGATATATCGGTGGGGAGGGGCGGGCGGCGATGGCGAGGGCCCGTAGCTGGGTGGGAGGGACACGGCTAACAAGGAGCAGGTCGTCACGCTCTGGTACCGCGCCCCCGAGATCCTGCTCGGCAGCCGCCAGTACTCCACCGGCGTCGACATGTGGTCCGTCGGCTGCATCTTCGCTGAGATGTGCACGCGGAAGCCGCTGTTCCCAGGCGACTCGGAGATTGATGAGATCTTCAAGATTTTCAGGTATGCCGCTCGTCTCCCCCTCCCGTCATCACCTCTCCTTTCCCCCCTTACTCACTAGACAGCCACTCTATCTAACACCCCAACAGAATCCTCGGCACCCCCACCGAAGTCGACTGGCCCGGCGTAACCACCCAACCAGACTTCAAACCCTCGTTCCCCAAGTGGGCGCGCACGGACCTGGGGATGCATATCCAAGGCCTCAGCGACGACGGATTGGATCTGCTTGACTGCCTCCTCGTTTACGATCCCGCTGGGCGTATTTCTGCTAAGCAGGCCATTCAGCACCCGTATTTCACGGAGGGGACGTTTGTGGGGGGACGGGGCGTGGGGGTGGGGAATGGGTTCCATTGATGGGTGGTGAGGGATGTGGGAAGGTAAGACTGGATGTAGCTTAAGTCACGAGGTATGAGGGAGGCTAAGAGTACGAGGAAGACGACGGGATGCGTGGATGGGTATATGCATGGCGGCGTTGAGGGAAGGGACAACAAGGGCAGTAAGAATTCTCCTATGCCATTGGGTTCGTATATCAGGCCATGCTTCACGAGGGACTGGCGTTGTGCGGAGGGGGTTCTCAGAGTCTGCATGGCTTTTTTGTGTGCATCTCACATTCTCTGGGTCACAATGCGGAGCCTCTGGATAGGTGGGTCTACGCTTACGGCGGTGCTTGAGGGTTGTGTAATTCTAGGCAATTGAACAAGGCTCGACGTGCTTGATTCTGAGGTACGAACGGCATGCTGATGTACTCTTGTGGTGCTACTAGCAACAGCAAGAGCACTAAGATCCACATCGTGAGTTGCCGGACAAATGTGGATGAGGTTCCTTCATGCCCTGACGCAGCCGAAAACTGCCACAAGAACCTAGTCTGAATAGGTTCTGCGCAGTCAAAGAGCTTCTTCAAGGTTGGGATGGAAATTTGAGCCACCTAGCTTCTATATCGCACGATTATGAGCTACTAGAGATGTCGTGGTGCCATACCATAATTCGATCGTCTTGCTAGCATCCCGTTCGCACTTACGACAAATGGTCTGCGTTGACGCTGCGGTAGGTTACGCTACTAATGTGCGTTACTTGCTCTACGCGATTACACGATGTCCTGGGTATTTACATAACAAGACCGTCACTTGCTTGCTGCCCATCGGACGTGCAAAGTTGGTGAAGCTATCTCTAGGGAAGCGTACTGTCACGATTGCGATGAAAGGGTGAGAAGACCAGTGGTTACCGTAATGTGCCGTTTACAGCTCTAGGTCAAGTTCGCTCCCTAGCCGCATCGAATGGGCGACCTGCATGTCGTTTCAGAATATACTGCGCTGGTGCGACACGAAGCGGTGTGTAAAGACGGGTCTATTTATGTCGTAACTAGGAACTACCAACGTGCAACGGGGTATTAAACACAAGAGCCATCTGAAGACTAAACATGGGGTGTGGGCAGAGCGTGTACGTTGATCAGATTTCGGTAATGGCGGCATGCTAAATGACAACGACTGATGATAGACCAGTCATGCGCTGCCGAGAAGAAAGTGGGTCCACTTATACAGAAACTGCCAATCCAACATGACGGGAAACCGCAGTGCCACCTTGAAAGGCCGAGGAGGATTCCACTGGGGTGAGTATCAACCCGGTATAAGCTATGGTTCATCCATGAAACCGTGTATGTTTTTTTCGTTGTAACGGATAGGAGATAAACGTATTCGCCGCCTGAATTCAGGACATCGCAAGATCACGCGTTCAAATCTGGCTGTCGCCCTGTTATGCTCCAACTTGGTCTGGCTGCTATCTTTACACCCCTATTTGAAAGTGGGGGCTAACTATATTTAGTCAACCGGAACAGTTGCCTTTGGGGAGAAGGCCACTGTCACGGTTTGGCTTTATATAGTAGCGTGGGGGTTTGATCTATCGATCGAATATTGTGCCTTTTGGCCCGATAGCGTGATTGTGTAACCCCACGCGCATATGAATCGTCACACTTTCTCAATGCTGCTTAGCCATTGATGCAGACCTATTATTAGTTTTTTTCGATGCTGCGTAGCCACCGATGCAGACTATTATTAGTTTTGTGCTTCTCTGCTATTCCCAAATCTGCCAACAAGAACCATACGCGAGTGTTGGACCGGGCTATTTTTATAAAATTTAGAAAAGCAATGTATAGAAGCACACTCTTATAACTATTCCATTCATATCGTTTTCTCTTAGCTATCCTGGTCTCTCTAGTTCTAGCAGAGCTGCACAATCCAACTTACAATCATCTTTAGAATCGATTAACAGAATCTTGACTCGCTCTACACCCCTCCACCATCATCTCCAGTGAAAATGGATCAAACCTTGCAACGGGTGTACAAGTCACCTCCAGAGGTTCGCACAATGATCTACGAAAAGATGGATGCCAAATCACTACAAGTACTCCAACGTACGACCCGTTTTTTCCAGGACGATTCGCACCTCAGATATGTCATATACAAAACCGCATGGTTTCAGTTCAACCTTCAAAGCGACTTCTTAAGACGCTACCTTAAACCCGGAAAAGATTGTATAGTCCAAAGCGATTGGGGACATGGTATAAATGAGTATGCCATTTCGCTGCGCAACCGCGATCGAGTAGAACGGCTCGCAATAGACGTCCAAAATCTACACACATTGGAAAGTGGACGATCCATGCGTCTCGTCACTGCACTAGCCGACTGCCATGTTTTTCCAAGACTTCGTGCAGTCGTCCTGTACACAGCACTCAGCGAAGACAATTCCGATGTAAACTACATTGGCCGCATCACCGCCTTCGAAAACGGTTCCTGGCTCCCGCAAGACGATAATGAGCCTTTGAACGTTGGACGGACGAATCAGACTCGTTACCGAAAGTATGTCAGACCCGAGCCTAGTCAGGAATGGAAAGAGATCAAACAATTCGGGCGCTTTCAAGATACCCGACGACCGCCACTCAACGAAGCCGATGTCCTACCAATGGATCAAATTGACGGTCATTGGCGGCTTCATCGGGAGAAGATGTGGTGGACCTCTGCGCCAAAGCTGCTCCAACGCAATCAGAAACTCGCGGAAGACATGGAACGCAAATACCCCGGTTTTTGTGCCAAGTTGGGATTATGGCGCCAGAAGTTCTTTGACAACTATAGTCAAGTATGCCCTAGAAGGAAGTTTCTAGCAACGGTAAAGGGTCAAGCCCAAGCAGCCCAGAAATTCAAGCGTGTTTGCCCGAAGGACTTAGAAAATTTTCTGTCTCCATGGATAGATAGAGAGCCGGCCCCGAATATTGAGTTGGAAAAATTATGGTTATTGATAAAGGATACATAGTAGCCGGTGCTTCTTGTATGTCTGGATGGCGCCGTTGAAGTCACGGAAGCGGATGGAGGTTTCATCGATCGCATTTCCATATCAAGTAAACCCCTATCACGATTCTAATTTCATGTTTTAGTTTGGCAAGAACTTTCCATAGATAAACATGCCGTAGATTCTGATACACCAAGGCGACCCAGAGAACAGTGGCATTCGCGTACCGTAAGCCATCCCTAGCAGCTTGCTCGCCGCAGAATTCGATCTTCTCATATCCAGCCTTGTCTCGACCCTCCCCTTTACCCATGTCTTCAATGTGACCTCTTGGTCATTATTTCCCAATATGTGTGAGACGATAGCATATCGAGGGAGCGCGTCGTCGAGGAGGTTCTCGATTAGCCAGAAGTCCCCGTTCGGTAGGACTTCTAAGAGGGGCATCTTTGCCCAGCGATCGTGGGCGCTTTTATGAGCAGCCCCGTCGAAGGTCGTTCCGGCTCGATGGCGACGGCGACGTTGCGAGAGTAAATGTTCCGTGGCGTTGGGACATACGCGCAGGTCAGCTTGGGAGGATCGGCAACATGACAAAGCTAGTTGAAAGCATTTCTTCCAGCTAGAACGTCGTGAAGACACGCTCGAGCGGACGAGGCTGAAAGGGCTGCTGTGTTCCAGCCGGAGGCTGCACAAGGGGAGGCAGCCATTCTGGCCGCTCTGGTACCCTTGTTCCGTGTTTTCCGGTATTAGATTAAAACGTGGTAGCGCCCGCCGAGGATCTGGGTTCACAAGGGTAGAGGTGAAAAGATCGAGCTTGTTATTGGCCGGGCATATGATCAGGTAAAGGGGCTGATGCTGAGACGAGACAGTCTCCACGATGATCTCCCTGATGTCTGCGGAAAGACTGAACTCTCTTGCGGCGAACACCCCCCCGTCATACAGAAGTGTGCAGCATCGGTATGTTAGACATGACGAGGTCGGATTACATACTTGCACTGTGATGATCAGTGACTCGGCGCCCGGCTTGCCTTGATAGCATAGGTCTTTGTAGGTGTAGCAAGATAGTTCTTCTTTTCGGCGGCTTCTGATATAGCGGTTAGAGAAGATGAACCAGAGTCCTCTGACGATCTTGAGTAACATCTTAGCAGTTTGCCTTAGGGATACGCTCTTGCTCTCTCGTTCGTATATAGCAACCTCCTCGTTAGTGCAGAAAGATCATCTGCACCAGTAAGGACGCTATTGTAAGGCCTATTCCACGCTATGGCGATGTGTATATCAGGCCATTGGAAGTTTGCTTTACCAGACCATGGAATGTAAAGCCAAAGTTACTCTGGAGGAGCAAAAGAGAAAAACATACAGCAGCAGGTATTCGCTAGTGGTCACCCACCCAACTACTAATCCACCGATTCAAAGCTTAATTATAGGAGAGCGGACGGGATCCGATGTTTTCCTTGATCTATGGCCGTATGTGAAAGTAAAGAGCAGCTGCATAATATATGTCCACTGAACAGTCTCATTGCATGTGTCCTACACGTCCCGCGTGTAAACTTATACAATAGCACAACTCTACTCAGCATGGAATCTGACCTCAGGCCCTGTATCGCATCCCTCTCCTCTGCAGTCCGCGAAGCTTTCGAGCTGCGTCATCATTGGGCTGCCTATCACCAAATCCGCAGCCTCCGTCACGCTCTTGCGCGACGATGGCGCCCGCGCATTTCCCAGTGTTGAAGCCGCAACAGCTAGAAGCGCAATCAGTATCGCTCGTGCAGGGACCAGTGATAAATTGCGTTCCAGCACCGTTTCCAGCCCCCTTGCCGGCGGTAGATGGTCGTGCGTTAACGGTAGCGGCGGGAGTGGCAGAAGTAGCGGGAGCAGCAGGTGTAGCGAGAGAACTAAGAACAGAGGGCGCAGCGGGTTGCTGACCGCGGAAGAGGCGTGCGGCGATGTCGTTAGGCTGCGCATCACCGAATCCGCATCCTCCGTCGCGCTCCTGGGCAATGATGGGACCAGCGCATTTGCCGGAATTGAAGCCACAGCAGCCGGACGCACAGTTGGCGTCGCTAGTGCAAGGACCAGTGATGAATTGTGTACCCTGAGCGACGACCAAGAGGGCCACTAGTAAAATATAATTAGTCAACGGGCAATCTATAAATGGTCTGATCAAAGCAATTGGCTCGAAAACTTACGGCTCAGCATCAGGAAAGCAAGCACAAAGAGTCTATGAGCGCCGTCGGACATCGTGGGTGTAGCTTATGGTTTGGATTTTGGATGAAGGTAGGAATTGGTGCAAATGATACTGAGAAAGATGCCTGAAGCGTTGCTGCCCCCTTTTTATACCGCGCAGTGGCGACGAGTGGGTGGAACCGATACTGGTAGAGGCATTGGATTTGGTACACCGTCTCGAATCCCTAGAGGGTAGAGTAGTGCGCCAATCATAGAGTCTCTGCAACACCCTTCTTGATGCATTAAGTTTTGACAAGTCTTTGAGGGGGCGCGCGTGAGAAACCCATACAAGCCCGGTTGCAAGGGCATCACCTGTGACGCAACAGAGCGGTGGCAGAAATGCGGAGAAGAAAGGTACGTATGACTAGATTTTGAGCTATGGTCCTTGACGAAACAAGGGAATTTGCGGCCGAATTTGAGAAGTATAGGGGCTATATGAGCTTTGAGGTTGTCCCTTTCTGGTTGCTTACATTTGGGACATTCCACGATCGATATTCCAACATCATCGGGAATGTCATTGACCTTATTATCTTCACGATAGTCCCTTACGCAGGACGGCGCCTCACCCCAAGTGCATGAATCCCAAGTGGTCTGAAACGGTGTTCTGGCATCCGAGCACCAGAACTTTGTAGCAACAAGATGATGGAACACAGCTTGCTTCAGCTCAGTCAGGCTCACTCCTCGGCTTGGATCAAAGGGCGGCTGCTAATGTGCAGAGATGGAAACAGGATTCTCGCGAGGTCATTCTCCGCAAGAGAGAGGGAAGTCACACCAAAACTCACGTTCTGGGTCGGCCACTGTCTACAGGTGTTAGATATCGAGTAATGTAATCTTACATACTGCTGGTTTCAAAATGTGCGGCCACCCAGCGATCACAAACATCAACCACCCCCCCCTCGATTGTCAAAGACCAAAACCACCTTTATACAATGTTTACACAACGATTCAACGCTTAGGGTATAACTTAATACTCTTAAAAGATGCAGCACAGCTACAGCTATTTAATAGTTAGAAATTAAGAAGACTAGCGGTGTTACGTAGCTAATAATCTACTAGAATATATAGTTTTATGGTACACTTAATTTTCTTTAATGCTACAGCCCGCGTGCGCGTAGGCTTTTAAGAAAAACTAAGTGTACTATCCAATCGCGGCTTTAAAGAGTAGTAACGCTATATAGCTAATAATCTATTAACTATTAGATAGCTGTAGCTGTACTATATCTTTTTAAAAGTATTAACTTCTATCCTAAGCGTTAAATCGTTGTGTAAACGTGGTTTTAGTCTTTGACAATCCGGGGGGGGTGGTTGATGTTCGTGATCGCTGGGTGGCCGCACATTTTGAAACCAGCAGTAAGGCCAGCTGCGGACGGGACCTCGGCATCTCTCTTGACCACCCCCCGCCATGCTCGAGCTCTTGATGTGTCAGTGTATTCGAGTAGAGAAGTACTACTTAGTCTTTAAACCACCTCCCTCCGCGACCCTCCTCTCCTTCTCAGCGGTCTTGAAACCGCCTCTCCGCCCCAAACGCCGCCCACAATGCCCTCGCTCCTAACCCGCCAGCCCTTCAAAGCCCTCTACACCCTCCTCGCAACGACCGTCGAATCCATCCGACTCCCTCTCTACGTCGTCCTCTACATCCTCCCCTCCACGCGCCCCCACCCAAAATGGACCTACAAGCAAGCAATCCTCACCAAGCTCCTCAAAACCTTCCTCCACCACGCCGCCACAGTCGAGATGCGCGTGCCCCTTTCCCTGAATCCGGGGAGACAGGGTGAACGATTCGCCATCATCCGTGCACCTGACAGCAGCATGCAAGAGAAACTGTACATTGGTCCGCTGCAGGACCCGCACCGCGAGATCGCACCAGAGGCCGTGGGCGGGACGTGGTACCCTACCCCCTATCCCCGCTCAAACTCTGACCTCAGGGACACCGAAACAGTTGTCCTCCACTTCCACGGCGGCGCATACGTCGTCGGCTCCGGCCGCGACGACGACTGCGGTTTCCTCGCCGCGACATTCATCCGCCATGCAGGCGTCGCCCGTGTCTTCTGCCCGCAGTACCGTCTCTCGGGCCCGCCTGTGCACGGCCGCTTCCCAGCTGCGCTGCAGGACGCACTGACCAGCTACCTGTATCTGATCCGCGATCTGGGGATTCCGGCGAAGCAGATCGTCGTGTCCGGCGACAGCGCGGGCGGGAATCTCGTCATCGCCTTACTGCGGTACTTGGCCGAGTACGGGAGCCAGATAGGACTAGAGGGGCAGACGCCAGGCGCGGCATGGTTGTGGAGTCCATGGGTCAACCCCGGTGCAGCAATCGATCCCAAGGCGATCGAGACGAATCCGAAATACCCGACAGATTACCTCCCCGGCTCGTTCGGCGCGTGGGGGATCCGCTGCTTCGCGGGCCACGACCCTGTTAGTGGGCGACAGAAGGTGGATGCGAGCGATAAGTATATCAGTCCGCTGAACCAGCCGTTCAAGACGGATGTGCCGATCTGGGTCCAGACGGGCGAGGCGGAGGTGCTGTGTGTGGAGGACTGCAAGTTTGCGGAGGAGATGCGCAAGGAGAATGATGGACATGTTGGGCTTTGGGTTGAGGAGGGCGCGGTACATGATATTGCGCTCATTGGGCCGAGGGCTGGGTTTGGGAAGGAGGCGGAAGCGTGTGCGAGGCGGGCGGGGGAGTGGCTTCAGGAGAACGGGAGGCGTTAGGTGGGGAGGTCACTGGATTGGATGCCCTAGACGGCCGAGCGGGCAAGAAGCGAACAAAGATTTTTTGGACATTCCGGGGTGAACGACGTCAAGGCTAGCTCCACCGTTGAGTCTTCCTACGGTTCCATCCTTCTAGGTTACGGCTTGGTTTAACTCGCTCGCAGCAAGCAAAGAGGAGGTATAGAGAACCAAATATAAGATTAAATAAAGGTTCGAATACTCATGTTGTAAAGATCTAAGACTTGGGAGAGCTAGTACATACGCATCGTGCAACTGTGTTCACTGGAGATTACGCCGAAAATTCAAGTGCGCCAAGGCAGCCATGCATCAGGTCTGTTAGCCTTCAAGGGTCTGCCAGTGCGGCGCGGTCTAGAGTAAAAGCAGGAGAAGTAGAATCGTGAAGCGCCCTTACAGTACTGATGATCAGTAGCCAGAGGTTGGCCGTTCCAGTGCACCTAACACCAACGGCTAAGCATCTAGAATGGGAGACGGTGAGGCACTACAGTAGAAGCAAGAGTTGGCATCGTTTCTACGGGAAAATTATTGTAGCTATAAAGCGGAGGATGGTATCCAAAACATTCTGCGACGAACAACTTCAAGATCTCGCCACCCACATTACCCCTGCCTATTTTCCTCAACATTAGCGGGCGCACTCCCCAGCACCTTCTCTTCCTCTTCAGCCCCATCTCTCGTCTCCTCCATCCCAAGCCCTCTCGTAGCGTCCGCCTCCCTATCATCCACATCCAGCGTCTTACTCTCCACCGCCTTCTCTTTCGGCTTCACAACCTCGATCTTAACCTGGGTATCCTTGCTATACACCCTCAGTCCAACCACACAGACCGCATTCCACGGATCCCTCTCGACCTCATCTTCACTTTCCTCCGGCTCCGGCTCCCTCCACCGCCTACCGATCACCGGCCGCGGCAACCCAGCACCCACACCAGGAAGCGGAGCCCGCAACTCCGCCTCTAGCTCCTCCATCTCCGAGTCCGTGAAGTCGAGCTCGGAGTCCCAGCTCAGATCGCCGTCGCTGATCTCAGCGTCGTTGTCGACGTCGACGGAGTCGTCGGTGGAGCTGTGGGCACGCTCATGCTTGACGGACGCCACGCTGACCGCTTCCCCATCCGTGACGCGGATGCCCGGCAGCGGCGTGAGCGTACCACGGCGAGACGGCGCAGGCGAGCGGGATGCATTACGGCGGCCTGTGGCTGGCGAGGCGGCGCGGGATGAGGGACGTTGGCGTGGTGTTCCGGGCCGATCGTCTTCCTCGTTGTAGCCGCCGCGCCCCTCGTTGTAACCGCCGCGCCCTTGAACCTCGTTGTAGCCGCCTCGGCCGGTAAAGCCGGCGCTGGACGGCGTGCCTGGTCTGTTGTTCTGTTCATGTGGGACGACGCTTGGGGTACCGGGCCGGTGGTGGGCTTCAGGAGGCAAAGCGCTGGCGCCGGCCTGCGCTTCATTATAACCACCGCGACCGGTGTTATAGCCTCCACGGCCTCGGAAGCCGCCGCCAGGCGTGTCGGGGCGGAGAGGCGGGGTTTCAGGTCTGTGGTGATGCGCTTCTATAATTTCAGATCCGGTTCGCGAGTGACCGGCATGAGACCCTTTGCGGCCTGCGGAGATGCCGTTACCGCCTGGATAGTCAGCAGGGCCGTTGATGGTGGGTTTCAGGGGCGGCGAGGCAATTGTTGCCCTGGCTTCGTCTTCGCTGTGGACGTGGATGCCGAGACCCGCTTCGTGGATGGGATCTTCGACTATGATCTCCTGAAGCCTGGTTGAGATGATTTCGACCTCGGTCGCGGCGGGCGTATGCTCTTTCCTCTCAGCTAGCTTGGCTGCCTTCCTTTCTGCTACCTTCGCTTCTTTTCTCTTCCTGCGCAGTTTCTCTTTCTGACGGATCTTGCGAAATGCATCATGCCTCTTCTTCGCCTGATCTTTCCTTTCCGCTCTTTCCTCTTTCTTCTCCCGCGTGGCCTTCTCCGACTCCGACTCTTTGAATTGGCCCTTAGCGTGCGCTAGATCGTAACTCAAGCCGGTAGCAAGTAGCTTCGCCCGTCGGTTGTTGCAGGTATCGCGGATGACTTCTTCAGCCGCCCTGGCGTTCGAATCTCTGACGGCAGTGATCTTGAGCAAGACGGTGTAATTGCCAGCCTTGAGATCTAGCTCCGTGCTGACCGAGCGTTTCATGTAGTACGGCCCGCTGCTGCGGACAATGTAGTCTTCTTCGTCGTCTTTGTGCAGGCGGAACGCAAGATGGAACTCGTACTGGCCTTCCAGACCCCGGAAGTACCTGTCATCGAGCTACGTGCTGGTCAGTATGGTTCACTCGACCAGTGCATGTAATGATAAGGCCTTACCTGCGCGAGCACGATGACAGCTGGGCCAGGCTTGTCAAGGCTGATTTTGAATTTCGTGTCTAGGTAGTCGACAGACCACGGCACATTCAGGCTTGTCCACTGCTGCGTTACGGTCCATTCTTCGCCGAACAGGCGCGTACGATCGAAGTGCTGGTAGTTGCGGAGGAGGTCTTTGTAGGAAATCCAGAAGACCTGCCCGAAGGTTAGCTTCCACAGACGAAGAATGATGTATCGGACTTACCCCATCATCACCAAACCTATGGTCCAACTCTGTCATCCACTCTGGCGTCCATTGCTCTGAGCCATCACTCCAAGCACCCGTCCACTCAGTCTTGCCCCATGGGTTCCTGTGTTACGTGAGCTTGAATGTCTCCTTCAAAGTGCCGTGTACACACCTCAACTTGAGTAGCCGCACACCGCCAACCTCCCTTGCCTCCATGATAGAATATGCGTGCTTCTCTTGTATGCCTCTCCTTTGTCCGTATAGACCGCCCATCTGCCCACAGCCGAACAGGAACTGCTTGTTTACATTCATGAGCTCTTCTTTCCAAAACTTGTCCTTGTCTAAGATATCGGTTGCGAACACTTCGGTTGTTACCCCGCCGGTGAGATCTTCGATGCCCTCACTGCTACAAGTCAGCGGGAGCTTTAATACTATAGCTCATTAGTGTCACTGACCCAACGAAGCCCCCATTAATGGACGAGTAATCTCCATGAGCCTTCGCATACGCCTTCTCAAGGAGCGGCAGCCAGGTCTCATTGGGATCGCTGCATTGTGCAAAGTACAGCGCTTGTGACCCGGTCTGAAACACTGTGCGGTACTCCTCGTCCGGAGCTTTGCGGTTATGCAGCTCGAGGAACTGGTATCGATCGATGTCCGAGTCGTCGAAATCCTTCTTTATCAGGTAAAGCTTGTCGTCGATGACCTCCGATATCCACTCTCCATCTACACAGATCAGCGAAAGTGCACGCCAAAGCGCTGTTCCGGGCGGACGAATGAGCTTGACTTACCTCTGTGGAAGACGAAGCCATAGACACCCACTTGCTCGTCACGCGCTACACAGACCTTCTCAATGAGTCCTTCCTTGTTGCTCAGCGTGCAGAGCGCAGACATGAACCAGCAATCACCATCGTTCCCTTGCCGAACATCATTGGCCGTTGCGCCTTCTAGGAAAAACGCGGGATCTTCGAAGACGTCCTGAAGCCAATTAGCTGGCTGTTCGTGCAGGGCAATGCTCTCTGCGAATATCATACCTCGACTCTTTTCACAGAACCGGGAAACAACCGTGTCCCCGTCTCGTCCAAAGTTGTCAAGCAATCCGGAGGATACACGCGCTTAAAGTCCGTCTCGATATCGAAGTGAGGGTCTCGGTACTTCTGGTTGATGCGCCGGCACTCTTTGACAATCTTTGCGACCTTGGACTTGCAGCTCTCTACAGCTTCAGCGTAGGAAGCAACGGCGTTCTGGCCGGGTACGACGCCCTTCGGCGCATGCGCAGCTGCGCGCTTTGCGTAAAGGTTGTCGGGAAGGATGGTAAACGCCTTGCCGGGGTGCCTTTTCCATACGTCAATAATGTCTTAGATAAAGTCTTAGATGATGTCTTACTTGGAGGTGAACTTGTTCCAAAATTCGTCGACACTTTTCTGAGGCGCCTGCTTCTTCACCTTGCGCTTCGGCGGCGGCGAAGATGTGTTTCTTCTGATAACAATGATTGAGTCAGACCGCGAGCGGTCCCGGTTGTCGTCCATTATCGGGTCAACGATGTCGTCGTTCGAGGCCATTATCTAGGCGCGAATTGGTAGAGATAGGAGATACAACAGTGCGACAATGGGTATTCGAAGCTCTGGAGTCCTCCATAGCATTGACGGATGGAAGCGGTTTTAACAGATGTTTCCAGAGAGCAGGAAGCCCTGCATCGTGCGCCTTGTGCGGCTGTGAGCTCCAACCATGGCGGGAGCTCATGCCCCCGTCGCGTTTATTTCCAGAAGGTGGGGGCCAGGTCAGCGGCACCTTTAGCCATCCTCGGAGCTGCCGCTGCACCGTGATGGAGAGCTTGGACGGCACAAACGGGTGGCTTTTCAGCTTCACCGAGCCGAGCGAGCCGTTGGTCCCGGCACATCAACGGCTTCGTGGTGACAACTGCGCAGGCACGGAGACTACTTGCCTGCAGTATTGCAGACACTGCCTCCGTCAGTAGGCAAACGGTACGTACGGGGTGCTTGAGGGAAGGGCGGCCTCACCGATGCTTTGCTCATCCGGCTGCACGCTTGTGCACATTTCTGTGTCTCGTCCACATCTATTCCTGCTCCGAGGTTCATTGCATCGGCCTTATAGGGCAGAACGGTCTAGTGCTGACGTGCTACGAGCCCTCGAAGGAAGACTCTCAAGCAGAGCTCATGGCTAATCCCCGGACCTGCATATGGGATCAAGGGTCTTGGTCTTGACCGCAACGTGACGCCGTGCTCCCATGTGCATGGTATCGGGCTCAGCGTGCAGGCGGTCTGGCAGTTTTCGTATGCATTGTCTGACCTATCAGGTCGACGCAGCGCCGAGCACCGCTATACTAAGCGGAGTATGTTTCAAACGTGACGATGACGGGTAGCAATGTTGCGCATCATGTCAGACAATTGAGGATTGTCTACTTACCGAACAGGCGGAAAGCTACATAGCAGGGATATCATAGTACATACAATAGGGGTATAGGGGTACTGTTGCCATTGGAGGCTGGACTAAAATCACAACGCTTGATAATGAAATGCAGAGATAATCGGGCTGCAGTGAAAACACCACATAAGAAAGGGAAACCCAGAACGCGAATCGATGACGATGCGACGAACAACCAGTATAAGCAAGCCTTAGCGACGAGCATCATGTCGGTGGGTGACAGCCGTTTTGACCATTTGGACATGCCGCCTACAACAAGACCATAGGGTTCGTGTACCTTGACAAGCTCAACTTGTTCCCATTCATCGTTTCTGTGCGTTCTGCGCTGGGCACAAGAAGCCTTAATATAGCCCTCTTTCCTTGTGAGTCTCCGGCGAGCCCGTGCGCAAAAAACTGAGCGAGAACGAGAATTGTGAGATACTGAAGGCCATTCCGTTGGCCTCAATACCAAAAGGAGAATTTCATCCGCTTGCAGAATCGACCTTGCCGTTTCAATCTGTTTCAGCTAGACTTTGGATCTTATTTTTTCGCTTCAGCCCAAGTTCCGGACCTTCTTTGCTAATCCCAGTTCCGCCTAAGCTCCTCGCTCACGGATAAGAGCATCTCAATCACTCCGCAAGCGAACAACGCCGCTTGCAGCCCTACTGGCCGGTCCTCCCAGGACCGGTTGCCGTATAGGCCGGGTTGTCGTCCAGCGGGCCGGAGGTAGCGGACATACCCGGGGCCGGATCACGGGATGACGGTGCGAGTAGAGGTGCCTCTCCCGTTGGCTGAGCTTCCGTCTCGGTAGGTCTGTTGTCTGAGCTGCCGTCGAGTGCGGATGTAGGAGCCGAAGCTGGGGGCGCAGCCTTTGAAGCTGTTGTAGGTGCAGCGGATGCGACGGCTGGATCCGCTACCGGAGCCACTGCAGTGCAGTGTCAGTGGGTGTTCCAAGAGCATACACGTGTGCAGGGAAGCTTACATGGAGCCGCCGGTTCATAGCTTTCAGCCGCAGCGCCAGACGACGGCGCTGGCTCTGCAGGCGCTGGAGATGCAGGTCTATTCGAGCTCTCAGCGGCTGGAGCCGGAGTTGGAGCTTGGGCTGGTGCTGGTGCCGGAGGTGTGGTTGGGGCGGGCGGATCGTTGTACGTCGTAGCAGTGGGTTGCTGTTCAGCGGATTGCTGTTCAGCGGCCTGCCTGCTCTTCCTTCTGCTGAACATGCCCTTGAAGGCCTTCTTGACCTGGTCGAACGCATCTGGGGCTGTGCGGGTACGGCGTTAGTACTTTGCCAGGGATTGGATAGGTGATTTCGAGTTGAGGATACAGTCGGCTGAGCCTGCGGAGAGGACCTGATGCAGCAGAGGGGACACTCACGGACTCCAGGCATGATGTCGGGAAGAGTAAGCGGGGTGCACGCTGTAGTCAGGAAAGAGTAGAAAGTGAATCTGTCAATTTAGGCCTCAGTGGAACCCTGATCAAGCTACAAAACGGGCAGGAGTCGAGGATGAATGTCAGCGTCGAGGAAGATGTTGCTTCACGCAAATGAGGAGCTGCGCTGCTAGAGCTGTCAGAGCTGTCTCACAACTGGACCCCTAAATAACGCGTCACGTTTCAGGCTATTTTTGGCTGACATCTCGGAATGCTCGGGAGGCTCGGGCAACGGTGCATAAAACTCCATTCTCACTTAGGTTCCCATCATGCTGTGCTTCGATTCGTTTTCAGAACCTAGAATATACTTCTATTGATACGAGGTGGCTATGCTCCTTAGAAACCCATTCTGCAACAGAAATGCTCCGCAGTGGTGGCGTGAGTAATACAACATGCGCTATACTGGATCACCGAGGTTGAATTCCGGAGAACACATCCACTGGAGTCTGCCTTGCGGCTGCAAGGGCAATGAATCGACATATTGGTACGCCAGTATTGAGAACTCTATATCTAAAAATCCCGAACGCTTGGCCATCACCTATTACATACGCAAATGAACACGCTTGTTGGGGTCAACCTTTACTCCTGTACTGGCAGAAGAAGGGCAGATCTGTTTGAGCCTGCTACCGAGGAGGATTCCTGTGCGCCCATGGTGCTCGCGTTGGCAGCGATCCGGTCTGGTCAACAGATTGCTGGCTCGAACCAGGTGGCCGAGCCCATGGCGCCATCGTCGCAGGCTGCCCACCAGCTCCTGGTCTTAATGCACTTGTAGATTGGCTTGATGCCCACGGGGCTGCAGTACCAGCACTCGAGCCAGATGACCATGGCGCTCTAGTGCCTTCTTGCATCGGGTCTCTTAGAATAGCAGCATTCATCTGGCCCGTTGGCTTTGCGGGGTGGCTCGATGTGTGTACTGAGGATGGCGCGGCGACGGCTGTGGGATCTTTCTCCCAAAGAAAGAGCGAGCCGAAGGGGAAATGCTGGACTACCGGGAATTTTGACAGTACCTCGGCGTTGTACATCTTGAGCATTCCCTGAAGACGGACCGTTAGCGGCTTTCGGCGATGCGGATTTGGACTGCATTTTACCTTGTTGATCTTCGCCCATCCCGCCTTGACTCCTGACACATCAAACAGAATAGGGCTGTGTTCCCAAAAAGGACCCTTTTTAACATCGTAGATGAACCCGATTGCGCTAAAGTACATGTTCGTGCCTCGCTCCCGCTCCACCGCAGCAACTTTAGCGACGTCGCCAGGTTCTGGCGCACTGGGTAGAGAGCCTTCGGTTGGTATGTCAGCTACATTGCTGATAGCTGGAGAAAGCTGTGCTGATCCAAATATGTAAGGTAAGAACGAGTGGTCGTCCAAGCCCCAGACACCGTGAGATCCCGCAGGCTCGAGGGTATATGTCAGTATCAAACGTCGTACCAGTTGGAGATACCTGAAACTCTATCAGGAAAATGGTCCGACGGATAACAGACTGAGCGCATACGGTTCTATGATCCCAAGTACAATACCGCGCTCTTCGACACCAGGTTCAGCGTTGGCGAAGCCACCTAGCTTCCATATGCAACCCAGGAAAGCAAGGAAGCTGAGCTCATGACCGGTGCCGTAGTCCAGGCGTTGCGCGCTACCGAAGCTACCTAGTAGATATGCTTGGATTTCCTCTTTCGCCGTGACACCATCGGGTGAGTTCGAGTGCCGCTGCAAAACCTTGGGAGGGAGATAGTCGTCTAAAAGCGCTGATGTACGGCTGTTGACGAGCTCATACCACTTCCTAAAGCTGACATTTCCAAATCTGCGTGGTCCAGTATCCGGAGGTGCCTCTTCAATGAACTCCGACAACTTCACCATGAGCTCTCCAAGCTTCATGACAGTAGACGAGAACTCTATATCCGGGCTTCCAAGTTCCCATGTTTGTAGGAGATCGGCTTGAGATTCTTCGACTTTGCTTTTTCGAGGGAACATGGACGCATTGAGCTGAAGCAGGAAGGTCATAATGTCTTTGTATGCTTTTGAGGTAAGGAAGAAGGAGACATCGTCTCCATCATTGATGCGTTTCACCGGAATAGCGAATTCGTGATCTGTAGTAGAGTCCAGAACTCCCAATGACTGCCAGTTTTGCGTCCGAGAACCCGCCATGATTATGTACCGTGCTGAAGGTGTTATTGCACTCCGTGCGGAAGTTGCTGTCGCTGGTATTGTGTTTATCACGTGATGGCGCGTTTCCGCACGCTAAGAGCTCTGCCTGAGGAGAGTAAACACGAGCACTACGGCGGCATGACATTCATGACCATCTTTTTCCTACATTACTCGGGGCGCAACCAAGTTAGTCCTACACTGCCTGAATTATAGGATATGGCGCGACGCAATGCACGCGAAGAGTCCTCGGATGGAGAGCCCTTGCCGTCGTCGCAGCCGAGTGACGCGAGCGACGATGAAAGCGATGGGAATACCGCCGTTGTCCAGCACTTGGGCAGCGACTTTCCCGACTCAGTATCAGGTAAGAACGTGTTTGTCTCAGGCCATTTGTCAATGCCTGATTCGGTGTACCAGATGATCCTTACAGCTCTCAATTCAACGGCATAAGTCCACAAGATCTGCCGTCAGTGCAACTCATTCAAGAGCATCGGAAGATGGGAGCAGCTTTATCTAAAGAAGACGCTAGAGATGTCGTTCAAGCTGCCGCCCGAGACCCATTCCCGCATTCTTCGCCCCGTCCTGTTGACCGCCGAACTGCAGCAGAGTCGGCATCACTGGTAAATGCACCAAGCGCTGTCAGCACACGCCAGAGACGGCGAGAGTCAGACCATAACAAGCTGCCCTCAATCGTATCTAGAGCGCCTTTACCTTCCGCAAATGTCCACCCTACCGCAAGTGGGAAACTCCCGAAGCGAATCGCGGGCGCTTACAACACCCATAGTGCGCAGCAACCTCAAGTCAGTGGGAAGGGGATTCTGCCTCTGAGGCAGGCGCCGCGTGACAAAGCCAGACTGGATATCTATGATGTAATTGAGTCACCGCAGAAGCCTCCGCAGTCTGCTCAGGCTGTCCGTAGCTCAGGCTTTAAGGGTCCCGAGGCGCGAAAGCGAACTCGACAGGGCGACCAAGAAGAAGTACCTACTCCTATCTCTCCAAAACGCATGCGAAAGGATAACGCTGGCGATGTGAATCTGCCAAAGGAGACTGCTGGCCGCAGGACGCGCCAAACAGCGGGTATGGCATCTAGCAAGAACAATGCCGTGGCAATGAACGCTGGCACCCGCAGAATGACGAAGAGTACTGCAAAGGACGCAGTAGCAGAACCTGACAACGGAGAATTGCAGCAGGGAACAAAACACGCCCGGCCAGGTCAGCATAACTATCTAAAGCATCCGCAAAATGGTCGAAAGGAGGGCCAAGGTCCGCAAGAGCCAACCCACGCTGTGCCGGACCAAGTTACTCCGAAAATCCGCAAACGAGGCCGGCCGAAGAGAATATCTCAGCTAGCTGACATGAGAGGCGCCACCATGCAAGAGAGCACAGAGGACGCGGCTAACGTCCACGCGGAAGAACCTGAGCGGGATGGCCCACAAGATGTCCTTGAGAGCGCTCAGCCAGCGATGCCGGTGGACGTTAGCGGAAGACCCGCACATCGTCAGTCGCCGCAGGTTATAGTTACGAAGGAAGTTTTGCGATCAGCTGCCGAGGAACCCAATAAATCCAAGCAAGCCATTGCGGGAGCAAGTCCGCGAAGCGATCCGCACGATGATGCATGGTTGCCTTCTCCACAGAATCAGAGCGCCGAAGCTGTTCGGCAGCAGCAACAACGCCAGGCCGAATCTCCTAAAGATCGAGGCCAAAATCAAAAAACCAAGCCTACTCAGGATAGCAGTAGGTATCTCAGTAAGAGACTGCGCGAAGAGGACCGTCTAGGGAACGATGAGTTCGAACACACTGTTGAAGATAAACAAGTTTTGGGGCAGAAAGATACATTGATGGAGATCTTTGAGGGACTCAAGGCCATCGGGGTTCAGAAGCGAGACGGCAAGAACCATCGGCATCACTTTGACTTGCTCACCGAAACTGGCGAAGCGGTTGCAGCTGCTTGTCAGAAAGCGAAAGACTGCTACGTAAAGCTTGCACAGACAGAAAGTGGCAACGGGAAGTTGCGCAGCAGGCTTGATGAGGCGGTGGGCGAGGTATACATGCACACTGAAGCACTGAATGCGGACACTACTGAAGAGGACTCGGACGACCTTGTTCTCGATGTATACGCCCTAATATTTCACGTCTTGGTCAGCCTGCTGCGGAGGGCGATACTGTCCCACGTACATGTTTCCACAATCAGCAGTGGAAGCGGAGCACTACCTGCGCCAGCTTTGGAGGAGATCGTCTGTCTTCTGGATCTCATTGGGGATCTCGACTTACGGGCCAAAGAATGGAAATCCAAGCCTCACAATGACTACTGTGTTGTTAGGTCTGTGCGTAATGGTATCGTCGTACCCGTGCGGAAGGTCAGCGAAGCCTTCTCAAAGTACCAGCAAAAACGCGAGGAAGAAGCAAGAAGGCGCAAGCGTCAAGCGCTCAAGCAGGAGCAGATGCGACGGCGAGAAGAGCAAGAGGCCCTAGAGGAGGAAGAAGACAGGCGCCTTGCTGAACAGGAAGCGCAATGGGACGAACTCATCATTACGCGGTTGCTCCTGGAAACAGATCCGCGACGCTGTCGAAGCTATCATCTTGTGAAGTATGACCGGGAGGTTACCGATTGGGGTATTGATGCCAACGGCGAGCCGTTCGAGCGGGAAGACATGTTTTCTGCTAGACACACTGACGAACGTCCACTCTACAACCCGGAGGCTTGTCAGGAGTGGCCCGACGAGCATATCGACGCGCTGATGGAAGAGCTTGAGAAGGTTTCGAAGACATGCAAAGGTACTGTGTTCTCCCTGTTCCATTCAAGACAGAAGCCGCAGCAGCTAACACAGTAACGCACGTACAGGTACCGAAGTCCACAAGCGAGCCATAACGAAGCTCTGTAGACCTAGTGGAATTCTGAGAGATTACAACGTCCGTCAGATAACAGATGAAGTGGCCTGGGTACGGGACATTCTACGGAGAAGCCGAGACGCACATGTTCCTCAATGGCTTCTCGATTTACCGGATCCTGACCCCCAGCTCTACCATCTTCCAAGCAGCGATCCTTGATAGCGATATCTCCGCATGCACGTCCATATCTCGGCGCCCTGGCGCCATGTTTGGCTACACATCCTTTGCGATACCCCTTCACGACGCGCTTTGGTCAATATTTTCTTTCTGGAGTATTACAAGACCTCGTTGTTGTGCTAGGCTCGTGCCACCGCATGTACCGTACTTTAGGTAGCTCCAATGCACACTTCTCACCCCTGACCAAAGTCACATCCCAAAATAGATCTTCTACATCGGGCAGGTGGGACCATGGCCACTATCGATAAGACCTCCGGATCACTATCAAGCACCCCTCTCTCCTCTGCCGGCACTCGATTAGTGTCATAGTCTATAGTCTACCACCAGCAGTAAAGCCGGTAGACCGAGGCCTCATTACTCTTGTAAGCTTCTTTGCCTTGAAACCCCGCTGTCAAACTTCGAAACCTCCCAAATTAACGACCTTGCGCTTATCAAACATGGCAGGTTGGGAACAGCTTGCGCAAGACAAGCGCGACGCCGTGAACACCCTCATCCCTCAAGGATGGAGACTCGAGCACATACCCAGTGTCGAAGAGCAGCGAGACGTTACCGGCAAATACGTCCAGCAGTTCCTTAGCGAACGAGAAGTTGAGATTACCGAGACGGATGCTGTCGGCATTGCGGCGAAGACGACAGCCGGAGATTGGACTGCTGTGGAAGTAACCAAGGCCTTCTGCCATAGAGCTGCCATCGCGCATCAATTGGTGCGTCCGCTTGTCCGGCAGTCTGTGCAAGCCAGCATACTGATGCAGACACATACAGCTTAACTGTCTCCACGAGATCTTCTTCGATGCCGCAATCGAGGATGCAAAGCAGCTCGATGACTTCTACGCCCAATACAACCGCCCCCTGGGCCCGCTTCACGGCGTTCCTGTCAGCCTGAAGGACCAGTTCCACGTCAAGGGCGTCGAGACGACAATGGGCTACGTTGGTTGGATCGGCACCTTTCAGGGCAAGAAAGATACCGGCAAGGAGAAAGTCTTCGAAAGCGAAATGGTCCGAGAGCTACGGGAACTCGGCGCTATACTGTATTGCAAGACGAGTGTGCCACATACGCTGATGGCGGGCGAGACGGTCAACAACATCATCGGCTATACTTTGAATCCTAAGAACAGGAATCTGAGCGCTGGCGGCAGCTCCGGCGGCGAAGGTGCTTTGATCGGTCTCAAAGGCTCGCCAATCGGACTCGGTACGGATATTGGAGGGTCTATCCGAATCCCAAGCGCCTTCAACGGCCTGTATGGTATCCGGCCGTCAACTGGGAGATTGCCGTACGAGGGCATGGCCAACTCGATGGACGGACAAGGCACCGTACTCTCTGTTGTTGGTCCGCTAGCGACAACTGTGCCATCGCTGCGGCTGATGATCAAGTCGCTCCTAAGCCAGGAGCCATGGTTGCACGATCCGTTGGTCAACGAGCTGCCATGGCGAGACGAGCAGGAGAAGCAGATTCTGGACTTGATCGGGCCGGCTGGCAAGGGTGGCAAGCTCGCGTTCGGCGTCTTGAAGAACGATGGAGCGGTAGCGCCGCAACCGCCTGTGCGTAGAGCAATGGAGATGGTGGTGAAAACCCTTGAAGGACTCGGCCATGAGATCATTGAATGGAAGGCCCCATCCCACAAGCCGATCAATGATCTCGCCCTCAAAACTTGGTTCTTCGACGGCGGAACCGATATCATCGGAGCATTCAACCTTTCCGGCGAGCCCGTAAGCAAGCAGATAGGCGGTGCCTTTGGCGACAAGCCGTTCGAGCAGGCGAAAGCGAGCGACATCGCTGCGGTAAATGTTGCAAAGCGCGAGCTTCAGAAGGAGTACATGGAGTATTGGAACAGCACGAAGGACCTTACCAGCACTGGCCGGCCGGTTGATGCAATGATCTCGCCAGTTGCCCCATTTCCCGCAGCGCGAAGGGAGAAATACAACTACTACGGGTACACCGTATGGGTCAATCTTCTGGACTACACATCTGTCGTTGTGCCAGTGACCTTGGCCGACAAGAATGTCGACAAGATTGATACGGATTATCAGCCGATGAACGACATTGACAAGGCTACTCAGGAGAACTGTGGGTGGCAGAGGCCGTACTTGACAGTGTTGTAAGACTGACCTTTTTCTAGACGATCCGGAGATCTACGACGGTTCCCATGTTTCTGTGCAACTTGTGGGCAGGCGCTTGCAGGAAGAGAAGATGCTAGCAATCGCAGAGTATCTCGGCGACGCCCTGTGCGGCAAGTAATGTATCTGCAAGAGAACTGCAAGCGGTACGGGTCATGTTGTGTGACCACCAATGCCAAAATATGTGGTTAGCAATCAGATCTCAGACTCTAGAGAACCGAAGCATTCAGTAGGTTACGAAGTTTGAATTGATAGACACATGAGTGCTTCAACATGTTAAAACATTTTCTGCTTTCCCAGTCCTTCTCTGCCCTCGATCTCAAACCGCGGTAAAGTCCTTCTATAGACACACCACAATATGACCGCTGTTCCTTCACGTTCGCAATTCTCAGTCTAATACATTCAACAAACCAAGTAGATCTCCGCCTCAATGCCCAGCGCGCCAGCTTAAGAAGATCCGTTCGTGCCATTGGCATGCCCGTTGATCAGACCGTCGTTGTCGAACTTGTACTTCTCTTCCCTCTCCCAGTACTTGTTGAAGCCTACGCCTTCGCATACCTCCGAATACGACAGAATCATGGGGGGTGCGCCCTCAGTCATGCTCTTCTTCAGCGCCTCGAGTGCCTCCCGGATACTCTTCAATTTGGCGGCTACAAGGGACCACGGGTAGGCTACCTTCGGGAAGTTAGCCAGGTAAATTGTTGAGGGGAATGAGGGGGATTCTTTTGGGGGGGGGGGGGGGGGGGGGGGGGGGGGGGGGGGGGGGGGGGGGGGGGGGGGGGGGGGGGGGGGGTTTGGTACGTACTGCACTAAAGCCAAGCTCTGCAAGGTCTTTGGCTGACAAGTTCTCCGTCTTTCCGCCCTCAATAATATTGGCAAAGGTCGGCATATCAAGCTCCTCCACGCATTTCCTCATAGATTCGCGGTCCGGAAGCGCCTCGACGAACACGGCGTCCACGCCGATCCGCTTGAACTCCTTCGCCCTCGTCAAGGCTTCCTCCCAACCATGGATCAGCGAATCGGTCCTCGCTAGAACGAAGATATCCTTGCCCTCGTCTCTGGCATCGCACGCAGCCTGGATCCTCGCATACGCCTCTCCTCTGGATACTACGGCCTTGCCCTTTGTGTGGCCACACCGTTTCGGCCAAGTCTGGTCCTCAATCATGACGCCCGCGGCGCCAGCATCGGCGTAAGACTCCACGGTCCTCTTGACGTTCATCGGGCTCCCGTATCCGGTATCACCATCAGCGAACACCGGGATCGACACCTGCCGGACCGCCTCTTGGATCTTGTCGCACATCTCCGCCATGGCGATGTATCCCGTGTCCGGCAGACCGTAGGCGCTTGCGCAGGGGTAGCCGGCCAGGAAGACCATTGGGAAGCCGGCTTCCTCGACTAGCCGCGAGGAGAGGCCATCGTAGGAGCAGCAGTGGGCGAGGATTTTGGTGGGGTCGGCATGGGCCTCTAGCATCATGGTGCGAAGACGCGAGGCTTGTAGGGAAGGAATCTTGCCGCGGACGTTCTTGATTGTCGCGGAAACATCTTGTGTTTGGCCTTTCTTGCCCGGTTTTGTTACGATGGGCTGGTCAAACTTAAAGGGGTACTCGACGGTGTTAACGATTGACTTGGACATGGTGATGGTTTTGGGGTCTGCTGTAGGATAATGGTGAAGTGATTGTTGGAACTCGGATTTGGTGAAGGTATGATTGATGGCAAGAGCTCAATGGCGGCGCTGCACTTGCCTACTTATATTACTCAGACCAGTCTGAGCATTGTAAGCATTGTGGGAATCAATTTCCGAGTTCTCATCTGTTCCACTGAATTTTCGGAAAGCGCAGGATGTTAGTAAACATGAGGGTGCATACATGGTTCAGGAGAGGAAAATGCCGGGTATCTATGGATATCTTAGGCATGCGTGGATATCGTGTGTCCTCGGATCACCACGCTCCAAGTCTTACGGACCATCGTCCGGGGTGGCGCAGGGCTAGAATGCGGGGTTCTCTAGGAAAAGTTGGGGGAAGTGGAGCGGCTCGTTCTGTGCATCGTCGCCTTGCTGTTCCGGACATCTCCAGTGGCTAAGACGCTAAGGTGTAGGTAGTACTTAATAACACACGATCAGGAGCATGGATATGTTTTTCATCATAGTGGTCAGGTCAACTGGAATCCAGAAGATCATATATCTCGACTCTATTCACTCTTGTTTTCTGATATCAGATCGCATTCACTTTACCCTTAAGCATCAACTCACCGTCCAACACTAGTCATTATGGTCGACATCGAAAATCTCGAGAAGGGCGACGTTGTCTATGCTGAGAAGCTTGCCGACGAGGAGATCCGCCACGTTCAGGTGTCTGCAGCCCGCCAGACCCACATTCGTCGAAAGGTAACTCCCACATCCTGTTGATGCCTGGCGCTCCACCTATTGACGGCGCTGTGTAGTTCGATCGGCATGTGCTCCCCATAGGTCAGTGACTTTTGTTCGAGGGTAGAAGCCATCGAACCACGAAGAACCCAAGTCCTCCTCAACCACTACTAACTCCATGCCATAGTGTGCTGTTTGTACGTTCTCTCCTATCTGGACCGCGGCAACATCGGCAACGCAAGGGTAGCCGGAGCGCAGGACGACCTTGGCCTTGACAGCTATCAATGGAGCTGGGTTTTGAACGCATTCTACATTTGCTACGTGTGCTTCGAATGGACCACGCTCATGTGGAAGCTCTTGCCGGCTCACATCTATGTGGCGGTCCTTTGCATCTGGTAGGTTTGCCTCGATTTCGGTGGCCAGAAATGGTACAAGTAAGCTAATCGTGAAACAGTTGGGGTGCCGCTGCTATGTGCTCTGGTGTCGTTAATAACATGGCCGGCCTTGTCGTCTGTCGCTGCTTCCTGGGCATTTTCGAAGCTGCATTCGGAGCCGGCGCCCCTGTATTCCTGTCTTTCTTCTACCAGAGACACGAGGTTGGGCTGCGGGTCTCGCTGCTGCTTGGCATGGCTCCACTTGCCAACACCTTTGCATCTTCTCTTGCATATGGCATCACTCAGATCAAGAATTCGCTCGCACCTTGGAGGTTGCTCTTCCTCATTGGTAAGTTGGATTGCTCCATGAGCAACTTGCGAATGTTCTGCCCATTTTCCCGGTACATACTGACAGATTACGACAGAGGGCGCCCCCACGGTCCTTTTCGCGTTTGTGGTTTACTTTTACCTAGCCGACTCTCCGGGCACAGCCAAGTTCTTGACAGAAGCCGAACAAACTGAGGCCGTAGAAAGGATGAATCAGGTGGATAGGACAGCTAAAACGAAAGTCAACAAAGCGCAATTTCTCTCTGGGCTCACAGATTACAAACCGTATATCCACACAATGATCCACTTCAGCTGCAATTACTCCTTCGCAGCACTTTCAAACTTTCTGCCTACCATAGTCCAGGTACGTCGGTTTAGTCGTAGGCTCGCTTGTTATAGCATTGACGGAACACTAACAACCGTCTGATCTTGTAGGGCATGGGATACTCCTCGATAAATGCTCAGGGCTTGACAGCGCCGGCATACTTCGTGGCTTTCTTGCTCTGTGTTGCTGTGGCGTTCACGTCGGACAAGCTCGGCAAGCGAGGCTACTTTGTGGCCAGTTTCGCAGCCATGGGGACGGTTGGATACCTCCTACTGGCTGTCGTCCAGGACACGACCAAAATTGGTGTACGATACCTCGGAGTATGGCTTGCCGCGTGCGGAGTATTTCCAGCCTTAGTGATCAATATTACCTGGATGCTCAACAACCAAGGCGGCGACTCGAAGAAGGGTGCTGGCTTCGCAATTTTAGCGACAGTCGGGCAGATGTCTTCGTTTGTGAGCAGCGTCGTGTTCCCAACGACGGACCGGTACGTTCTTTGGCGACTAAGATAGTAGACTTGGATACTGATTGCTCCTAGACCGTTCTACACGAAAGGCTGCGCTCTGGGTTGCGGTTTTACCGGCTTGATCGTCATCTTGTCCCTTGGCCTACACTTCAAACTACAACACGAGAACCGGAAGAGGGACCGTCTGTATGGAAAGGTGCCCGAGGACGCACAGATTGATGTCACCCAGGGCGGTGATAACAACCCGAACTTCCGATACTTCACCTGATTAATCGTCGGAATAAGATTGGCGGTAGAGAGGACGGACTGCTGGCTGCGGACGAGGAAAGCTGGGCAATTATGTTGTGTATATATCAGGCTTCGACTCTTGTGTCGATAGAGTGTCTTGCTATCTACCGTTTAGGTCTTGGGCATCTCCTGCAGAGTGGAGAGCCGTCCATGCAAGTCTTCGTGGTCCTCATTATCGTGCATGATTTCAAATACTACTGAGCATACCGCATTGAAAGCAACTCGTGGACACCATAAGGGATGACCTCGACACAGTTCATAGATCAAAGATGTCTTCAGTGATTGGTCGACTAGAGGGCTGAAATGCTGACCGTCTTATGCTTTCTATCACCTGGAACCGGTCTCCGTTCTCACCCTTGATATGAGCGCGAGTCCAGCCGTAACGCGAGTCTGACACTGGTCGAGCAGCCAAGAATCTTCGACGAGCTTTTCGCGTGGCCCTTCTTCGCCCCATCCAGCACCGTAGGTGGTCTGGGTACGTTTACTCTCTGGCTTGACATCGTTTCGCAATCGGCTCAAACATGGACATCCTGCACAGTGGCTCTGCTGCTGCTCAGCATCAGATTTCTCTGCGGAAGCTGATGCCATCCTCATTGTAGTGTGCCCAACAAACACAGCATTGTAGTGTTGGAGGATGTTGAGGATGGCTAGGCCGGAGTACGTCTCCACTATGCGGATCACAAAAACGGCCGGACTCTCAAATCGCAGAAACTTATCCAAATTCACCATGTTACAAAGATCCTTACTGTAGCCGTTTCACCTCTAGTTATGGCTTCAACACGCTTATGAGGTTATATACGTCGCCTTGCACATAGCCCCCTGACTTGACTCTATTATCATATTTCGCCATGAAGCCTTCAATCGACAGTCAACGCAGTACCCTACCAGTGCGTACGTTTTCGAGTCCGGCGACTTTTGTCACCCAGGTGTCCCATCTTTCGGCAACCCTTCTCCGCCGCGAACCGTAACTCCCCGGCCGTCCGCGCCCTCAAATATCCTGCGTTGCCCGCCAGGACAGCCCTGCACGGACGAACTTCCCTTTCGCAATGACTTCGAACTCACCTGACACTAGCACCGCTGTACGAACTGATAGCAGCTCCACTGCGAAAAGTGGACCTAAGCAAAATGAACAGAGACAATACCAACGAGCGTACAAGGCATGCGTTGGATGCCGCAAAAGGAAGGCCAAATGTGAGCTCGTTCAGGGGACAACTGGACCTCCGTGTATCAAATGTCGTCGAGAGCTGAGAGAATGCATCTTTACGGCGGAAAGAGCTTGGGCGAAGAGGCAGAAAGGAAATACTCCACCAACGGAAGATTCAGGCTCGTTTGCGCCGCCGGTTAACCAGGATAATTCCTCAGGTGGCAACGGTTCGTCTCATGCTGTGCAAAAGCCTTTGCACTGGCCTTCGGGACAGGAAAGCTTCCCAGAGATTGTGGGAATGCAGCTCGGAGGTATGGAGATGGGTCCCCCACCGCCAACGCCTCCGCATGTACGTTGTTTACTTATACTCCATATCTCGCTCACCTTTCAACAAATTTCGATTACCCAATATCCCGGTTAATTTTGTGGTGCGTGGCTTCTAGCTGCTTTCCATCATGTTCAACTGCGATTGACCTCGTGATACCTCCCTGCTCTCGTACGATCCAATTCGCACCTGGATACCTTGGCATTGGGACGAGGGGACTTCGGTCATCTCAGATGCTATGACCAACAGCGCTTACGTATCAGGACTATAACTGATTCATTTGTAGCATCGGCAGCCTCACGTTGGAACCCCCGGTAATCAATCTACGGATCACAATGACCGCTCTGGACATCTCCGTAGGATATCATCCCTATCTTCGCACAAGGCAGGGCTTACGACTTCTGTCATGCGGACCATTGTTTCGAGCGGCAATGATGCGCTGAACCTTCTATATGAAGCAGCTAACCACGAGGCTACCAACAGAGAAGATGCTGGCACGAGCAACGCCGGACTGCCGCAAGCGGCCGACGCTTACTACGGCACGCCCGGCTCGACTTTGTCTGTGGGCACAGCTCCTGTTGCTACAATGCCTGTGCGTATCTCCACTGCATCATCCGACGTTATGAGAGTCTGGAATGCATGCCGATTCGTGAGAATGGGCTGGTTTCGGGCCGAAGAGGCCGTGACCTACGTGGATCTGTTCTTCCAGAACCTCTCGCCCCTTTCACCGATCATCACGGACTTCTACTCGAGGCATGAGAACCACTTCTTGCTAGTTACTCAAGACCCACTTCTGTGCTGCACCATTCTCATGATCTCATCACGCTACCATGTACTTCCGGGAATTGGCGGTGCTTCGCGATCATACTTCATTCATCACCGGCTATGGGAACACTGCCAGCATCTCATTATGAGAATCATGCTCGGACAGGAAAAGGCTTCCAAGGCCAAGACTCGGACCGTAGGCTCAGTCGAAGCCTTGCTGCTCATGTCTGAGTGGCACCCCCGCAGTTTGCATTTCCCGCCGGCAGCAGATGGCTGGGACTCAGACCTTATCCTATCGGCCGCCGACGACAGGGACGAGGTGCAATCGCCCAATCCCTGTACGACAGCTTCCAAAAGCTGGCTTGAGGATGTCATTGAGCCAGCGAAGCGCTCGGATCGCATGTCTTGGATGCTCCTTGGATGTGGGTTGTCATTAGCCCACGAGCTCGGTGTTTTCGACGATGACAATAACGCCAAAGCGTCTGTCGGGGAGACCCAGGCCTATGTGGAGAGAACCGCACTGCGACGTATGCGCCTACGTAAGCTGCTGTATGTGTTCGTTGAACAGCTTGCCTCGCGTCTGGGATGCACTTCCATGATTCCAAAGTCTCTGAACCATTCAGCGCTGCAAGGCATCTCAGCTATAAGTACGTCATCGTTGAGAGGCGCGGATCAGGAGTGGCATTTGTTTATGACTGCCTGGATCGACCTCACGAAGCTAGTAAAGTCCATATCAGACATGCTGTTTCCTTCCGCATCGTTCAGCAGGCAGATTCTCCGAAACGGACGCTACATCGGACTACTCGAGCATTTCCAGCCCCTGTTGTCACAGTGGCGGAAAAAATACCTGGACCCGTGCAAACTAGGCGACTCTCTTCAGGATATGCTTGATATTGAGTATCAGTACGTCCGGATTTACGCCAACTCACTAGGCATGCAGGCCGTCGTGGAGCGGACGTTGGAGGAGGCAGACTCGTCCGAGGGCTCCCCTGACGAGGCGCTGGCAATGTCACTCGACGCAGCGGACTATGACTTCATCCAAGAAGTCGTTGATGGAAGCTGCGCTATTCTGCAGAAAGTCATCAAGCTCGCGGAGACCGGAGCGTTACTTTTTTCGCCCGTCAGGATATTCCTACGCATCACCACGTCCGCGATCTATCTTCTTAAAGGCCTTAGCCTCGGTACGTCGTTCTCACACTCCTGAGCTGTTTCAATCCAAAATTCGTTCCTTGAACTAGCGACAATCGGGATCTTGGATCTGAACTTGCTAATACTCGTCTCCAGGCGTCTGGACCAAAAAACTGCAATCCTCTCTCGACATCCTCGACCGCAGCATTGTCGCGCTCCGCTCCAGCACGCTGGACGATATGCACCTCGCCTCGCGCTACGCCACGCTCCTCGACCTCCACGTCGCCCGTCTGCGGAAAAGCTTCGTCGTCTCATCGCGGCCGCCTCGCCTGCCCACGCGGCCTCCGTCCGCCGACCGGATGGTTCACGATGGGGCCGGTGGGGTTAGTGATGCACTCGGGACTGATGTGGCTGATGGCACGGCGGATTTTGGCGCGTTCGGTGGCGGTGGGGATGGAAACGGGGGGGTGGATGGGATGTTTGGGGCTGCGGACGATTGGCTGGCGCTGCCGTTTGATGCGTCGATGGCGCCGTTTGCGCCGGGGGATGTGCCGGGGTTTGAGGACGCGAGGTTGGATTTCATTTGGACGTTGCCGCTGTAGGGGATGGGTTAGTGGAGCTGGGAGGCTATCTGGGCGCAGGATCAAGTGGTCTGGAACGGAGAAAGTGGCGCCGGATCTGGGAGTTGTATCTTGTAGATTTCGCGCACTCGTATTACTTTGATACCCGTATGGCTAGATACCCCCAGATGCTGACGCAAACGCTTCCCGCTATACCACAGATACCCAAAATGCACCCCATTCTAGCTAGATGAAACGAGAACGCTGTAGTGGTATATAACAAGTCCCATCCAAAAACACGACAAAAAAGATAAGAGTGAAACGGAAAACCAACGTGCAGAATACAACGCTCACCCGAAATACACACTCATACACCCGATCCCCCCTTTCAAGAAACCTCAGCAGATCGCCTGTAGTACCCAAAACTCACGCGTAACTCGCTTCTCGTATCTCCTAAAGCCAATTCATGGAACCCGCCAGGCTCAACTTGCCGCGCTACCCCTAATCACCCACTACTCTCTTCCAGGCCCCTACCCCCGCTCCTCGACCATAAACCCCTTCAGATCCCCATACTGCAAAAACCCGTCCGCAGACCCCTCGATGCCGTCCATGGGCATCACGCCCCCGATGCCGACACCACTGACACCACTGACGCCCCCTACACCGCCGACGCCGCTCACGCCGCTGCCAGCATGGTCCATCTTCGTCGGCGACAGCATAAGCGGCGGGTGGCGGGCGGTGTGCGGGTTATAGTGCTGGGGCAGGTGATGGGCATGGGAGTGGGCGTGCTGGAGCAGGGGTGGGTGTTGAGGGTGCTGTGGATGGGGGTGGGGATGCTGATGCTGGGAGTGCTGCATATGGTGGTTGCTGTGGTTGTGGTTTTGCGGGTGGGGCTGGTTGATGTTCTGGGCGTGTCTTGCCCAAACGGAGGAGGCGGCCGCGGGGGTCTGTTGCTGTTGGTGCTGCGGCTGCGGCGCATGATGCTGCGCACGTCCCGCTTGGCTGTGCGGAGGCTGTTGGTGTTGTGGGCCGTTTATGCGCACCGTAGCCCCGGGGGTCGCGTCTTCAGCGTCGACGTCAGCGTCCGCGTCGTCGTCTGAGGCGTCATCGTCGCCCTCGACGGAGTTGTCGGCAGATTGGAGCGAGTTCGTCCGCGTCGAGGGGGCGGAGAAGGTCGGGTTTCCTGTCTTGGCCTTTCCGCTGGGACAGTTCCCGCCATTACCGTTGACAGTATGGAACTGGTGGCCGTTCATGCAATTCGCGCTGCTAGAGGAAGTTCCAGTGTGCGGCCCTGACGGCGAACACAGCGCCCGCTGCGCACTCATCCCGTTGCTCGTCTTCCGGTTGTCCCTAACAACATTTCGCCACTTCTCGATCAGGCGGTCGTAGTCCCAATTGCTCACATCCAGTCCGTGCCGTCCGAGCTGTTTCATCGTGTCCGTGGGAACATGCAGTGGGTTCTCCGTAGGTACTGACGCCGCGGCCGGCCAGGTGCCGCTGCAGCGGGCGCTCCTCAGCTGCTCGATCTCGCGCTTCGCGGCCTCGAGGTCTGATTCGGCCCGTTTACGGAGCTCTTCTGCGCGGGAGTAGGAGCGTAGGATCTCGAGCTGCCATGCGTCGTACTTCTGCTGGTCGGGGAGGCTCTTCCAGTGGGACCAGGCGTCTGCGAGGTGGGCGAACAGTTTCTGCGGGTCGGGATCGTATAGGGGCGGCGTTGGTAGGGAGGAAGACGAGTTTGTGCCATTGGTGGAGGGTGAAGAGAATTGCTGCTGCTGTCGCTGGCGCTGGAATACGAGGAGGCGTTCGTGGACCGTGCGGTTGAGGGCGTCAAACTGTTTCTGGTTTGGTGGGTTGATGGACCAGGACTCGCTCGTTGGGAAGGGGGTCGGCGAGAAGAGGGTTGATGGCGAGGGAAGAATATGTAGGCACAGGCTTGGGAAGCTCATCGTGTACGGATCGAAACTGAAGAGTCCGCCGCTGGTGGCGCGACCGCTGTATAACTGTTATTACTAGAACTTGTTTTACTTGAGCAGTTCAAGGCGCAATGTTCATACCTCGCTTCCCTCACGCTGTTCAAAACTTCCTGCAGCGCTAATTGTGCAGCCTTCATAGCCTCCCACTCTTCCGTGGCCTTCTGCCGCTGCTCATAGTCCGTCTTTTGCTGCTCATGTCGCGAGACCTCCCTCCGTAGCACTGGGGCCGTAGAACTGGTCGGCCGCGGCGGTAGGTTGTTTATGACCCCGGTAGCTTGCCAATTGGCATGATTGAGCTGCGTTCGGACCTTCTGGCCCACTATACCATTGACAGGTGGAGTGTGGACGACGACTGGAGACGCTTGTGGCTGTTCCAGTACAGGCGGTGCTGAGCTGGGTGCGGCTGCCGGTGCTGGGCCACTGCTTTCCTTCTTGACCGACGATGTTCGGGCTTGTCTTCTAGTGATTCCCTGCCGCAATCTCCGTATCTCATCGACGATATGTACGCCATCTTGCGGCTTCGGGTTCTTGGTCTTGATGTAGAGGTCGAGATGCCGGCCGAGCGAAGAAGAGGTAAAGGCTTGGTGACAGAACGGGCAGTTCTTGTCCTTTTGTGAGGGAGGTTTCGGAACACTGGACTCGGCGCTCGATCGAGAGGTATCTACGGATTGCTCGGTCATGGCGAGCAAGAAAGGTGGTGCGTGTGAGCCCGTTAGGACATGAGCTAGTGGAGCTCCGCAGCCGATGATGCGTAGTGGGCGGCCGTCGTTAAACGGACAGTAATGCGTAGAATGGTGATATTAGAAGCAGATTAGAGCATTATGAGAAGCATATTATAAGGGAATATTACAAGCAGTGCAAACATGCCGTCGGGGTTGTGGGGATGCTCTGAGTGCATTTCGGCTCTCCCTCCCCTGAGGTGTCACGGCATGGTTGACACGGGCTCCCGCGCCTGTCAAACGCCTCGTGGAGTCCGTGTGTACAGTAGCACATTAGTTGAGATATCGAGTTTTGACAAGCATGTCATGTTTTATATATCATTTGAAACCATCTAGCTAGCCTCAGCTTTTTCTCAGCTTCGACGTAGACCTTGCTGCGATCTCTTCGTACTGCCGCATCCCGCCATCGAGCTTCTTCAACTGTGCTTTAGACAGACGATAAACGGCACCGACCCGCGCTGCAGACGCCTCTTCGCTTGTCTCATCCTCCTCCGGGTCATAGGCATCATGGAGACCACGCGACATGCTTGTCGGATTCTCCCCTTCTACCACACAGCGCATGAAGAACCTGTCGTGAGTCACGACGAGCAAAGCTCCCTCATATCCACGCAGCGCCGTGACGAGAGCCAGGATCGTATCGGCGTCCAGATGCGTTGTAACTTCGTCCAGGACCAGCAGATGCGGAGGCGACCACAGCAGCTTCGCTATAGCGAGGCGTACCTTCTGGCCTCCCGAGAGAGCTACGATGGGAACATCGGAGGCTAGTTGGCCTTGCAGTCCCAATGAACCCAAGAGTTTCCGCGCGTCCGTCTCAGCCAGCTCTCCATTAGAGACCTCTAGCAGATGCGTGAGTGCAGTTAGACCGTGATGCTGGCTCGCGATGCCATCGAGTAGCTCCACCGCCTGCTGTGAGAAGCGTGCCATTGTTGCCCTGGGATGTCTCGTGACCGTCCCTTTGATGGGTGCGAGATCACCGACTATCAGAGAGATCAACGTGGTCTTGCCAGACCCGTTGAGGCCTGCGATGCCGACACGCTCGCCAGGATGCATGGTAAAACTGATATCATTGAGAAGGGAAGAGGATTTTTTCCCGTAGGCGAACGAGACCTTCTCCAGGGAAACTATTGAACCTGGAAAGCGTAGGTCAGGCGGTGTCATAGGAAAAGATATGCGGACCGGCGGATCAAATTGCGGCACTTCGATGTCGGCCCGATTAGAGGTGTGATAGCCCGGGAGGTCACGGTTGAGCTTGAATCGAGTGCCCTTCGCGCTGACCTCCAAGCCCCAGCGCTCGTCCAGCTTCTTCTGGCGGGAAGCTGCTTGGCGTAACTTGTTGTCGTCGCCGGACTTTTTCGCAGCTTTGACGTTCTGCTGTATCGTCTTCTCGATGTGACTCTTCTGGCGGTCCTTGGCATCTTTCATCTTCGTCATGTATTTTATGTTGACAAGGCGTTCGGCTTCGTAAGCGGACAAGTTTCCGCGGAAGTACTCGAGGACCAGGTGGCGTAGTACAATTAGCTCCTCCGCTACGGCGTCGGCGAAGTCTCTATCATGTGTGACTACGACGACTGTAGTATCCTCGAGTTCCTGCACGTAGCGTTGTAGCCAGATGATCGATGGTAAGTCTAAGAAGTTGGTCGGCTCATCGAGCAGTAGCACGTCGGCTGGCTGACACAGCGCGCATGCAAGCTCACATCGCGTTTTCCAACCGCCGGACAGGTTCGTCAAGGGCTTGTCTAGGCTTTCTGTAGAGAATCCTAAGCCGAGAAGAACGGTTCTGGCTTTGGCTTCAGCGGCTGAGGCGTTCATCAGGTCGAGCGCGGAGTGGATCTCAGCCAACATATCGGCAGCCCCTTGAGAACCTTCATGTACCTGTGACGGCTCGATCTCGCTCAGATCGGCGTCAACGCGGCGCTGCGATTCGACGAGTTGTTCTTCTAAAGCTATGAGCGCCTTTCTTGCTTTGAGTCCACGTGCGCCACTCCGTCGTGCGGCGATCTGGCGAGCTTCGGAGACACTACGCTCAAGTCGCTCATGGCTAATCTGGTGGAAGGCCTTGACGGACGCCATTGGGTCCTTGGCGTTCTCGAGCGCAGCTGACAGCATGCTTGCCTCCCTTAGATACCGTTCTCGGACTCGATTGCTCTGGATAACATGCTGCAGTACGGTCTTCTCGGCGATGCTCAGGTTGTCAATTCCGGTCTCCAAGCTCTGTGCTGTCTGGCCGAGAAGCAGTATCCGTAAGCTCCAGGGAATGCCAGGTACCATTCCGTCCGCTACAGCTTTTAGCAGCGTCGATTTGCCTGTGCCATTGCGACCAACGAGAACGTAGTGCCTGCCCTCCTGCAGGTTCAGTTCCGCATGTGACACGATCTCCCGTTGGCCAACTGAGATGCTAAGGTCTTTGACTAGGATCTCTTTCGAAACTGGGACATCTACTGCATCGGTATGGAACCGGCTCTGCTGTGCTGTGACCGTTATTTGGCCTGCTTCGAGAGACAACTCTGGGGCTTTCCCCTTCTTCGGCATGGCGCTAATGGAGAAAGGATGGTAGGAACGAAAGAAGTAAGTGAACAGGGCAGTGCAATCGAAAAGAATGTCTGGAAGGAACAAAATGAATGCACTCAGGCTCTGGAGACAAGGCACACAGGGGCATTGGACCTGCCCGAGGACTTGTATGTCTAATATGCACAGCCTCTGCCGACCTACTGATGAACAATATTGGCATGCATGTCGCCAGGCCGCCAAGCCTAGAGACAAGCCGGATGACTCTAACTGTTGCAGAAGGGGCAAGAAGCATGCAACGTATCAGTGGCAGCTACGGCCGCAAGAGGGAACGAAAAGTTAAGAGTCAGATGTAAGCTCTGCATATCATTTACCAAGTCTGACTCAATCGGAACGGGTGCGCCGCAATCCGGCAGCACAGTTGACTGAATTCGTTGAGCGTCGGCACAGCTCACATCGTGACTCCATGCTTATACCAACAAGAGCAGCTTCACATCCCATTGATGAGATTAGCACACAACGGGTCTTCAGGTTGGATTGCGGTTTGGAAGAAATGCGGTCGACACAGGCATTCTCTGAGCGATAACATCACGTGCGCTTATATAACCACGAAACATCGCAGCCGCCGAAGTCGGAGGACTTGTCCACCCATCCTCCAACTCAAAACAACGCCCGCACCGCTGATCCAAGCCATTGAACAATTGCAAACGTATCACGCCATGATTCTCATCCATTCCCAAGCTCCAAGAAAAAGTTGACACCCCGAACCTCGCGCCTACAACTCCAATCCATTCCGATACTCATCCATCTCCTTCCGCATCGCCTCCTTCACAATCGCACCACACATCTTCGCATACGGATTCAGCCTGACCGCAATCTGCTGCGCTGTCTTATCTCCGTACCTTCCGCCTAGGAAGAAGTCCCGACTTGCCATCTCCTCCAGCTCGTCGCTCGACGCTCGCCTTAGCTCCTCTGGCCCGCCCTCTAGCACTCCGTCTCGCGCTGCTTTGGCTGCTTTCAGCAGGATGTAGCCGCGGTGCGTATGCGCTGTTGCGAGGACGTGGGCTTGCAGGCGTGAGAGGGTGTCTTGAGGGGATGCGGGCGTTGTGAGGGCGATGGCGCGGGAGAGATCGGAGAGGAGACGGCTCAAGAGAGTGTTATTGGCAGAAGAGAAGAGGTCGTCGCCGAGTAGCAGTCGTAGTGCTTGCGCTCTGTTCGTGTACGCCGATGCATACGAGGGGTGGGCCACTATCAGGTCGCCGAGAGCTTCGGTCGCCGCTTCCACCGTTTCTCTAGAAGGGCTGGGGGTGTTGAGCGGCCGTATCGCTGCGCTCTCGATTAATTGTAGGCCTGGAAGTTCGCTCTCGGATATTCCGGGTAGAGAGTTTTGTGATGCTGATATGTCGACATCGTCGCGCGAGAGCGAGGCCTCGGGGTCGAAGAGCGCGGAGAGGACGTGGGCATCGTTGCTCGACAGGGAAACCTCCGGCTTTGGATCGAATGATTGCATCGTGGCAGCCGGCATCTTCGAATACTGTCGCAGCGTGCAGTCTAGCTCGTGGAACGAGAAGCTCTCGAGCGCACGTAGAATGCTATAAATCGGCTGGCTCTTTTGCCTTCCCTTTAGTGGTCCTCGGTAGGTTGCTCAGAACGGGAATGAGGCAGGCTTTTTGGGTGGTATAGAGGTCACCCGGGGTAGTAAATGCGTAACAGTGCGCAAGCAGGTATAGTACGAGAGCAATGTGGAATGGAAGAAGTCAGGTAGGTCCGGCTTTCAACTATGTATCTGTCCAAGACCAAGTCTTTTCGTCTTTTCGTCTTCTCAGACTGTTCAGCTTCCCCAGGTAAGCTTACTAGTCTCTTACCATCTGACTATCGCGTCTTGTTTCGGCACTTTCTTGGACGACTGCTTGCGGCAATGGCGCGCTTGTTTACGGAAGGGCCCGTGCGTCCGGGGTATCCGCCTTGTCTTTCCCTGAAGTATCCGCCGCTTCAGCCGACGGATGCCGCACCTCATCGCTGCTCACCACCAGCATGGTAACAGCCCCCACCGGATTGCGAAGCAGTAGCAGGCTTGTCGCCGCAGTATGCTTCGGCATGACACGCATGCTGCGGTAAGCCCGCAACTGGCATCCAGTGATACGCACTCGCAGAATGTATATCAGCGCCACGGGCCTCCGTAGACCTAAGCTTCATTCATCAGGCTTCTCCATCATCTCAGCTACAGCACCAATACACCACAAGCAGCTTTAAGTTTTTGCATAGCGACCCCGTCTTTAGGCTCTTCCTTATCGAACGTCAGCAATGGCGCCCATCGCCCTCTCCCCACCCACATCGCCGACCACCTCCCACGCACAACCCGCCTCGGATCTGTCTAGCTATCGAGGCTACCACCATGTGCACTGGTACGTCGGAAACGCCAAGCAAGCAGCGGCATACTATGTCTCGCGCATGGGCTTCGAGCGCGTCGCATACCGAGGCCTAGAGACCGGCTCTCGCGCCATAGCCTCGCACGTTGTGCGGAACGGCAACGTCACATTCGTGCTCACCTCCCCGCTGCGATGCCTCGAGCATGCGGCCCAGTTCCCCGAGGAGGAACGGCGACTGCTAGAGGAGATACACGCGCACCAGGAGCGACATGGCGATGCCGTGAAAGGTATGTGGGCCTTCTTGCTTGAGGGCAAAGTCACAGCCACACTGACCCACTCCAACAGATGTCGCCTTCGAGGTCGACTCCGTCGACGCAGTCTACAGCTCCGCCGTCGCCAAAGGTGCCGTCTCCGTCTCCGCGCCCAAGACCATATTCGACAAAAACGGCAGCGTCAAGCTCGCCACGATCCGCACCTACGGCGACACGACGCACACGCTCATCGAAAAGGCCTCTTACCGCGGCGCCTTCCTCCCCGGCTACCGGCCCGAAACCTCCACCGACGCCCTCTCTCGCTTCCTGCCCAGCGTAACCCTCGAAGCAATCGACCACTGCGTCGGCAACCAAGACTGGGACTCGATGGAAGACATCTGCAACTACTACGAGAACGTGCTCGGCTTCCACCGCTTCTGGAGCGTGGACGACAAGGACATCTGCACGGACTACTCGGCGCTGAAATCCATCGTCATGGCGAGCCCGAACGAGCTGGTCAAGATGCCCATCAACGAGCCGGCGCAGGGCAAGAAGCAGAGCCAGATCGAGGAGTACGTCGCCTTCTACGGCGGCGCGGGCGTGCAGCACATCGCGCTGCGCACCACCGACATCATCGCCGCCATCACCAACCTCAAGGCCCGCGGCGTCGAGTTCATCAAGGTGCCCGGCACGTACTACGACGCCATGGCCGCGCGGCTCAAGAAGTCGGGCCTCAGGCTCGAGGAGGACTTCGAGGTCCTCAAGAGTCTGGATATCCTCATCGACTTCGACGAGGGCGGCTATCTGCTCCAGCTGTTTACTAAGCATCTCATGGACCGCCCGACGGTGTTCGTGGAGATTATCCAGAGGAATAACTTTGACGGGTTTGGGGCGGGGAATTTTAAGAGTCTGTTTGAGGCTATTGAACGCGAGCAGGCGGAACGGGGCAACTTGGTTTGAAAGGCGGGGGGGGGGAGGGGAGTCTTAGCCAAGGTGTAGTGGGTGAGCTGCAGAGTGGCTTTCTTGTACATTGACTTTTTGCGCTGCGCGTCGGTAAGCATTGTGGGTTTCGGATTGGCCGGATTGGGGGAGGCGCTGGCTGGGGTGTTTGGGTTTTAGATACTGCATCAGTACGGAGAGAACCGTTCCTACGCTTATAAAGTCTGCCAGAATGTGTCGCTGGAGATGCTGTTTAGGGGTGACTGCAGTTCTGAGTCGAGTATCGTGCACACCATGTTTGGCAACTAGTGGTCACAGCTGTAGTCTGCGTGCGGTGTGAAGGATCTCATTAGGATTACTGCCGTAAGGGAATGCACTACACTACTCAAAGAAGGGACAGGTATCAACTCGAAGACAAACGTCTGCGACCACTACCAAGGCCAGAAGACCCGCGTTCTCCATTTCTCACAACCCCCCACCCTAAACGTTCCCACCAGCAAAAGACCGCCCGCCTAATACTGCCCCGGCTGCCTCTCCACCCCCGACCCAGGCGCCGCATATGAACCTCCGTACCTCTCCCCACTCTCACCCCCCTGACCCCTCGACCCCGCCTTATCATCCAACCCGCCGTCTCCCTGACCGGCTCCATAGCCCTGGCTGCCCGCCGCGGTAGACGAGCCGGCCTCAGACTCAAACGCGCCGCTCTTCCTGTCCGCAACCGGACTGCTGGGCGCGCTGCTATCGGGCACCTCCATGGTCGTCTGGCCGGCCGAGGCGCGGATGACGTCGTACCACCTCTGAGCATCCTGGAGGGTATGCGCCTTGAAGACGAGCTCGTGGCTCAAGCCGAACTTTGCGCTCAGTTTCCCGCCGCTGACGTCCTTGCCCTTGACGTTGAACTTCTGGCCGTCGAGGGCGCCGATGCTGCAGTCGGGGAGGAAGAGGGACGTTTCGGGCGAGGGCTCGCGCACGTCGTCGTCGGTTTTGAACTCGTGCAGGAATTTTGCGGGGGTTACGACGTAGTAGAAGGTGTTGTAGCCCCGGAGTTTGGACTTTTTCTCCAGCGAGCCTGCGATCAGGGGCTGGGTGGATGGGTGGTCCATGTTGGGGAAGCTGATGTTGGATACGTCGCGCGCGGGGGCGGAGGGGTCGATCAAAACATTGCCGTTGCGCTTGAGGAAGCCGTTCCACTCGAAGTCCGGGGAGATGCGCTGGGTTGTGGAGGCCATGTCGCCGTACATGGTCCTGGTCTGGTCCTGCTGCGAGGAGACGGCTTGGCTGAAGTGGCCCATGCCTGTCTGGATGGTGGAGACGATGTGGGCTTCGAACTGGGCGAAGGAGTTTTGCACGGAGAGGAAGTCTTGCCGGTTGTTGTTCTCCTCGAGGACTTGCTTGTGCAGGTGGTGCATCGCATTGCGACGTAGGATGTAGGGATCGTCCGACGCGGTTAGACGCCCGCCGGCGGAGTCGTAGGTCGCGGTGTGTTGGCCGAGAAGCTCGATGTGCTTCTGGGTTGCGTTGCGCGCCTTGTCGACAGCTTTGCTGCCCTTGCCCGCGCCTTTGATGAGCTCTTTGGTCTTGTTCTTGATCTCGGAGTGCAGGCGCTCGAAGATGGGGAGGACGGAGCCCTTGAGCACTTTGGCGGTCTCGTAGTGCGAGTTGGAGATCCCCTAATCTGTTAGCTGGGTTTGTGCAGTGTGGTCGGGCTGAGGCATACTTGGGTGTTGGAGCGGATGTTGTCAAACATCCCTGCGATGCCGCCGACGCTCTGGTCGAAGTGATGGCCTTCCTTAAGCGGGTGTGACACGGTCTGGAAAAGGGTGAGCTATGAAGAGGCGCAGTACTCGGGGCTTCAATACCAACCTTCAAGACCTTCTCGTACTCCTTGCCGTGAGCATGCTGCATCTTCTCCGTGGCGTGGATGTAATCTTCGAGGTAGGACACAGCATGCTTCCATGCCGTCAGGCGCTCATTGAAGAGTCTGGTAACCTGTTGATAGCAGTGTTAGCGCCTGCGGCGGTGGACATAGCGTAAGACGCTGCTCACCTCGCTGGTATCCTCGCTCGGGATGGCATCGTCGTCGCTACCTCCGGTGCCTTGGGTCATGCTTCTTGTGGGTAGGTCGTGCTGGGTTGCCATGGTGGTGGTGGTGTGTGCTGTGTAAGCGCTGTTTGATGTTGGTGCAATTGCTGTCGCGTGTGAGGACCGATGGTCGGGAATTTGAGGTCCGGACGATTGATTGCTTCTGAACAGATATGAATAGAGTAGAGGAAGAATGGGAGGGTGACGGGAGGCTTCTCCGGAGATGTATCAAAAACTGCCCCTCAGCCCAGGGTCCAGAAGAATGTTTTGCAACCGGATCGTCGTCGACGTCATTAGCGCTCGGGTCATACGGTATAGGCACAGCCACTCCGCCAACCTCCAACGATCCAACCCCGTTTGCCTATCAGTGCACAGCTTCACGTGCTATACACAATCTAGCAGTGGTCATTGGGTCTGTTTCAGTAAAGCATCTCGATGTCTCATTGCCAAGTAATGCCCAAGGCAGGCCAAGTTTTGTAACAAGAAACGCCCTGCCAGCCGCCGAGCTTTCAGTTTGTCTAAAGAGAACCCGCTAAAGAATGCATCCGCTCCATCAGCTACACGCACCGGGTATCTCTTGCACCATGCCTCCTCTATAAGAAACTCCTCTATCCGCCGCCCAATGCTTTTGTGGTCGTAAAAAGAGAGGAGAGCTGAAGAATAATAATAACAGTGAACTGCGTAGAGCAGAAGAGGGAGGGTACCCCTATGCCACCCCTCATGCAGAAAGCAATAGACTTTCATGGTTAGAAGAATCGAAGTGCCGTCTCGACGCGTCCCTTACCGCCGTGGGTGCGCCGACGGCGGAAACTGCAGCGTCGACGTCGCCGCATTCGTTGCCGTGTTCCTCGCCGTGGCATCCCTCAACGCAGTGCGACTCTCAGTCTCCAAATCCAGCATGTTGAAATCGCCGCTGTGTCCACTTCTCGTCCGCACCGGCAGCGAGCGCGAGCCCGAGCCCGTCTGGTTCGGGCTCGGCGGTCTGCTCGTCGCTGCCTCGTAGGTGGGCAGGCCTTCGATCTTGGGAGACGACGGCACGGGCGTGCGCAGCGCGGTGTTGTAGCTCGGTATTCTCGCGAGCGCCTCCATGTCGTAGCCCAGCAGTCTCTGCGGCGCGGTTGGCGGCGGCTGCTCGTCCGAGGTCCGCCGCGAGGGGCCGCCGCTGCGCGACTGGCGGCTGCTGGAGCCGGAGAAGGAGGGCGGCGTGAAGTGGCTCCAGTTGGCGTCGGCGGGCTGCTCAAACGGCGTGCCGCCCTCCGAGGGTGAGTGGGTCGGCTGATGTTGGCCTTGACCCTGCGTACGGGCGGAGTGGCTCGAGCCGCGATCTTGCAGCGTAGCGAGGCGGGAGTGGAGTGCGCTGGCTGCGGGGCCGCCGTGGGGCGCTGATGTTGGGCTCTGTACTAGCGCGTCCAGGACTGGCAGGGGAAGGGTTTCTGCTGATCCGTTGCGGCTCTGGCTGTAGAACGGCGTGTTGATGCCACTGCGGGCGCTGGGGGTTATGTAGCCGCTAGGGTCTATGTTGTCCCACAGCTGATCGAAGTGGTGCTGGCCGTAGCCGGGAGGCGCGACTTGATTGGAGGCGTTGTTCATGGCTTCTTCTGTCTGCTGACTTGCGTCGATTTGGATGCATTGGTCCTCGCCGATGTGGTAGTTAGGCGAGATGAAGAGGTTGAGCGGGGTCTTTACAACAAGCTGTCAGGGGTCAGTCTTCATTCCTGAGCAACACGGAAAGCGAGGCAATTTACCTGGCTAGTGTGGCCTTCGGGATTCTTCAGATTTATGTGCGTTATCAGCTTGTGACTGATTTGGATTTGACTGGTATCCGCACTTTGTCTGCAGCGGTTTAATGATTTGGGGAGCGGCAGGGTCACCTGAAAGTGGTACGATTCATCCAGCGGGTTGTTCAGGTCCAGTTCTGAATGTTCCTGTCTGGCGTTTTCTGGCATCTCCTGCTCAAGCTGGGTGATCTTTTTGTCCCACTCATAGCTCTGTGCAATCTCGCCCTTCTGTATGCCGACCTTGCAATACTCCCAAACTGCCATTTTGACAGTCCCAATCTCCAATCCTTTCCGTATGGGCGTTAGCGTGAAGGATGCTGTGACGGAAGTCCCGAACATGTAGTTGACCCGCGGAATAGAGACCTTGTAGCTAATCTTGTTCGTCCACACGTCCTCGTTAACCTGCTCCATTGGCCCCGCATCCAACGCGTCCAGCGACAGCGTACGCACCACCCGTAAGTGGCTTTTCGCCACAAGATCCTTTGTCATGAAGCCGGCTGTGGATACCGAGGCAGTCATGTTGTAGATGATGTAGCTGTTGGCGAGGCCTTCCACGCTTTCCGGGGCTTGTCCGGGTATCGTGAACTCGAAGGTCCACTCCTTGTGCCCAGCGCCAAGTTTGTGCGGTTTGCCCTTGCCGCCATCTGTCGGGTATAGTATTCGCTCGTCTCTGAGGAAGGTCTCTTTGTCTTGGATCATTGATGGGGCGGGGACATTGGGCAGCCATCTGAGGTGAGCTGTCAGCGAAGCAGTCTATGGTAGGCCGCGAAGCAAGCCTGGGGGCGGGAGCGAGCTATATGAGGCACATCCATAGCCAATTCTGCGCCGGTGAGGCCTGGAATTGAAGCGTAGGTTGCTTCTCCGGATCCACATGCAGATGTGCTCTGAGTGTCCACTGAGGTCGCGCAGTTGGACACAGCTGCTGCGTCTCGACGGAGACTTCAAGGAGCCTTATGCTGCTCCGAACAATTTCAAGCCCCTCACAGAAGTGTGATCTGCCTCAAGTAGCTCGCTTGCCCATCCAGTCTGCTCCGCAGGCCGTATGGATGGCATGGTACCGTACGCGATCTTCTGCACGCCCTCCAGCCTGATTCTGATGGCCCTCACATTGATGTCGTCTGGCGTATCGAGGACGAGTTTGCCCGTGACGGTCGCTGCCGGGGCTTCGGATTCGCGGCCTTGAAGAAGGATGACATCGTTGTCTGGTCTGGTGGGAGTCAGTTGCGTTCCTGGTGGCAGAGGGGGAGTGCTCCGGACGTACATTATCTGAAGCAGCGGCTTACCCTGGCCCCCACCACCACCACCAAGGATCTTCGCAACCATGGCAGGTGTTGTACTATCCGCCGGTACTCGAGGGATGCTCAGTGATGGTGCAAAGCAAGAAAGGGAGGATGGGGTTTGGAGGACAGATATGAGAGGTGAGTCAATTGCGGTGCCAGCCAGCGGTGCTCTAGTCAGCGCGGCTTCACGCCGTTGACGGACGCAAGCATCATAGCTCTTTCTCTCCCGTATCTGGTCGTGTGTTAGGGCTGTACGGCAAGTGGCGGCGGAATGGCTTGATCACGACAAGGGCTTGTTTTGCTAGCGCCTGCAAGGTCCGTTGCTAGCGACCCGACATGCGGCGCTCCCGAGTGGGATGCGGCGATGATTGTTGAAAGGTCCGCAAATACCATGACGGGCGGCTTACGTGTGGAACAGTGTGCACTCGTATCATCAGGCGTGGCAGGGTGAGCCAACGCCGTGTTGTTTTGTCATTGCCGAGCACTGCGGTACCTGAGCAGATTAGGTGTGCCGCACAGTGAAAACTCAGAGATAAAGAGCGGCGGACCACCACTCCACTCCGTGCACACCTCCGAACCGGTGGAGCCAGTCCAACGGTGAAAGCAAAGTGTTCTCGTCATTGTCGGATTGTTATCTTCAGCACAGGCACCGGCCAACCAAGGCACCACGTCGAATCGCGCTTGGATTTCCGCACGTTTCATGCGGCTAACCTATCGTCGAACCTGTCTATCCAAGGCTCGTGAGGAAGTCCGCCCACAACAAATCATGGTCGCCGGTTCGGAGTACATCGGTGTACACGACAGAGGCCCACAATGCATAGTCTATCGCATGTGACACAAGTCCACCAATGTCGTTTGTGGAACCAGGCACGTACTCTAGCCAAAATCCATTCAAACATCGCGCCGGTATCTACGCCGCATCGTTCTAGACGGGTGCCTACAGATTCGCTGTGCTGGCAGAGGTCGAGACTGTGCCTTCGCTGCCTGCCGCTCCTTCCTTGGGACGGTCCCAGACTCGAATGTGGCCTACATTGCGACACACATGTCAGTCGCATCTTCACAGGCCGCCAGAGTTTGACTCAGCCAAGCATGAGACCACTCACCATCTTTGCAAGCCGTGATAATGCAATCTTCCTCGAATCCCAGCCAGGACAATGGATGGTCGTCCACGGGTTTCGCCTGCCCGCAATGTTAGCACGCTCTCCTCGCGCGGCCGCCAGCAAGAATGCCTCACCAAAACCGCTGGCAGCATCGCTGTGCGCGCTCGCGGCTCAACAGGATGCACGATGTCCCCATTGCTCTGCGCCGTGAGGTTCGAATTCGACCGTACGCGGCCTGTCGTGCTCTCCGCCCTGAGGCGCGGAAGCTGCGACGCCACGCTTCCTCTGGGTCGCATCGAAGCCTGCAACGCAACCTCATCAGCACAAGCATCAGCAACAGAACATCAGACCCACGTACCGCTCTCGGACGATGCAACATCCCAACGCTAAAGTCCCACAGCAGCAACCTACAATCCTCGCCGACGCTGCCAAATCTGTAGTTGCGCTCATCGCACCGCCACGGATCGAACGCGACGCCCGTGACCCACGAGTTGTGGCCCTGGCAGCGCGCGACGAGCACGCTGTCTTCGAGACTCCAGATGCTGACCAGGTCGTCTTGGCCGCCTGTGACGATGAACCGGCCGTCGGGGGACCAGCAGACGCAGAGCAGGCCGCCGTAGTAGGACATGTATACGGCTAGGAGTCTGCGGGGGAATTGGTAAGTGTTCGGACTGATGGCGGAGTGGGGCGGGGCGGCACTTACTGCTCCTTAAGGTAGTCGATCACGCGTAAAGATCCGTCTTCAGAGACGACGGCTAGGTGTTTGCTGTCTGGCGAGAAGGCGAATGCGTTGATCTGCGGGCTCGAGATGCTCCAGTAGGAGACGGGGTTTGTTTTTTGGTTCTTGGACTGAACGGACTTGCGGATGTGGAGGGAGAAGCGGTGGCCGGGGTCGCTTGAGGGCTTCTCTGACTGAACGGATTCCTCGGGCGTGAAGACGGCGTCCTCTTTCTCCTTGTCGTATACGACTAGTGAGCCATCCATGTGCGCGGCGAGGAAGAGGTTCTCGGAGTTTGGTAGCCACTTGATCTCCGATACTGCTGATCCGTTGATTGCGCCCTGTGTGAGGTGAGCCTGAGATGTGTCTAGAGTTGGAACCGTTGCTGCTCACATTTTTGTTGAGCCGTGCGTATTTCTGCGACATGGGCTCGTACCAGATGATGTCTCCCGTCGAGAAACCCATGATAATGTCCATATGCGTCGCGCTTCTCGTGACAGGGTTTATATCGTGGCACAGTGGATGCGCTTTCGTGAACAAAATCTTCGTCAACTGGTCCTCCTACTGAAACCGTGAGCGCACGTCCCGCAGTCCCCAGCAAAGCCAACCAACCTTGTTCGCCGACGACATGTCCAGCCACTGTAAGGCCCTGTTGACATTCGCAAATATGAACAGCCCATCAGGCGTACGCTCCGACAACCGCTTCGACAGCGTTTCGTGCGGTATAACCCTTGACACAAAGCTCGAGTTGCTCTTGACAATGTTGTTCTTCGGTTTCCGCCGCTTCGAGGGATCTTTGCTCTCCTTCCCGTTCGGCACCGCGAGCGCGGGATTGCCTTCTCCGAACACGGGCGCCTGGCTCGACTTGTACGGTCCTAGGCCATTGCTTCGCCGCTGCGCCGCGCCGTTGCCGCCGGAACTGGGTGTCTCGTTCGGCGCCTCTTGGATGCTGGGCGGGATTTGTGACCGCGAGCTCGCAAAGGTGTCGAGGCGGAAGAGCTGCGGGTTCGAGTGCTGCCGCGGCGCGATTGCTGCTAGCGAGACTTTGGTGCCCGCCGTCGGCGGCTGGATAACCGTAGCCAGCGGGTTCGGGTTGTGCGGCGGAGCTTCTGAGGGATGGGGTGGGGGAGTCGCCAGGTGGAGGTCATCGCGCAGGACGTAGGTGCCTAGCATGAGGGAGACTGTGAGGGTATGTCCTGCGGCGATGTGCGGGTGGAAGGCACGAAATACCTTCTCCGACGAGCAGCTGGAACTCGGGGCCCGTGGGATGGCCGATGGTGTTGTTCGTCTGCAGCGGCTCTCCGCCGTTGGCCTGGCGCGGGTACGAAGGTGGTGGTGGAATCACGCTGCCATGCGCATGCGGTTATCAGCGTGAATCTCTGGAATCGCGGCTCGTAGGGCAGCGCGCGATTGGGCGGGGATGGCTGTGGCTGCTGTACTCCGTTCCACTTACAACATGGCGTGTCGATGCTTCTGCCTTCCCGCAACGCGATCACGATGCCTCTCCCCTGATTGTCACTGCGACGACCGTCCGAACAGACATCGAACATGACATCGGAGACGTTGAAGACGAAGAGAGCGTGGGGAAGCGTGCGCTGTGGGGCGCCGCATGGGCTCCAGGCTAATTTAAGTGCCGGACCACACATCTGCCGCCGAAGTCGCCCGTCAGGGTAAGCATTTCAGCGTAGAAATCCCATAGGCGGAGAAAGCTCCTCCGCGGCAGTCGTGTCAATGATCTTTCCGGGATAAAATCTCGGGTGTGTGCTGCGCGAAGATCAAGCATCAGGAGAGCCGCTGTTCGGGAACAACCTAGTTAACCCGCCCCAGATTCCAGAAATGCGGTGCCTCGTGGGCGGCCGCTTGCTAGCCCGAACAGGGGAGGATCGCCCTTTGACAGGGCTGGTAAAGACCCATCATATCGACCTCCGAAGCGTCAAGCCAGTCCTCGAACTCGCTTTAGGCTTGCCAGCCTGCCGGTACACTGGTTGAAGAGCTTCGCACACCGATATCCTAGAGCACTCGGTAGATTTGACCGCACGAAGACGCTGCCTGAGCCGTCCCAATCGCTCTCACCCAGCACCCGAAAAGCCCAAGCAGGAACAACGTGGATGGAGTGATGATGATCGCTTGCAATGGCCACAGGTGCGCAAGGCTTCTTGGCCCTGTCTGGCGCCGCTGACGAGTCTCTGTTCAGTCCGTATTTGTGTTTGCGGTGACGAAGGCACTGGCAAGTCCAGCTTGATCACCTCTCTGGTCAAAGACGTCTTCGTTACCACCAAGATCCAACCCGTGCTCCCCCAGGTAACGCTGCCGCCCACGCTCGGCACGCCCGAAAATGTCACTACCACCATCATCGACACTTCCGCCCTGCCGCAGGAGCGCGACAATCTACGGAAGGAGCTGCGCAAGTGCAATGTCATACTGCTGGTATACTCGGACCACTACAGTTATGAGCGTGTGGCGTTGTTTTGGATGCCATACTTCAGGTCGCTCGGCGTCAATGTCCCCGTCGTGCTATGCGCGAACAAGTCAGATCTTCAGGTCCATGGAACAATAGCGCAGATTGTTGCGGATGAGATGCTGCCGGTCATGAACGAGTTCAAGGAGATCGATTCGTGTATACGGACGAGCGCCAAGGAGCACCACAACATCAACGAGGTCTTCTTCATGTGCCAGAAGGCTGTTACGCATCCTATAGCCCCGCTGTACGACTCGAAAGAGGCGTCCTTGAAGCCGGCTGCCGTCTCTGCTCTACAGCGAGTCTTCTACCTGTGCGACAAGGACCAAGATGGCCGATTGAGCGACAAGGAGATACAAGACTTCCAACTGAAGTGCTTTGAAAAAATGCTATCCAACGACGAGCTTATGAACATCAAACGATCAATTCAAAGATACGTGCCCGAGTCCGCAACCGAGCAGGGCATCGACGAAAGAGGCTTCCTGCTTTTGAACAAGATCTTTGCAGAGAAGGGTCGTCACGAGACGATATGGATTATCTTGAGGAAGTTCCAGTACACTGACAGTCTGAGCATCAAGGACAACTTCCTGCATCCCAAGTCCGACGTACCACAGTACTCCTCTGCCGAGCTTAGTCCAGCAGGGTATCGCTTCTTCGTGGACCTCTTCCTTCTCTTTGATAAGGACAACGACGGCGGCCTGAATGATGCCGAGCTTGCCGCGCTGTTCGCACCGACACCGGGCCTACCAGCATCTTGGGTAGATTCGGGCTTCCCGTCGTGCACTGTGCGTAACGAAGCAGGCTATATCACGCTTCAAGGCTGGCTTGCACAGTGGAGCATGACCACCTTTGAAGAGCCAAAGACCACCCTAGAATACCTCGCATATCTAGGCTTCGAAAGCTCGGACAGAGGCGGCACGACCTCCGCTCTCAAAGTTACAAAAGCTCGCAAGCGACGCAACCGACCCGGCCGCGTGGAACGGAATGTGTTCCTCTGCTATGTACTCGGATCCAGCGGGAGCGGCAAAAGCTCGCTCCTTTCCGCCTTCCTCAACCGGCCCTTCACCACGACCCACAACCCTACCATCAAACCCCGCTCAGCTGTCAACAGCGTAGAGCTCCAGGGAGGCAGGCAATGCTACCTCATCCTCGAGGAGCTCGGCGAGCTCGAACCCGCTATCCTCGAGAACCAGGCGAAGCTGGATGCCTGCGACTTGCTTTGCTACACATACGACTCCAGCGACCCGGACAGCTTCGAGCACATTGTCGAGCTGCGGAAGCGCTTCCCCCGTCTGGACGAGTTGCCAGCCGTCTATACCGCGCTCAAGGCGGACCAGGACAAGACGGTGCAGCGCAGTGAGGCCCAGCCGGATGTGTACACGGGTTCGCTCAACATGGCGGCACCGTTGCATGTTAGCGTCACCTGGGGTTCCATCTCCGAGCTGTTCGTTCATGTAAGTAATGCCTTCCGTCTGTCGGCTTCGTGGGACTGATCGAGTCGTAGCTGGCGGAGTGCGCGACTTATCCTTCTACGGCTTCTCCGAAGTCGGATGACGAACCGAAAGACAACACGAGTCTGTATATCGCGCTTGGCGCGACTATTTGCGCGGTTGCGGCCGCGGTCATTATATGGAAGAAGAGCGCGTCAGCCTCCTCATGACACTGGTCCGTTACCCCGGCTGTGTGCATAGACGACGTAGTACAGAATATCGCCCATGACGCCAGAGCCGGTATGTCTTCTCAAGGTCGGCAGCTTCAGTCTGATGGCTAAAGCCTGGTTTGGTAGAGCAATGAACAAGTAGCACTCACTGCGCCGTCGCAATGACCACCCCCATTGCCCCCTAAGGAGTAGGGGGGCGGTCTCAGGAGACTGTGTAGCAGCCATTGGTTAGACTCCGACGCGGCAGTATTGCGATATTGCGCCAATGCGCGCCGAGCGCTTAGCGAACCGTAGATTGTGACGACGGGATAACGTGAGTCGGTGTTGCGGTTGGGGGAGAGCTGTACAGGAATAAGAAAATGCATGTACAGATGGAGAAGGAGCTCGTATCGTAAAATATCAACATGCCGCTCTTGATCATGACGAACCAATGCTAGACCCTTGCTTGAGTGGCTGCATTGCAGCTGCGGACAAGGTCTGCCCCGCAAGTGGACCAACGGTACCTAGGTACAATGTACCTATTTTAAAGTTGCGATTCCAGATGCCTCAGGCCAGATGCTGCTGGTATTCGCATCCGTCATCGGCGAGTGCAAGACGAACCAACCCATCCATATTGGTAAAACAGCCCTTGACAAGCCCCCGGCCCAAATGCAAGTGTAAAATGTGTAGAGTCCTTGGCTGACTGGGGGGCGACCGTTGTCCACTCCCGGCAAGCGAGCCGCCGCTGTCCAGCCCATTGCGGCATCAGCACTGGCATCAGGTAAACCCCCTAGCACTGATGCAGCACGCCAATATCACCGCCAGCTATTCCTACCACCTCATAGCCGACGACACTCGATGATATCTGCTGCTCGACCCCGGAGTAGCCCTGTCTTGCGCCCGTCATTGCGGCAGCCTCGTTGCCAACGGGGATCTGCATTCCTCGCGTTGCAGCTATGCAGGTTCGTACTCCTGCCTGTCTTCCACCGCCGCGGGCTCAGTGCAGCCAATGTCTCCTAGCTGGCTGCAGGAGCCTGCGTGTGCGCTCAGCATCTGGCAGACCCCCAATCACCTACGCTACTCCGCATACGCTACCTCCCACTCTGCACCGTGGTGGATGCTAATGAGGATATTCTCTACAGCCCTCACAGAGAGCTCGCGAGCTAGAGCGAGTATACCAGAGCAGGCGCGGCCACCATTCAGCAATCTCGATAAGCGACGACAGCCATCACGTCACTGAGGCCATTGGAGACATGTATGGAGGCGGCGACTACGAGCACAAGCGCAGTTCAAGGCCATTGAGCTTCGTAGCCTCCCCTTCGAACGACAACCACGAGAACAGCACCTCCTACTTCCAAATACCACGATCGTCTCCGCCCAGAACCCCCCTCGCGCACACCATCTCCAACGAACGAATACCGCAGCCCGCAAACGGGTCCCTCAAGATGCCCTCTCCCAGGAGTCCCCCACCCTCTCTCGGCCACGAAACAGGGCCCCTGTCACCTCCCATGTCGCCTCCACGAATCAGCCGCCAGGACTCGGCAGAGACAGCGCGGCAGCAATTCCCGCTCAATGACATCGACTACGAATCGAGTCCAGCAGCAGTGGCTCAAGAGCTCAGCAATCTACAAGCCATACGGCGGATGTCAATGGACGTGAATGCGTCGGATCCGGATCTGCCATCCTTTGGGTCGAATTTCGGAGTCCCTGCCGTGGCTCCTTCGCATTCCGACTCCGATGACGATGCGGCGAGGCTTTTCTGGGTTCCCGCAAGGTTACATCCGGAGCTTGCCCCGAAGGAGTTCAAGACCTTCATAGAGGAGAGGGTGGACAAAATCAAGCGCAGATCAGGAGATTCGGACACTCTCCTGGGAGCTGGATTCGAGCGGCAGGGATCAGGCAGCGGCTTGCGGAGGAAGAAGTCCATGCTTTCAAGGCAAATCGACGGACCAAATGGCTACAGGGATGGTGCTGAGCGGTTGGAGAGGAAAAGGTCGATACCAGGCCAAAGCCCGTCTAGTCCTGATGGGACGAGCTTGCAGGCGCTGGAAGAGCTGGTCAACGATCCCTCGACGATGATGCGGCGGCTCAGCATAGACGCATCTCGTAGATCTCTGGAATCTGGTGGCGAGGTGCCCGCAAGTCAGGACATGCCCATACTACCCCCCAAGTTGGCTGGTCAGACTTTGAGGCGCTCGACGCGAACAAACTACCGGAAAGGCAGCCTGAAGAAGGGCGAACGTCTTCCGTTCTCGAAAAGAGTAGCGGGCAGGCATGCGGACACGGATACGGAGAGCTCTCCGCAGGTCTCGCCAGTTGACAGCAATCATGAAGTGCCGATGGTGGGCGTGTCTCGGGTGCAGACTGAGCCCATGCCAGCCCGATCAGAAACACCCGAGAACTTCTCACGGCCGACACGCCGCCCGCCTAAGACATCACCTCCGGACGAAACCCCACCGCCGCTGCCACATGATTTTCCCAAAGACTCAGACTCCAGGACACAATCGATACCCGAACCCAAAACTCACACGTCTCCACCTTCAAAACAGTTCCACTCTCGCATCGCTTCTAATGGCCGAACCACAGCTCCGCTTCCAGGATATCAACCTCCAGTGCCTCAGATTATCGAAACGCCGCCTCCTTCGGAGCCTCACCGTCCAAGTTCCATGCCGACCCTTCCACGGCCCGAGCGTGTTTCCTCCCGTGATGGGCCCGGAGGGTACACACCCCAAACGCCGCCGCCACGGAGTCCACCGGGTTTGCGACAGCAGCCTGGCAGGTCGCCGATGATGCGGCAGGGCATGCCGCCAAAACCCATCGATCAAACTTTGAACGACATGGCATCGCATCCCTCGCCGCTTCCTGGAGGCAACACAAGGACTGACACGCTCTCTTTCATCCCGACATTTGCAGAAGACAAGAGCAAGCCCAAGGAAAAGAAGGCTGGCCAGGATAGCGGCGCGAGAAAGACGAGTTGGAGCTGGTTCTCTCGCAGCGACAGCAAAGAAGAAGAGAAGGAGAGGGAGCGGAAGGAGAAGGAGAAGGAAGAAGCGTCGAGGAAGGGCAAAGGCAAGCTGACGAAAGCAAGCGACAGCACCCGGCTAGACGTGTTGCAGACCTCGATAGACGGCGGACGAGGACGAGAAAGCCTCGTCCTCGACCGCGACAGCGTCCGCCTCGACGACGGCAGCAGCAAAAAAGACCCCAACCGCAAGTCCTCCGGCGAAGCCAAGAAGGAGAAGGAATCTGGGATTTTCTCTTCACTGTTCGGCGCCAGCAAGAAGAAAGAAGGCGATTCCAAATCGAAAAAGAACCCCCGCGACCGCGGCCTCTCGCCGGATCCTCCTCCCCGCATGCTGCGGCCCGACGTCGACTACAATTGGACGCGCTTCAGCATCCTCGAGGAGCGCGCCATCTACCGCATGGCGCACATCAAGCTGGCGAACCCGCGCCGCGAGCTGTACTCACAGGTCCTGCTCAGCAACTTCATGTACAGCTATCTCGCCAAGGTGCAGCAGATGCATCCGCAGATCCAGATCGGGAACGCGGCGCAGCAGAAGCAACAGCAGCGGCAGCAGGCCCAGCAGAAGAAGATGGAGCAGCAGCAGCAGCAGCAGCAACAGCAGCATCAGGCTCCGGAGGGGTCGCTGTATCAGCGCGTCCAGGAGGTAGGCGGCTCGGACATCGGCACTGGCTAGCGGATCGAGCTGACGGCAGGGACAGCAGCAGCAAGCGCAGCAGCAGCAAATTCCACCCCCCGAAACCACGTCCGCACCAAGCACACACCATTCCTTGGACCCGGCCCCCTCCATCCCCCCCATAAACTTCGACAATCTCCTCCCCGACCCTGTATCCTCAGAAGACTCCAAATCCTCAGCACCGCAACGCACCCTCGCCCTCCCGACATCCGCCCAGCTCAGGACGAATGGAAACTACAGCGTCGCGAGCAGCCAGCACTATCTTGGGCAGCCGGGCGCGAAAGGCGGGTGGCAGCCACCTTGGGAGCAGCCGCAGCAGGAGAAACAGGAGAAACAGGAGAAGTTGAAGGGGTGGGGGCAGGGGCATGGAAAGGAGAAGCAGGAGCGGGAGAGGGAAAGGCAGCAGAGTCAGAGTCTGTTCGACAGCTCATCGAGCGAGGAAGGGAAGGGCCCGGGGGAGCTATGGTAGCGTTGAGCGAGTTTCCGTAAACGTGGTGGAAAGGACCTCGAATGTTAAGACTTGTTGCGGTATGTTCTCATGCTCAGCGATTACCGTCGCCGTCGCTGGTGGCTTTCCTTCTTTCCCTCTCGAGGCTTCACAAGATCGGGTGTAGGAGTTTTTGGGCTGGCTGCTCCAGAGGTTGGGGGGAGGGGAGGGGGTGCATCAGTGGTGCAAGGCGTTAGGATGCATAGCGGCCGGAGCGTTTCCCCCAGTCCCATCTTTCATCCACTTCACACAATCAGTGTGCGTCGATGCTGCGGTGCTATAGTGGTGCGACTACGTATTTTTAACCATTGCGCCCCCGCATCTCTTCTCATCTTGGACTAAAGCCTCTCACATCTTGTCCTCGTGCTTGCTCGGATGTTGTGTCCGCCCTATGAGATGGACAACGTACCCGTATCTATGCCAGCGCGCGAGTCAGGGGTGTGCCGCGCGAAGCTGTGGGTTTTGCTTTGGGCGATCTTAGGGGAGCAGGAGGTCGAGACCAGGAGCAGTGGATGGGGGTGAGGGGAGAGTGTGTGAAAGCTGTACACAGAGCTTCGACGGGACAGACGCGGTAGCGAAGTGGTGGCCCCTGTTCAGAAGCTACAGAGATGGGATTTCCGTCGTTGATACAGTGCGTTGTGTGCATGTGAGGTGCTGCTGTGAGCCTCGATGCCGTGCATAAAACGCTTGCTTGGGCTTGAGCTGAGCCCCGTTGGCCGTGCCGCCGGCGGTAATGGGATCCTGGACACGGCGTGAGGTTGTGCGGTGGAGTAGTGGAAAGTGGAGGCCTGTTTTGGGGAACTACAAGAGATGGGTTGAGTCTGATATTATGATTTCTGCCCGATCACACTACATGGGCAGGTCAAAATCGTCGAGGTTTGGACACGAATGTGATGGTAACTAGGCACGATGGATTCATCTGCCTAGGTTCTCCTTCTTACAGCCGCCAGGCTGTGCTTCTTGCTACAAATAATGCTATCTAAGGATGCCCATCCCCTCGGTCCCAGTGCAGGCACAGCTTTCCACACTCCCCATCTCCACTGACAGCAATAGCAGCACTAGTAGCCACAGCAGTAGCCACACATCTTAGCCAGGCAGAACTTTCGACGACCTTCCGCCTTAGAGACCCAACAATGCTCACACCTTGATAAACCGGAACAAAACAGTATTTACAGCGGAAAGGGGATGCAGTAACTTATTATCGGTCATACCAACCGTAAGTCATACAGCTCGTGGACCAAAGCAACAGCAAAAGTAAACAAGGAGCGCCGAGAAATGCAAGTGCGGTGATGAAAGAGCAAGTGATGCGATGCGGTTGTGGTTGGGGTATTCGGCGCGCTTCCAAATGCAGCAAGGCAGTAATGGGGAAGGTGAAAAGTAGAAAGGGAATGCTGCATGATCCGTGACGCTCTGAATGCACCTGGATGACGGACTAGGGAAAGGATGCTGCGCCAACAGCGACGAAGAAGGGTTTCAGATGCCGGCCGCCAGGGGGGTTTGATGTGTTGGGATAAAAACATAGTGTCGGTAGACGCCGTTGATGCAGTTCACGCCCCCCTAATCGGACGGGTTAACTTGCCCAGCAGCTCGTCCAGCTCCGTCCAATTATTAGCATCGAGCGCGAACTTCCGGTGTTTACGAGAGATGACGTGCTGGACACCTGTTTAGTAGAGATTCAAGAATAGCGGAAAGTGAACAACATACCTCATCAAAGTCAGCGAACTTCTCCCGGCAATTCTCGCAGTACCCAGGCTTGAGTTCTTTCTCGACGACTTTCTTCTTCTGCCGGGCCACGGCCGCTCGACGTGTCGCGTTCTCCTCGTCTGACAAGCCCTCCTCGTTGATCTGGGCCAGGTTCTCTTGCGCTTTGCGCTTCGCGGCTCGGGTAGGTGCGCCGTTGATGGCTGCCCTGACGTCGTTCATGTAGGAAGAAGGAATGCTGTTTGCGGACGGTACATTGTTCTTCTCGAGAACTTTCCTCTTGAGTTGGTGGACTTCTTTGCTGGTGCCTGCACGCGGCCCCGGGGCGGTCGACGAGATAGCAGTCGAGGAGATCATCTTGGACCGGATGGCGGATGTGATGTTTGATGGCTGGACGCCAGAGGCAACGGGTTCGCCGCCTGCGTACCGTGGTGCTGGTCGCATGTTGGCTTGCACGCTACCAAACAGTGGCGGCATGCTTGTGCTGTCTGGGTTCTCCCTCTTGGCGGGTATCGTCTTCGGAGGGTCGAGTGGTTTGCAGAAAGCCTTGTCGGTAGGCAGTGGGTTCGCTGTTGAAGGACGGTTGGTGGCGTTCATGTTCTCTCCTAAGACCTTCTTTTCTACTGGCGCCTGTGCGGGAGCACGTTGCTGAGCTGCTTCTAAGGCAGCGGCAGCACGTGTTCTCGGTGCTGCTGACTGAGCCTTCAGCTTGGCCAGCCTCTCTTTCTGCTCGTTGAGCTGCATCCGCCTGAGGTGTGCAGGGTCTTCTACGAACGGACACCTGCCTTCACTCGTGAGGCGAAACTGTGGCCATTTGCCCTCCTCTTTCGTCTTCACTCGGGGGTAATCCCGTATCATGACTGGCTTCGTCTTCTCGTCGATGTCGTGGATGTATATGTAGTGGCCCTGAAACTGCATCATGTCCTGGGCAGCTACACCGAAGGCTCGATCCGCGTGTCCGTTCAGCTTTTCGTTCTTGAGCAACTGCCCTAGATCGGGTTCCCGACTTTTGAGAGGCGCGACGGCGGCAACATTACTGCGGGTGTTATACCCAACCTGTGCTTGCTCCCCAGTCTCCGTGTTGAACATTGTTGTCATCATCCGCTGCAACTTTTCCAGCGGCCATATCTTCATGCCTAGCTCCCGGGCTTTGTGCAGCACGTCGTTCTTTGTAGGGTCAACCGGTTTCTTCTGCAGCGCTGTCTCGAGCATCATCCTCGTCTTCGACTGGAAAGCCTGATTCTGCAGGTCGGCTGGGCGTTCCAGCAGGGATATGTTGACGGTCTTTCGTGGCTGCTCACGGTTGTCGTGGGATCCGCTGAGGTTAGATGTGGGTGTTTTAGAGTCAGAGGACGTTGATAGCTCTGGTGGTATAGCACGTGTAGTTACGACGTGCGTCACGACTCTGGAGAAGAACTTTTCCTCTCGCTGTATAGAAGAAGGAAGAGGTTAGCCCAGAGTAACGATACGTACCCGAAGAGTGAAGGCAACGTACTGCTCCTAGCGCGAGAACTTGTCGTAATATCTTTACCCTCGCGTCATCTGATATGCTTTCGAAGTAGAAGACAAATTGTGGGAAGGCCTTCCGGTAGTGCCTCTGCCATTGTCGGATGGTTTCCAAATTCTCACTCGTCGGCTTCTGTGTCTGTGCCGGCTTGCTTTCTCGAGCTGCTTCAAACTTCTTTTGCAAAGCAGTAGGAGGGTTGTTCGCGGTCCTTTTCAGCAAGTTGTTCCGCCGTGCCTCCTCGTCATCAACCTCTATCATCTGCCTCTTCTGTGGTGGCTGGCCATAGGCGAGGTCGCGTTGGTCGCTCGCGTGGGATTTCCGTTTCGCGTTGACGGCTCGGAAGGGTGAGTTGGTGGCATTAGGGATGTTTGCGAGAGGCACACGACGGTTTGCCATGTTGGAGAGCATCCGGGGTGAGGGTGGTATTGGAACCGCTGCCATGGATGTAGATGTAAGAGCGAGAAGAAGTCTGAGCGAGGAAGTCAGCACCTGCGCAGGGACCCCCCTCCAGTAGCAAGGTTTCGAACTCAAAGGAGGCTCCCTTGACGATTGAACCACAAAAAATGTGTGGAGTCCTCGGGATAGGAAGTTGTGAAGATTTGTGCAGGACTCACTTGGTCGACGGGCCGTCGTGTTGGAGGGGCACGACAAGTCGCGTAGCAGCTACACGTCGATGCGTCTCTAGCTCAGGGCTTGCAGCATGACGCGCCGAGAACTGGGGCTGCGGCTACAAGGTCGAAGTGCTCGCACGAAAAGAGGACACGAGAAAGGGCAAGCATCGAGTGAGGTCAATGAAGGCCTCTCTCTTGTGCTTGGTGTGATTGTTGTGGCATGGAGCGCCGGTTTACGAGGTCTCGCTGGGTCCAAGCTCGCAGTTCACGCTAGGACAGGAAATTGTTACTCAGCGTGACATCCATGGCAACCGCCCAATGGGCGCGAGCAGCTTTGAGAACCACTGCTTTTCGTGTTGCGAACTGCCAGAGTGTGATGCGAAACACTAAACATGCATCCCGAACGCGTAGTGCCGACCGTAGCTCACCGAGTGGCCTACTACCAGCGTGGTTTTGGAAGATGTTCAAGTACCGGTACTTCGATCAGCACCACTATATAGTCTTGCCTAAAACTGTTCCTAACTCACAGGAGGCCTAGATTGTGCTACAGAATATGTGCGAGAGCCCTCCTTAGACCAACACCATGCTTCAATGCCATGATTACAAGCCGCTCACAGCTCCCACCCCATACTTCCAGTTCAACGCCGCAAGGCCTCGATGTCAACAACCTAGGGAACCGAATCACATTAGTCTCAGAACTGGTAATAGTATGAGGGCATAGCATTTACCTCCTTCACTGCTTCCGGCGTGAAGACCAACGGGCTCTCCGGTTGTATGCATACACTGTCCTCGATCCGTATGCCCATGCCTCTGAAGTGAGCTGGCCACCGCTCATCATTTGGAACGTAAACACCTCTGCGAAAGTCAGCAAACACTCCTTGTGATTCAACTGATGTACTTACGGCTCGATAGTGATACAATGTCCTGTCTTCAAGGGCGTCTTCCTGGGATAGCCTGGAGAGTCGTGGACGTCCAAGCCAATGTAATGACCGAGATGGTGCGGGAAGAGTGTCACGAGTGCCTAATGATGTTTGTTAATACTGAACCATCTACGACCTGGCATCGGAGTTCGTACGTCTCCTGACATATTGAAACCGAGTTGCTTCAGCCCGTCTTTGAGGCCGTTCTCGGCGACTTTATGCAGCTTATCAAGCGTCATATCCGCGTCTTCACGGCATAATGATACACAGGTCCGCTGCACTTTCAGTATAGCCTCATACAAGTCTCTCTGCGCGTCTGAGAACTTGCCATCTACCGGCCATGTTCGGGTGATGTCCGCGATATAGCCGCCGTACTCGCCCCCAGCGTCGACCAAGACGAGATCTCCCTTGTTGAGAACGTCGTCGTTCCGCACATAGTGGATGCTGAGAGCGTTTTCAGCTCCGGCAACTACAGGTACGTACGCCCAGCTGTCACAGCCGTGTGCCTTGAATCGGTAGTCGAGAAATGCCCACAAGTCTTTCTCTTTTGTCCAGCCCTGGCGCATGGCTTCTGTGAAGGCGCGTCCAGAGGCCTGACCAGCTCTACGCATGTTGCGAATTTCCGCCTCGCTCTTGGTGACACGGAGATTATTCATCAATGGTCGCAGCGGCCGTACAGCTGTGTTCCTGGCCTCCTGAAGTAGCTTTGGCAAGCCTGCTGTTGGCTGAGGTGCGGCGCCTGTCAGGTACTGCGTGAAGGCAGACTGGGAATTTACGCTTCCGGGTAGGTCTGTGTAGACCACTTCAGCCCTCCGGACTATGTCGGGAAGTATCGATGAAACGCGGTTGATGTCGCCAGACTACAACGATCAGCCTTTGGTATCTCCAATGCTAACGGTTCCGCATACTTCGTCCGCGTTGAAGACATCCTGTGCCGCTTGTACACCTGAGCGCGCTCCATCCCACAGCTCGGCCTTGGAGTCTTTAGATCGGACGTAGAGGTGGAAGGCATGCTCATCACCGGCTCCAGTCTTCTCTACAGCCCATCAATACAAGCTCTTCGCGGAGCCCCGAGTACTATTACCTATAACAGCCAGGGCTTGCGGCTCGTTGAAGCCTGCATAATCGCATCAATTACAATCCTCGTATGCAATCCATGCACCCATACCCGTCAAGTAGAAGAAGTCTGGGTCCTGGTGGAATTCGTAGAAGACGGCGCCGGATCGGTACTTGGTGTCGGACGCGGCGAGGATGGCTATGGAGTTTGTAGGGAGGACTTCTGCAAGCTTCGCGCGTCGCTGGTGATACTCGAGAGCGGTGATCCCCGGTGTGACTGGAAGCAGTACCACTTAGCGATCCGCTCACACATACGGGCGCGTCTTGTGAGCATACTTTCGCCAGCCTGGACGAGATGAGGATGTGTCTCATGCACCGGTTGGCCGAACTGCAGGTCTGCTGCGGAAACTGATGCATATGTTCGCCGCGCGCATCTTCTATCCGGTAGCCGCCACGCCGGTCGATTGATACATTGCCGTGCTCTCAAGGCGTTGCGCAATGCGCGCGAGCATAGGTTCATATCCGCGATGATGGACGACCTACTCAGCGGCTTCTTGCTCGAGGATCGCTTTCTCTCGGCACCGAATCGATGCTCATTCTTATCGATAGCAGCTGTGACGTCGCCCTTGACAGCTGGAGGCAACGGTTGATGCTTGACAGTGTCGGCGGTGATTGTTTCCTCGAGCAGTGCGCCAGGATTCGGTGGTTCCTTTAGTCACTTCTCAAACATTACGGTTGATTGCGGGCTCGACGCATTGAAATACCGCCAACCTGCAGCTCAGACAGTTCATCAGGATGGCCTCGACGGCCAAACCACCCATTGTCCCCCCCGCCGAGCTCGCATCCTTCTCCGAGCATCTCAACTGCTCGAATCGCATATTGGCCCTGCTAGGCGCAGGTTTGTCCGCATCCTCGGGCCTACCTACATTTCGAGGTGCCGGTGGCCTGTGGCGGACACACGATGCAATGGACTTAGCAACCCCCGAGGCATTTCGAGCCGACCCTGGGCTGGTATGGCAGTTTTATTCGTACAGGAGACACATGGCATTGAAAGCCCAGCCAAATCGAGCACATCTGGCACTGGCAGAACTCGCCAAGCGGAAAGAAGGGTTTATGACACTGAGTCAGAACGTGGATGGTATCACCCGACAGCAGACTTAGTAGGGCGCGGCTGGGCTGATACAGTCACCAGGTCTGTCGCAGAGAGCTGGACATCCGCGCGAGAAGCTACAGCTTCTGCACGGGTCCCTGTTCGACGTAAAGTGTACGAACTTCTGGTGCGATTTTGCGGAAGAGAACAACTTCGCCGATCCCATCGTGCCGGCGCTGGAGATTCCAGTAGATGAGCCAGATCCTACGAGTAGCGAGGCAAGACAAGCTGTTTCAGACGCGTTGAGGGCGAAGAAGAAGGAACTGGATATATCGGATGCAAGAGTGCAGCTTCCGGAGCTGCGCTACCAGGATCTACCTCAATGTCCGAAATGTAAAGAAGGCCTATTGAGACCCGGCGTCGTGTGGTTTGGGGAGATGCTGCCCGAGAAGACCATCTCTACGATTGATGACTGGCTAACAGCCTCGAAGAAGATTGATCTAATCATGGTAATTGGCACGAGCGCAAGAGTATACCCAGCTGCTGCGTATGTTGACAGAGCTAGAGCCAAGGGAGCGAGAGTTGCAGTGATAAACACGGAGAGGACAGATGCCCCATCAAGCGGGCTAAGGAAGGATGACTGGTTCTTCCAAGGCGATGCGGGACAGGTTGTTCCCGAGATCCTGAAGTCGGTCGTTGGAGAGATTAGTGCGCCTACTGAAAAGCTCTAGTGGATGAATTAGCTAGTAGATGGCGTTGGTCCACACTGATGTCTCCTGGTCTAGGACGCAGTCGGAGCCTGCCTTTTTGTGTGCCAAACGACGGATTTGTCGGTCTCTAGCAGTCAACACAGAGCCATGCAGCTCTGGAGTCCCCTGGTATCATATGTGCATGGGTTATTCAATCAGGAGGTACGAGTGCAAGTGTACATATGTGAGACTGCACACGAGTCATGAGAAACATGGAAGATACGAGGGAGTTTCTTGATAGGACTTGTGCTCAATGTTGCAGCAGAACGGAAATAAAGCTGGAGACGTCCCGGCCATTGGCGCTGGAGAGCTCATCGTAGCAAATGCAAATGCCTTCTCTCAGGAAATAAGAACCTAGCAAAATACCGGAGGCCTACTCTAGGCCGCCTTAGAATCGCGATGCCTGCGCCAGATCTGTCTCTCCAAGCTGTCCATCCAAGGCGAATCGCATGGTGCTGAGACATCTCTCAGTTGAAGATCAAGACTACCATATCTCTTGGCTCTGAATTCAACTAAGACGTCGTCTGGATGACGCGTGGACACTCGAACCCCTCCTCTTTTTTCATCCACGGTCTTGGAGCGGGGCCCCAGAAAGCAGGTGATGATTATCCAGTTGTTCCAGTGCGGTGTAAGGCTTCGAACTCAAGGGGCCGCGGTAGGTGGGCGGACGGCGTGTGTTTAGACGCGTGTTCCGTCTTTCTAATCAAGCAGATTTTCAATCGGACACTGACTGCCGTTTAAGCCGAGCATGTGAAGAAGAGCACAAGGACCAGGATGACGCGCGCCTTGTCAGCTCCCACAAGATCTGCTAGCGGGATCGCGCCCAGGTGCGTCTCACGATCTTGTTCAAGATCGCAAGCAAAAATGCGTGGCTGTTTGGACTGAGTAGGATTGCACCAAGAGATCGCCACGCGTTCTTGCGCCTGTCCTCAGGCGGTGGCACTAAATCTCTGCGCCAGCGTGCCGGACGCGTTAAAAGCCCGAAACCCCGATAAAGCAATGTGACGTCTTTGACATCAACACTGGCAACTGGCTCGCCTGGCGGCATTATGAATCGCTCCGTAATTTTGACGTGTGAATCACTAGATAGACAGACTTGTCTTCTCACGTTTGCCAATTTCTCTTGAGTTTTTCCATAGACTGTTTAATCTCCACCAGCTGTGTCTGTAAGGGGCGCCAACTGAAGCTGCATCACATTTCATGTTCTACGCCCGTTCAAACCTAAACAAGACGTTTCGATTCGATATAACGTACCCATAGACACGATCTTACGTTAGAACGACTGCTGCGCAGCAGCCCTTGCGCTACACGATGGCGAGCCCTCAGGAACGGCCTACGCCTGCACATACAGAGAGTGTATATGATCCGTCCACTGGCACATATCTCGACTACCGTGGCGACCACGCCCCACAGCAAGAAGTTCCATCGAGCATCGTAACAGATGTTCCCCCGGCTGTTATAACGAATAATCCGGCGGCTGTTGCAACTGACCTTCCATCTTCTTCCAGCAACAGCACCGCAGTGCCTTCGCCCACCGGCTCCCAGTCAGAGGAAGAGAAGGAAGACCAAGAGACGGAGAAAGTGGCAGCCGGCCCATCAGGATACGAAGGCGTCGAAGAAATAGAAAGAAACTCGGAGTATGAGGACGAGAAGGTGGAAGAAGGCGGGTACATGCCGATCAAAACAGGAGCTAGCCAGCCGCAACGGCCTCCTCTGGAGTCCAGGCGATCCGATGGAAAGCCGGTGACGGAAGAGGATCTGTTCAGAGTACTATCCAGACGAAGAACCAGCCAGCTAAGCCGACAAAACTCTACCGCGTCCGCGGCCACGGAACACGACGAGGCGAAAGATGAAATCGATGAGTTGATGTCTCGTATGTTCGGCAACACGAGGCGAGCACATTCAGAGGAAGAGAAGACGAGACACGTCGGTGTTATCTTCAAACATCTTACCGTCAAGGGCATGGGCCTTGGTGCCGCACTCCAGCCCACCACGGGAGATATATTCATGGGCTTGCCTCGGTTCCTGAAAGCCCTATTCTCAAAAGGACCGAAGCAAGCGCGCGGCAAGCCTCCAGTCCGCACCATCATTGACGATTTCTCTGGATGCATCAAGCCGGGTGAAATGGTACTCGTACTTGGCCGACCAGGCGCGGGATGTTCTACGTTCCTCAAGGTCATCGGCAACCAAAGATTTGGCTACGAAGACATCGAAGGCCAAGTCACATACGGCGGCGAAGACGCCAAAGTCATGGCCAAACGATTTCGAGGCGAAGTTCTTTATAATCCTGAAGACGATCTTCACTACGCCACTTTGAAAGTTAAGGAGACGCTGAAGTTCGCCATCAAGACCAGAACGCCTGGCAAAGACTCTCGCCGAGAAGGGGAGAGCCGCAACGACTACGTCAACGAATTCCTTCGCGTCGTCTCAAAGCTGTTCTGGATTGAACACACCATGAACACGAAAGTAGGCAATGAATTCGTACGCGGTGTTTCTGGCGGTGAGAAGAAGCGTGTCAGTATCGCGGAAGCTATGATCACGAAAGCTTCGACGCAGTGCTGGGATAACTCGACTCGCGGCCTCGATGCCAGCACGGCTCTTGAGTACGTCCAGAGTGTGAGATCACTCACAAACATGGCCCATATCTCCACCGCTGTCGCCCTCTACCAGGCCGGCGAGAGTCTGTACGACCTTTTCGACAAGGTCATCCTGATAGAAGACGGGAAATGCTGCTACTTCGGGCCTACAGATGACGCTGTGAAGTATTTCAAGAACCTCGGATTCGTGCAGCCTGAGCGATGGACCAGCGCAGATTTTCTGACCTCAGTCACTGATGAACATGAGCGGCACGTCAAGGAAGGCTGGGAAGATCGGATACCGCGATCAGGAGCCCAATTCGGAGAGGTCTTTGCCAAAAGTGAGCGACACAAGTTGAACATGCAAGAAATTGAAGAGTTCGAGCAAGAAACTCAGCGACAGGCTGAGGAGCGCAGGGCTGCCATGACGAAGGCTACGAGGAAGAAGAACTTCACGCTACCCTTCCACGCACAGGTCATCGCTTGCACTAAGCGACAGTTTCTCGTCATGATTGGCGACAAGCTGTCTCTCGGTGGTAAGTGGGGAGGAATCCTCTTCCAAGCCTTGATCGTGGGCAGCTTGTTCTACAACATGCCAGCAACCAGCTCGGGCGTCTTTACCCGCGGCGGTGTCATCTTCTTCATGTTACTCTTCAATGCCCTTCTCGCCTTGGCCGAACTCACATCAGCATTCGAAAGCCGTCCGATCCTTCTGAAGCATAAGAGCTTTTCCTTCTACCGACCGGCCGCCTATGCGATTGCGCAAACGGTTGTCGACGTACCGTTGGTCTTCATACAAGTCTTAATCTTTGACGTCGTCGTGTATTTCATGACGAATCTCGCGAGGACACCATCTCAATTCTTCATAAGTCTGTTGTTCCTCTTCATTCTCACTATGACCATGTATGCCTTCTTCCGCGCGGTTGGTGCGCTGGTCGCATCTCTCGATATAGCCACACGGATAACGGGTGTAGCCATCCAGGCACTAGTCGTCTACACCGGTTATCTGATTCCTCCGCGGAAGATGCATCCTTGGTTCTCATGGCTGCGATGGGTCAACCCGGTCCAGTACGCCTTCGAAGGCCTCATGGCGAACGAGTTTTCCGGTTTGGAGATTGCCTGCGAGCCGCCATATATCGTACCCCAGGGAGGCCCCGGCGCCGGACCACAGTACCAGTCCTGTGCTATCCAAGGCAGCCAACCAGGCTCGCTTATCGTCCAAGGCGACGACTACATCCAGGTTGCATTTAACTACAGCCGGTCCCACCTATGGCGCAACTTCGGCATCATGTGTGCATTCTTCATCTTCTTTGTCTGTCTCACCGCCGTTGGTATGGAGTTGCAGAAGCCAAACAAGGGCGGCGGTGCCGTCACGATCTTCAAGCGGGGCCAAGCACCCAAGTCAGTAGAGGCCGCCATTGAAAACGGAGATAAGCCACAAGACGAAGAAGCCGGCAAGGTGCAGGCAGCCGCTGCGGACTCCAAGGATGAGAGCGGTAGCTCCGGCGATGACACCACCAAAGGAGTTGCGAAGAACGAAGTTATCTTCACGTGGCAGAACGTTAATTACACTATTCCATATGAGAAAGGCGAGCGGAAACTGCTGCAGGATGTCTCCGGTTACGTTAAGCCGGGCAAGCTAACTGCCTTGATGGGCGCCTCAGGCGCTGGCAAGACCACGCTTCTTAACACCCTCGCGCAGCGCATCAATTTTGGTGTCGTTCAAGGCGACTTCTTGGTGGATGGCAAGCCGCTCCCGAAGTCTTTCCAAAGGTCCAGTGGCTTTGCCGAACAGATGGATGTCCATGAGCCTACAGCAACAGTCCGTGAGGCTCTCAGATTCTCTGCCAAGCTGCGTCAGCCCAAAGAAGTCCCACTACAAGAGAAGTATGACTACTGTGAAAAGGTGAGCGATCCTTTCCTAATTTAAACTGCCGTCTGAGATATTAACCTGTCTCAAGATCATCGACCTCCTTGAAATGAGAGAGATCGCAGGTGCCGCCATTGGCAAGACTGGCGAAGGTCTCAACCAAGAACAGCGTAAACGTCTGACTATTGGTGTCGAGCTCGCCAGTAAACCTGATCTGCTCTTGTTCCTGGACGAACCGACATCTGGTCTAGACTCCGCCGCCGCGTTCAACATCGTTCGTTTCTTGCGCAAGCTTGCCGAAGCCGGCCAAGCGATCCTCTGCACCATCCATCAGCCCAGCGCCGTCCTCTTCGAACACTTCGACATGCTTCTGTTGCTGAAGAGTGGTGGTCGGGTTGTGTACTTTGGCGAGTTAGGTCATGACAGCCGCAACCTCATCGACTATCTCGAGAGCAACGGGGCGCACAAGTGCCCGCCGAAAACCAATCCTGCCGAATATATGTTGGAAGCGATCGGTGCTGGCAATCCCGACTATAAGGGCAAGGACTGGGGTGATGTATGGGCCAGCTCTAAGGAGTCGCAAGAACGCAGCAAGGAGATCCAGCATTACATCAGCGAACGACGTAACGCAGAAAAGCCGAAGGCGCTCAAGGACGATCGCGAGTACGCTATGCCGCTCAGTACGCAAGTATACACTGTTGTCTACCGTGGCTTCGTCGCCATGTGGAGAAGCCCGGACTATGTCGTGGGCATGTTCATGCTCCACATATTCACCGGTCTCTTCAACTCATTCACCTTCTGGCACCTGGGCAACAGTCAAATCGACATGCAATCGCGGCTTTTCAGCGTGTTCATGACGCTGACAATCTCGCCGCCTCTCATTCAACAGCTGCAGCCGCGCTACCTCGACCTCCGGTCAATCTTCCAGTCGCGTGAAACCAACTCCAAGATCTACAGCTGGATCGCCTTCGTCACCTCAACCATCGTGACCGAGATACCGTACCGCCTTGTCGCCGGAACAATCTACTGGTGCTGCTGGTACTGGCCGACCTGGTTCCCACGCGACACCTACACCTCCGCCAGCATGTGGCTCTTCATGATGGCCTTCGAGCTCTTCTACCTCGGCTTCGGCCAGTTCATCGCCGCGTTCTCGCCCAACGAGCTCCTCGCCTCCCTCTTCGTCCCGCTCTTCTTCCTCTTCGTCGTCTCCTTCTGCGGCGTCGTCGTCCCCTACGCCGCCCTCCCAGCCTTCTGGCAGAGCTGGATGTACTGGCTCACGCCTTTCACCTACCTGCTGGAAGGCATGCTGGCGCTGCTCGTGCACAACCAGCCCATCGAGTGCGACCCGCTGGAACTGGCCTACTTCGCGGCGCCACCAGGCCAGACTTGCGAGAGCTACGCTGGCGCGTTCGCGCAGCAGTCCGGCGGCTACGTCAGGACGCAGCCGGATGGCCAGTGTGGCTTCTGTCAATATGCGTCTGGCGACGCGTTCGCGGCGAGCTTCAACGTCCAGTATAGTAATGTTTGGCGCGATTTCGGTATCTTCTGGGCGTACATCTTCTTCCAGTTTGCGGCTGTGTACTTCTTCAGTTGGCTTTATCTACAGGGTGCGAGGAAGATCAAGAATTTCTTTAGCCCGACGGCGAGGAAGCACAAGAAGGAGATGCGCAAGCATCAGCAGGAGCTGGGAGAGAACAAGGCGTAATTTTATATAGAGGGCTTTTGTTCGGATAGGTATATTGGGTAGAGCTTCTTTCTTGTATATTTTCAAGCGGTATTGCCCTGTAATTAGTGGTGGATCTCAGCATTGCTAAATGAAGCATGGGCAGTTTAGAATAGCCTCGGATGATATCCTATTGTATCGACCACCTTCTTCATAGTAGACTATCGTGTATGCAGGGTTACAGCCACGTGACCGTGTGCGCGGCTTGCGTCTTTTGTCTAGTGAATTAAATTACCTTAACCAGCACCCACTCTACGCACTCAGCACTGATACACGTCAACCTGGTACAGACCTATCCGGGTGGCTGATTGAGTTTGCAATACGTATCAGTTGAACTCTAATACCACTACTTAGAGGAATGTGGTTATGCACTGCCGTACCTATCTGGTTATCCCACGGCGATACCATAGCATAACATGCTATCCTCGCATCTTCACTCGAGGATACCATGATCAACGAGGCTACAACAGCATCTCATGTCCCTCCGAAACCTTAGGTGGTTCAGCGTACGCGGTAAGTCGACTCCCCAGATTCAGAACCGAGATCCAGAGCAATGCCAGAACTCCCCACACCCCCCGATCTGTGCCTGCAGGCATTCGGACGGACGGCGCCGGAAAAACCGAGGCTATCAACTTGCGGCTGCAGGCACTGTGTTAGAGCCGCTGCGGTTCCTGCTCTGTGACATCGTGACTTTTTGGCGATGCTGGGCAGCATCACGATGTATCGCCCCGTAATTTGGAAATGGCTCGTCGAACAATGCCAGAATTTGCCATGGTCAAAAGCCAAATGCGGGGGAGGGACCAGGCCAAACGTAATAACTTCAATTCTGGCCTGAAAGCGCCTTAGTGGCCCGAAGCTCGACCCCTCTGGAGAAGTACCCGAGTATCTTTAAAACGGAAGCCGTCATCGCGGGGAAAGTCGCGGTCCTGCAGTATCCTGCTCTCCAGCTTCGTCGCAACTTACGCCGACTTCACACGAAGACGGAGCTCTTCCTCGCGATATCAGAGTCCAGACCGACGCAGCAACAGGCGCAGTCTCCAGGATAAGCTCTTAAACAGCTCTCTCCCGGCTTGCCCCGGCGTTTGCACGCGCACATCGGATTATCTCGGACCCTCTCAAGCGGCTGTCCACCTCGGCAAGCGTCAGTCACCACCTCCTGCACTCCAGCTAAGCCTCGATTTGGAGCATCAGGGAGCTCTAATTGGATACAGCAGAGAAGATCACTGTTTACAGCTTCCGAACGTCGTTGCAGACGTAGATATGGCCTCCGCTACTAAAGAAGCTGACACCCCGCAGCGACGACCATCTTCCCCAGGACCGCTTACAGACGACTTTGCCCGCCAGCAACTCCAGAAGCAATCAGGAAATAACTTTCACTCTTCGTCTTTGGATAGCTCCTTGATCACAATGGTTGCCAACAGCGTAAACAAGACCGCTCTTCACCCAAGTGGTGTCCAGTAAGCTCTACCTTAGCCGAGGTTGTACTGGCGTTGCAGGACCCAGCCTAATCTCTATCACAGGCCGCAGCGGGAGCACACCGAGATAGAGGAGGAGCTGCACACGAGGGCGCACATTGACTATGACCGCGTAGCGATCGTGAGTTGGTCGCTTGCTCTCCTCCTCTGTACGATACTAACCTTACTAAGATTGCCAATCCCTCTGTCGCTGCTCTCTACGAGGATGCCCTCGTCTACGAGACCGGCTCTGCCATCACCTCGACTGGCGCTCTCTCCGCCTACTCTGGCGCAAAGACTGGCCGGTCACCGTCAGACAAGCGCATTGTCAAAGAAGAGGGCTCCGAGAAGGACGTGTGGTGGGGACCGGTCAACAAGCCCATGACACCAGACGTATGTTCCTCTTTCTTTCCCGCGTCCACCTTCAACTGGCTCCGACAGGCTCTCCCCGCATGAGACGTCATCCCGAGCACCTGGATCGCGCCGGGAGTTCGCGTGTGGTGGCGCCTCCCCCGCGTCTTGGCTTGGTGTTTTGCCGATTCCGCGTGGGCCGAGGGCTTAGCCGTCATCACGTGCGCTAGAGTTCATCATGGGCAACGCTGACTTGGTGCACTGTAGGTCTGGAAAATCAACCGAGAACGTGCTATCGACTACCTGAACACCAGGAACCGCATCTACGTCGTCGATGGCTTCGCCGGCTGGGACGAGCGCTATAGGATCCGCGTCCGGGTCGTGTGCGCGCGTGCGTACCATGCCCTCTTCATGCGAAACATGCTCATCAGGCCCAAGAGGGAGGAGCTTGAGGGCTTCCATCCCGACTATGTCATCTACAATGCTGGCGCTTTCCCTGCCAACAGGTTCACCACCGGCATGACCTCAGCGACTTCAGTCGCCATCAACTTCGCCGAGAAGGAGATGGTCATCCTCGGAACGGAGTACGCTGGTGAGATGAAGAAGGGTATCTTCACCGTGCTCTTCTACGAGATGCCAGTCAAGCACGACGTTCTGACCCTCCACTCGTCGGCGAACCAGGGCAAGAGTGGTGATGTAACGGTCTTCTTCGGCCTCTCAGGTACCGGCAAGACTACCCTGTCTGCCGATCCGAAGCGTGCTCTCATCGGCGACGACGAGCACTGCTGGAGTGATAAGGGTGTCTTCAACATCGAGGGCGGTTGCTACGCCAAGTGCATTGGCCTGTCAGCGGAGAAGGAGCCTGATATCTACGGCGCCATCAAGTTCGGCGCCATATTGGAAAACGTCGTATTCGACCCCTCGACCCGAATCGTCGACTACGATGATGCCACCCTGACTGAGAACACCCGCTGCGCCTACCCCATCGAATACATCGAGAACACCAAGCTTCCATGCATCAGCGATGGCCACCCCACCAACATCATCCTACTCACCTGCGATGCTCGCGGTGTGCTACCACCAATCTCGAAGCTCAACACTGAGCAAACTATGTTCCACTTCATCTCCGGCTACACCTCCAAGATGGCTGGCACTGAGGACGGCGTCACCGAGCCGCAAGCCACCTTCTCGTCTTGCTTCGCGCAACCCTTCCTGGCGCTGCACCCCATGCGCTACGCCAAGATGCTGGCAAGCAAGATCGCCGAGCACAAGGCCAACGCCTGGCTTCTCAACACCGGCTGGGTCGGTGCAGGCGCCACGACCGGCGGGAAGCGCTGCCCCCTCAAATACACTCGCGCCATCCTCGACGCCATTCACTCCGGCGAGCTGGCCAAGGCCGAATACGAGACCTACGAGACGTTCAATTTGTCGGTGCCCAAGACCTGCCCTAATGTGCCGGATGAGCTGCTCAACCCAGCGAAGAGCTGGACCGGCACCGCGGATTTCAAGACGGAGGTCAGGAAGCTCGGGGAGTTGTTCAATGAGAACTTCAGGAAGTACCAGGACGAGGCGACGCCCGAGGTCCTCAAGGCGGGGCCGGAGATCAAATGTGAGTGTGGGCGACCGATTGCCCATAAGGAGTAGTGCGATGGTCTGACTTGCGAGCAAAAGAGATGTGTCATGACTTGCTGTGTGAGGCATTGTGATGTAAATCGACGGGAATCTGTGCGAATGTATCTATCTTGTATGGCACTGGGAGTAGGATCTCTTTGACCGCATTGACGTTTCGGATAGTATAGCCCGGTATTGACGAGATTACATATACTGTAACGAACTATTCCGTGCCTGGTGCATTTCGACTAACCTTGACCTACTCAGATGACCTGCTTTTCTTCTGTGACTGGTGCTAAAAAGCCTGATTTCCTTGACTGGTTCTCTTCTTGGCTTTCATCCTACCCTATGGGCGTGTTCGACTGTGATTGAGCCCAGCCAATGTCCTATCACTCCCTTGAAGGTCGCCGGGTATCTGGGATTCCAGATGTGCGGCAACGGTGCCCTGTCGATCATGGGGTTGGGTGTTTTGGCCATGCAAGGATGGGGAAAGCTTCATGCCGCAACAGCGGCCCTTCCTTGAGCAACACCATGGCCTGCCCCTCCATACCTCGACAGCGACGCGCATGGAAGCATCCACACGTTGACCACGGCCTTCCTGGGGATGGAGGCTGATTGGGATGAGGTGAGCTTTAATCCTACCTTACTACGCGAAGCATTATCTCCATACACTCAGTACCCAGGACCAGCAAGATATTAATGGCAGCGCCCATGCATGCGTCACGCCGGGAACCATTCTTTTGCTGCTTAAGCACAAAATCTACCAGCATTGCGCTAACGTCTGTCCCAGGTAGCCCGAGCCTCGCTGCCTCCGCCAGGCCCTCGAGCGCTGCCTACACCCGCAACGACCCTAGCTTTCGATCCTCAGCAGGAGCTGTTATGGGCCGGAAACGAATTCGTGAGTCTGTTCGGCATCACCACAAAGTGTCTCCCGACCAGTCGCAGCGGCATTCACGCGCCCACTTCCTCGACACGACCGGCTACAATGCTTCGTGTCGGGCCTGAGAGATACACTTCTGACGGACAACCGATAGGGCCGAGTCAATTCCTTCTACGGCCCGAAGCTACAGAACTATACACGATGGAAGGCACACCCGAACGAAGGTCATGTGAAGCAGATTCTGCTCTGCGACAGAGGCGTCATGTCCTTATCGGCGACGAGTATACACCTCTCCCTTAGAAAGGGGCTGAATCAATGGCATCTTGGGTACGAACACCGTTCACTCGGGAACGAAGACGGGGAGAGTTTGCGGCTGACTGATATGGTATAGGCATGATGAGTTCAAGGACCTGCAATGCATGACCTTTACCTCTAGGGGCACGAATGAGGTGCTGGTTGCCGGTCGACAAGATACTATGTTTAAAATCGATATCGAGAAGGGAACCATCTTAGCAACTGTAAGGAATGCGTTGCTCTGTTAGACCCCTTCTAACACGGCCACAGCTTCCAGCCGAAGCCGAGTACATGATGATGAAGAAAAGCACGCAGTATATATGCGCAGCGACAAGTACGGGTGCCGTACACATCATCGATCCGAATTCGTTCAAGGTCATCAAGCAGTGGGCAGCACATATGGGCGGCATCAATGACATGGACACCCAAGCGACGTTCCTCGTATGCTGTGGCTATTCACTGCGACCCCATCACGGTTACGTCTTGGATGCTTATGCGAGCGTCTTCGACCTCAAGACTCTGATGCAACTACCGCCAATCCCGTTCCAGACCGGAGCCGCTTTCGTGCGCATGCATCCCAAGATGTCAACGACCAGCATCATTGCCTCTCAGAGCGGGCAGATTCAGGTTGTTGACCTGATGAACCCAAACTCATTCAATCTGCGCCAGGTCAACCTACCCTACGAAGTTTGGCTGAAGTTTCTGGAAATTGCGCCCTCAGGCGAGGCTCTTGCCATGGCTGATACGCAGTGCAACATATATCTGTGGGGTTCACCGACAAAGATACAGATCACGGAGTATCCTCAGCCTACAGAGTTTGCTGATACGCCTGCTCCGATTCCAAAGTTGGATTACTGGAACCCCGAAACGTGAGCATCCCTAGTCGCATTCGGCGCTGGCTGGGAGGCTAATACAAAAACGCAGACCATTGAGTAGCATCGGCATGCCGTACTACAACGAAGTCCTCCTCTCTGCCTGGCCCTCTTACCTGGTCTCGGAAGTCGGCGCACCCCCAGCAAAGATCGACCCAGCAATACAGGCCAATCTCAAACGAGCAGATGTCGGCCTTTTTGCACCGAATCCACGTACGAGGCATCGGAACCAAGTGGAGGATGCACGACGGTTCGATAAAAAGGACGGCGCGATACCGACCCCTCGATTCTTGAGCGACAAACAGGCTACTCAATCCGAGGTAGAGAGGGGCATAGCTGATGCGCTGAACGACCTTATGCTTCAAGGTGCGACGAAGAAGAACGTGCCGCCGATGTATGGGAATGTGGAGATTAAGTATAGTAAATTTGGGGTTGATGACTTCGACTTCGAGTGAGTAACTTCCAGTTTCTGCCAGTACTATGACGTCCGCCGGCTATCTGGCTCAGCCTGCGGGGATCGGGGACTATGGGAGGACTGACGGACTGGCAGGTTTTACAACAAAACCAAGTTTTCTGGCCTAGAGACCCACATCGCCAATTCTTACGCCAATCCGCTTCTGCAAGTCTACAAGTTCACTCCTGTTCTAAGGAACCTAGCGTTACAACATGCGGCGACATCTTGTCTCTACGAGACCTGCTTGCTGTGCGAGATGGGTTTCCTGTTTGACATGCTGGAGAAGGCAAGCGGACAGAACTGCCAGGCTACGAACTTCCTGAAGACGTTCAGCGGCCTTTCTCAAGCTCAATCGTTTGGTTTGCTGGAAGAGCACTCACCTGATACTGCTTTGACGGTTATGATACAGAACTTCAACCGCTTCTTGCTCGACAAGATAGCTACGGATTACAGGCAGATATCGCCATCCCCGAACCATATGGAGCAGGCATTGGCAACCGCAGCTGTATCACACATCCGCTGCTCAGGGTGCTATCACGAATCAGTCCGCCCTGGAAACTCTTACCTACACGAGCTCTTCTACAGCCCTAAGATTGCGTCAAAGTCTCCCGGGCGCGGAGGGGCACCAACGTTTTCACAAGTGCTCAAAGAGAGCGTCGAGCACCAGCACCAGACGCGTGCCTGGTGCGATCGATGCAAGCGCTACCAGCCTCTGACGACGAAGAAATCGATACAGGGCGTGCCTCCTGTACTCATGATTAATGCAGCAGTGCAGAGCGATGCGGCGAAGCAGTTGTGGGCTACGCCGAATTGGCTGCCACAGGAGATAGGCATCATCCTGGATGGTGGCCACTTTTTCTGCTATGAGGGTCAAGACATTAAGAGCCATCTGGAGCGGGGTATATTCGATATGAAGGTCTACGAGCTCATTGGTGTGGTTGCGGACGTTAACAGTGGGGAGCATCAGAAGCCGCATCTGGTGTCGATGATCGATGGTAAGTCGTATCCAGAACAACCATCGCCCTCCTCAGTACCCCAACGCTGTTGCAATGCACTCATAGCCTTTGTCGCGACTGCTCGCAAAGCTTAGTGGTAGAAGCGGTTATCCTCATGAGACCGCGGGTATTACGCACCTTCATATAAATATAGCCAACCCACAACCGAAGATTAGGCAAAATCTGACCATTCGCAGTTGAACCATCATCTCAATCACCGCAAACTGAAAACCAGTGGCATCTCTTCAACGACTTCTTGGTGCATCCAATCACGAAGGAGGAAGCCCTACGCTTCGACACGACCTGGAAGCTCCCATCTATCCTCACATACCAAGCCAAACTCCACAGTCATGCCATAGATGATACGTGGAAGGAGCACATCGACCCCTCACTGCTATGGATGCCACGGGCCTCACTCCGAGACAGATCCAGCGAGTTGAGGCTGCTAGACCCCTCAACCGAGTCCCCCAAGCCCGGCTACCCGGTTGCAATCGACGCCGAATTCGTAGCACTCCAGCGCGAAGAAATCGAAGTCAAAGCCGACGGCACTCGCGAAACCGTGCGCCCGTCCCGCCTCGGCCTCGCCCGCGTTTCGGTCTTGCGCGGCGCGGGCGCAGATATGGGTCTCCCGTTCATAGACGACTATATTGCGATCCAGGAGCCCATCGTGGACTATCTGACGGAGTTCAGCGGGATCCATCCAGGGGACCTCGACCCCAACACGTCGCCGCACGCGCCTGTGAGCTTGAAGGTCGCGTACAAGAAGCTCTGGATCCTGCTCAACCTCGGCTGCGTCTTCGTGGGCCATGGTCTCCCCAAGGACTTCCGCACTATTAATATCCATGTCCCGAAAAGCCAGGTCGTGGATACGGTCACGCTATTTCACCAGAAGAGCCAGAAGCGGAAACTCAGCCTCCGCTTTCTGGCTTGGTGCGTGCTGCATGAGGAGATCCAGCAGGCGGAGCACGACAGCGTTGAGGATGCGCGCACGGCGCTCAGGCTCTGGCGTAAGTGGGTAGAGTATGTGGACGCGGGCGTCGAGGAGCAGGTCCTCGAGGAAGTGTATAGAAAGGGTAGGGAGGTCGGGTTCAAGCCGCCGGGTGCAAGGCCCAGAGGCGTCGAGAGGGAGAATGGACGCGAGACGCCGGAGCTGGGTGGGGCGAGTCCGGCGGTTACGCCTGCAAGGAAAGCGGTCGGGTTGGCTTTTGGGATGGGCAGGAGTGGGGGCTTTGGGAGTCCGATGAGGTAGGGTAAGGGTTCTTTGGATGCAAGCGTGTTGGAGGGAACTTTGGGCAAAGCACTGGCCGTAGGCCAGGAATATTTCTAGTTTATAAAACCTGTTACGTCAAACAACTTGGAGAGCCATACCGTGAAATCAAGACAATGTCCGCCAACCCATCACCACTCCAAGCTCGCAGAACTCTTTCTCCTGCCGATGTAGGCCGCTAGACATCTATTGGACATCTTCTCACGCCTCTACTCGATCCTTGTAGCTGACCCAGGCCAACAGGCGCGAAGCAACCATCCTCTGAACCTAACAAATTCGCGACATCTTCGCCTCAGAACTCGGTGGCATATCCCGCGCTGTCCTATAGTAACCATTCAGGCTGTGTAATCGGCACAGCCTACAGTAACAACCCCGCTAAGTATTCGCTTCAAGCATATCAAAGGAAGAAGCTTAATGAGACAGGCCGTATCATCTCCATAGTGTTATTTCTGTTCGATCTACGCGCGGTCCTGAAGTTGTCTCCATAGGGTCGTCCTGCACGCTATTTCTCATCTTTCCTCAATCTTCCTCAACTTCTCTCAGCTCTGCTCAGCTCCCATCACAACTTCACATCCATCGCCGTTCTACGGACGGCATTTACTTCCGAATACGGTAATATCTATGCTTTCCGTAGAACGTCTCCTCAACTTTCATTTCTCAACTCTCAACTCTCAACTCTCAACCCTCAACTTCCAACTCTCAATGGCCGTGAAGGCCGGTTCTGTGGTAGACATGTTGACTTTGATTAATGTGAGGGAGACACTCGGAGAGGACGCGTAAATGAATGTACGATTGGAGACAAAGGAAGACCGCGCATGTAGAGCTTCTCAGTTGAGTGGACTTAGTAGTTATTTCGTAGAAGGTGGCTGTTGAAGCAGCCCTAGAGGTGGTGATATATATGAATAAAATCGTGAAAAGAAGGACGAACCAGCCCGGAAAAATTAAGCATAGCTAGAGCCCGCTTAAAGTCCGAATAATCTATAACGGTCGGTCTAATCTCTAAACCTTTCTGCCCTTTCTCGCTCGCTCCTTTCTCGCCCGCCCCTTACCTCGCTAACACCTTCTTTAACGGCCCTTTCTCTTCGCTAGAATAAGTGGCTCTGGTGCCTATACATGCTAGTAGGATTTAAAGGACCGATATGTTGTTTCTAGTGATCTAGAATATCTATTCGGGGTGGTTGGTTATATACACCCCTTTATTCTTAAGAATCTTAGCCTAATCCTACATGTCGCTTAGTGTTCTAATTGAAGGACACTCTATAATCTCTAGCGTAAGAGCTATAGTAGCGGCCTAAATAACCTGCAATTCCTTTAAGCTATAATGTCTGCCGCTAAAAAATTCGACTAATGTTTAGTTTTAACACTCTTCGTTAGCGACTAACTATCGGTCGATTCAATATTAGTCGACCGCGTCCTGGGTCGGTGGCTTCCTATTAGCCGTCTTCGTCCTGAGCCGCTTCTTCCGTGATGGCGCTTTGGTGTTGTGATCCCGCACACCTCATGCTCAACTCTTAGCCCTCACTTCTTAAGTCACGCGTCAGCCTATCGTGCTTGAACACATTCAACGTGCTACTTTCAGTCTTCATGTGCAAAACTATTCAAACCTACAACACTAATCCGAGACCCAGACCCCAGCCGAGGCAAGTAAGTAGCAGTATATCTCAATTTCGCCCTAGGGGATGAAGTAATAGAGAAAATCGCGAATACCGACAATCCCAATCCCCAACCCAGCCCCACATCAGTCTCAGTACACCATAAGGCGCCCAGCTATGTCAAACGCCATCCGGCCAGCAGACTCCGAGCTAGTCCAAGCGGGCGCATACTAGCAAAGCCCCTAGATCTCCTCCATGTTGCCCGCTGGCTCCTCATCCTCGCCAGACTCGTAGCTGCCGACACTGCTCATGTCGTCTTCTGATTCGCTGTCCTCGCCAGCCTCGTCCGCGGCGTCTTTGCTTGCATACTTGAGGACGTATTCTAAGTACTGTCAGCCAGTGTATAGAAAGAGGGCAAGAGAGTTGGGACCACGGAGCAGGATGACACAAGATGAAGGTGAGCCAAGGTTGACACGAACCTTTGACCTTGGCCTCATAGCCCTTGGGCTCCCGCATCATCAACGCAGCCGCCTCGCCGTTGAGGGGGTCGGTCGGGTTCGGGTAGCGCAGCAGCTGGGGCAGGAAGACTTCGAAGATGTTGATCATATCGTACATGGGTGACCAGGTCTGGTTGATGACGTCTAGGCAGACGCTGCCGGAGCTGTTGAGGGCCTTAGTCTTAACGATCCCTGACACCACAAGATTTCGATGTGAATTCGCAATGCGGGGGCAGTAGTGGACAGGGTAGATAGAAGATGACTTGAGAGAGATGACGGTGATGTAGGAGGCGTGCGTCGTTGGAGATGGGCATGGCTTACAGCTCGTCAATGTTGGGGTGGAATATACGGTTCACAAAACCAATACTGGGGGATTTGTAGGGGTACTGGTCCGGGAGCTCGACGTGGATCTTCCAGAGACCGCCGGAGAAAGGTGCTATTGAAGCGTGTCAGCGATGGCTGGCGTGCACTGGGTGTTGGGGAATGGAGCGTTTTGTGGGGTTAGGGGTACACACTCTCCTCTGGACCCTTGAAGCGCACATAGAACTCTTGCCTGAAATATGTCAGCTGCTGGTGCAGCGTGGGAGAGAGCGCGTTTATAGGGGCTGACGAACACTGCAGGAGATCGTCAGTAAAGGTATTGGGCAAGAATGTTCCGGTATACGTACTGTTGTCATTCACGAGGGTGACTTCGTAATCGCTCATCAACCTGCCAGAGTACGACAGGTCAGTTGTGCCGCTCTTCGTGCCTTGTCAATGACTCTGGGAGGCGCAGGTAAGAAGTTATGACGCACATCCTGCTCTCGGTCAGCATGTGTTCCAGCTACGCCGAAGATGCTATCCCTACTTCATGACCTATTATTCCAGCAGGGTAACTCGTCAGCCACTGCTACAACAACCCCTCGTGAGATGTCCATGCCACTCACATCCGTCTCGATCCTCCTCTTCGGGCTGCTCATGTTGCCGGCTCGCTCAACTTCACCACCTATGGAGGTTCGTGTGGGGCGACAACGTGTGGTATAGGCCGGGGTTCGCTTTGCGTGGTGCTGAGATCAAGGTAACCTGTATGCTGCTATCCCCACTGCTAGGTGGTACGTGTGAGGTTAGACGAGTGAGAGTGGCTGGCTGATCTGTGCTGTGATTGCTACAGTAAGGCGTGCTCCGAGTTTCGCAGTGGAGCTCCGGATACGGATGCTTTGTCTGTGGCGTTGTGCTTGGAGAGGTACTCAGTGGGCGCGGTGCTGGTAGTTGCAGTTGGAGCAAGTGCTTCGATTGCAGATAGAGAGTGGCTTGGACGTAGAGAAGCAGAAGTAAGAGATTTGCAGGTCAAAGAGGTAGCAGAGTTGGGCGCGGCAGGTACTTGAGGTGGTGGTGGTTATCACGAGATGGCGGTCATCCATGGCCCCGCCAACTAGTCACGCATTCAGGGCCTTATCACCATGTGACTTGCTCAGGCACCGCAGTTATCCGCAGCGATTCTATCCGGCGGCAGCTCCAGCAGAAGGTTGATATTCAGCTTTGCAGCGTAGGAGCAGATATCAATATGATAATCCTTCCTCGTCTTGCTCAAAATCGAAAGCTTACTCGGAAGCTGCAGTGAGACATAAGATGTAGCTAGAGTCACGTGCTCCGCGCGCTCAAACTTGCTGTTGAAAGTCGAGAACACCCCTGAGCCGTCCAACGCTTGATCGCCAAAGTAGTCATTCCCGTCTGACATTGTCACCGCATACATTGCAACCTAGTTGACATTTCTATAAAGCCTCGGCGCTGACCAGCCGGACTCCCGGATTCAACTTAACAGCGCAAGCTTCACCGAAAGAATGGATTGCCGCTCCGCACGCCTCCGGTCGGCTCACAGAACGGCAACGCATTCCTCCTCCGGCCCCTAGCGGAGTCTGACAAAGGGCCCAGTTCGGACCGAGGCGGTCAACCACAAAAAACTCCAACGTTCTCTGGCCTGCGCAGCAGTATATATCACGAAGCGACCTCACAAAACCGGCTTCAGCCCACAGACAATGGCTTCGCTTCTGCTTCTCCCGTGTTGTCCGGACCTTGACAAACTACTCGAACCACCCACCTCCCCCCGAACGCGCGACCGGCGGCCCTTATTGCGATGTCGCGTGCCCTGATCCGAACGCTTGCACGCGGCCATGATGGACTCTTCAAAGCTTCAATACCTCCACTAGCCCGCCGCACATGCCTCCAGCCCTTCCCACCTCTCACCTCCGTCCTCCAGACGCGCAACAGCTCCCACAGCCCCATGGGCGCCGCGCCCCCTTCGTCGCGCAAGAAGGTGACCCTCGGCACCCTACGCGCGCTCTATGCTAAGAACGAGCCGATCACGATGCTGACGGCGTACGACTTCCCTTCCGCGCATGTCGCCGATGCGGCCGGCATGGATGTGATACTCGTCGGCGACAGCCTGGCCATGGTCGCGTTAGGGATGGAGGACACGAGCGAGGTGGGGATGGAGGAGATGATTGTTGCATGTAGGGCTGTTGCGAGGGGAGCGAGGTCGTCGTTTCTGGTATGCAAAGCCTCCGACGTTCCACCATCTGCTGGCGCCCGACCTTCCTGGCTGCTGCGTCTTGATCGCTTGAATACTTCGCGAAGATAAGACTAACCCTCCGCGCCTCCAGGTCGGCGACCTCCCCATGGGCACCTACGAGTCCTCCCCCACCCTCGCCCTCGAATCCGCGATCCACTTCATCAAGCGCGGGCGCGTCCACTCCGTAAAACTTGAAGGCGGCGCAGAAATGGCCCCGACAATCTCGCGCATCACGCAGGCCGGGATCCCCGTTCTCGCACACGTCGGCCTCACGCCGCAGCGCCAAAACGCGCTCGGCGGCTTCCGCGTACAAGGCAAGTCGACCGCCGGCGCGCTCAAGGTCCTCTCCGACGCGCTGGCCGTGCAGGCGGCCGGGGCGTGGGGCGTGGTGTTGGAGGCTGTGCCGGCTGCGGTGGCCAGCCTCATCACCACTAAACTCCAGATCCCGACGATTGGGATTGGGGCCGGGAATGGATGCTCGGGACAGGTGCTGGTGCAGACGGATATGGCGGGGAACTTTCCGCCGGGGAGATTTTTACCGCGCTTCGTGAAGCAGTATGGGAATGTGTGGGGGGAGTCGTTGAGGGCGGTCGAGGAGTATAGGGATGAGGTGAAGAGGAGAGAGTATCCGGCATTGGAGCATACGTATCCGATGAAGAGGGAGGAGTTTGAGGAGTTTGAGAAGGCGGTTGCGTTGATGGAGGTGGTTGATGTGGTGGAGGTCGAGTAGGGCGGTGTGCTAGCGGGGGTTTTTAGTTTGCGCTGTTCTGAATACCCTTGTGGAAATCGCATTGAGCGTTTTGTTCTCTCCTTCTGAAATGTCATACATTGGTTCTGTTGTCCAGTCTAGCGTTCTGCATTCGAACGGCGTCCTCATACTAGTCCTTAAGATGAAAGGCCCATAGAGGCCTTCCAGAAGCTATTCCAGTCTTCCCTCCGTGAGACCGCGCGCCAGAAACTCTTCATTGTTAAAAGCCTGCAGCTGCTCGACGAGCTTGCGGCCGTGACATGCGTCTCCTCTCTGATCGCAACCCTTTCGGATGCACCTAGCCAGCTGTAAGCCGGCTGTATGGCCTCAGCAATGCATCCAACGCAGTAGTGGCCGCATTAGGACTTACAGTAGTACTTCTGGGCCTCGGTATCAGGACCCCTCGTGGAGCCCATTGGTCAACATCGCCACTACTGCCTCACCCGAAGGCTGGAGTGATGGAGTAAGCAACCACGAGCTCGTCTTTGGTCTTGAAGCACTGGCATTCCGTTTTGGTCAGCGCACAAAGCTTGATAGCAGTGGCAAGCCCGCTTTTCCGCAAGACAGAACACAAACAGATAGGACTCCAATCTGCTTCGTGTTTCCCCTCCAAGCCATGACCGCGCGTGGGCACAAGAGCCCCGAATGAGAGCAGAGGTTTGGAACTAAACTCACCCGCCACAAATTGCCCACCCCCTCGTCCAGGGAGGGTGCGAACACCTGGTTGACGTAGCAGAAGCAGCTCTCATGGTCTTGTAGCCTAAGCTGCTTGCGCAGGAAGCGCACGACTGCTTCGAACTTGCGTGACGAGGCGATGGTGAAGACTTTGCGGCGGAGGTGCGGGGCGGAGCCGACGGGGTGGAGGCGGATGGTTACTTAGGAGGACGGGGTGTTAGATGAGGATAGTTTAGGGGGAGGAGGGGAAAGGAAAGGTTGATAGGGGAGAAGGAGGGGAGGCGGGAGGATGGTGGAGATGAGAGAGTTCGTAAAGGGTATAAATGATGTAATAAGATTTGGTCGGTTGATGGTGGTTAGGTTAAAACAGTGAATAGGGTAAGTAGACTTGGAAGGAGGTCTCATGTAACAAAGAAATTGCTCATGTGTCAGGAGGGACTTAGACGCAAAGATGTAATTCTGAAGTTAGGGGAATCCCGCAAGGCTACGGAACGATTGGCTTACTCTTCTCCTGCTCAAGCTCTCCTGCGCCATCGAGCGCCCGATGCGTATCTTTAGGGAGGTTGGTCAAGACGACAGAAGCGGCCATCGTGAGTGGAAGGTCAGCACCATTGTCTTCATCGTCGGGTATTGGCGCTGGGGTGGTGGGTGCTGGTGAGCTTGACTTGGTGGCATCGGAGGACATTGCTGCTTTCACTGTAGGTGTACTGAGATTTGATGATAACGCTGAACAGGACGCACTTATGGAGGGCGGCTGGAAGAGACTCCTGAAATGCTTGTCACGAGGAAGGGTTATGCTCGGAAGATGAGTGGGAAGTTGGGGCGACTTCAACACCATCCACTCCACTGCAGCACTCGGTGTTGCATGTGATGCCTCCGATACCGTATCTTCAATGCCTCCAGAACAGACCCGCCGAGGTTTGCACAATACTGTCTGAAATCCCTAATGTTTGTGAAAACAGGGCATATTAACAGACGGATTTACCGGTCACTATGTAAGCCCGTGGGAAGCGTATTAGTGAGCATCAGAGTGTACTACTCTTCTATATCAGGAACCATTAGTCCCAAGCAGATGTTACCATATACTGCAGATACGTATAATGACCTGCCCTCGTAAACCATCCAATAATTGGCCCCAAAGCCTTTGAACAATGCCAAGGCCATTACTCTACATTCCATTCCCGTATGAATCTCCGAATCCTCTACACCATTAACCAATCGTCGCAGCGCGGAATATATACAGACAGCATAGCCGCACCACTACATCAGGAAGCACCCCAATCATACACCAGAGTCCCACGTGAAGACACCGCTGTCCTTCGCATACTTGTTCCACGCCTTGCACGTGTCCTCAAGCATGCAAGAGTCATCAATCGTATCCCTGATCTTATCCTGCATCTCAACGATCTGTAGCGCAAAACCCATTGACGTATGCCATCCAACATGACAGTGCATGAGCCATACGCCCGGATTGTCTGTTTCGAATGCGACAACGAGGAATCCAGCGCCAGGCATGAGCGCGGTGTCGCGGCGAGGTGGGTTGATGAGGTTGAGTGGCACGGCGGAGCTGTACGCGCCTGATCCAGAAGCGAGGATGAAGAAGTCGTGGCCGTGCAAGTGGATGGGGTGCGGGAGCGGGATTGCGCTCTGTATGATGATGTAGACCCACTCCTTCTCGTTGGGGACTTCGATTAGGAGGTTGCCACTGTAAGTGGGCGCGGAGCCGTTCTGGTAGACGCCGAGGAGAGTGGGGTCGCCCCATTGAGACATGAACGTGGTGCCTGAGAGATACCACTTGAAGAGGTTGGCTGAGTTGGGAGCGACAGTGATCTGTCCGTTGTGGGTTATGTCTGATGTGCCGGCATCCATTGCGTATATTGGGATGAGACTTGCGGCCGGCTCATCGATGCATTGGGTAGTGTAGTTGTAGGCTTTTGACGTCGGACTCCCGCCTGGAGATCCCGTGTAGCGAACGACGGCCTTGATGTCGAGTGCCTGTTTGAGGCCGGCACAAGAATTTTGATTGTCGGAACGCATCCAGTAGTCGCCGACGTCTTGGTCAGCCTCAACGATGACATTGTAGCGCTGACCTGTTCATCCGTCAGCAAGTGTGAACAAATATGCAGACCGAACAGCTTACCGATGTTTATATTGAGGATCTTAGTCTGATACGGCTTGATGGGCGTGAAATCAGCAGAGATGACAGTCATGGTATGGCCATCAATATAGAATTTGAACGTCGACTGGATAGACGCGTTCAAGATACGAAGAAGATAGCGCTGGCCCTTGGTGAAGGTCATCTCATACCGAGTACCGGTTTGGTTAGCAGCACCGTCCGGACCCCAAGTGTTCATGCCGTTGATGAGTCCGTTTTCCAGAACACGGGCACCACCACCACGTCCCGGCACAGCATCTTGAGAAATGTCATACAAAGAGTCGACCGTCACATGGCTCCAGTCCTGGAGAGTGATGACGCCCTTGTCCTCGTCGTAGGGTGCGCTTGTAGGACCGTGGATGATCATAGGCCCAAAGACTCCCTCCCACGCCTGGATAGCCATATGGGAATGATACCAGCTGGAACCGTAGGAGTTTGCAACCCATCGATAGGTCAGTTCCTCCCCGGGCGCGATGGGGCATTGGGTAATTGATGGAACGCCATCGTACTGGTTCGTGTAGTTCTGGCGGATGCCGTGGAAGTGAATGCTAGTGCCGTTGTTCTGCATCTTATTGACCACCGTTACCTCGACAGTATCCCCCCAACTAGCTACGATCGGCGGACCAGGCATCTGGCCGTTAACTACGAGTGCGAGTCGGGGGTAACCATCGGGTGCTATGGTTGTGTTGGTGATTTCCAGCCTATATCTGACGGTATTGCAGGTCTTCGGGTAGACCTGGAAGATGCTGTCGTTGATGGTCAAACCACACCAGGAGCTCGGGTTATTTCCAGGCTGACCCTCGCATGGAACGCAGTGTTCCTGATATCCTGTAGGCCAGGCATTCCTAGAGCTACACGCCGAGGGGGCCCAAGTGTTGTTGTCAGATGAGGTCGTGTTTGTAGTGATAGCAGATGATGTGACGTTAGGCGTGGCAGTGATCGTCGACGAATATTCGCTGGACGGACTGAGTAGCGCAGCAGTGGTGCTGGATGACGAGTTACTCCATCTGATAGACGTGACCGAAGGACGACTCGAGTTAATGGTCGAGCCATTCGAATTGGCAGTAGGAAAGCTTTGAGTCAGGTTGCCGGTAGTGGTTACGACGCTGCTAGAAGAGCTTGGAGTACTGCCGTTGGTACTCGATGGTACTGACGAGGAGAAATTCGAGGTGCAGCCGCTGAGGAGCAAGGCACCATACACCTCCGTATTAACTTTAGCAGGTCTCGGGCTGTTCTTGAGATAGCATGGCCCTTTTGGGCTACCTCGAACCCATGATACGCCGATACAATCCGGTCTCTTGCTGCAGGCCTCGGCGCACTCATTCACATCTTTAGTATAGAAGCCGCCGCCAAGCATGTCACCTCCCGCACGATCGACTCCACACCCAATCTGGAAGGTTGCTCCGCATGCCGCCCTGTATAGAGTGCCGTTCTTCTCAGGGCAGCGTACAGATGTAGGGGTAGGATAGATGAAACGAGTTGTCCCGGACGTGGCAGCCGGTGTCTCGATAACGACTTGAATAGCGCCCATGACTCTTGTGTCGACCCTCGCTGGTTCAACCCTCTTCTTCAGGTAGCATGAGCCGCTAGGAATCCCTCTTACCCATGAAACGTCCACGCATTCCTCCTTCGCGGAGCAAGCATCTACACACTCCTCAAGTGATGTAACGTAGACAGGCAGTCCCAGATCGCCGCCGGCTCGGTCGATGTTGCATTCGATCTGGAAAGTCTGCTTGTTGTTGGACGTAGTGTAAATCGTTCCATTTGAACTAGGGCACGAAAGGGATGTGGCAGAGGGCTCTGCTCGTTCCACCAGATGTCCGGACGAAGCACAGCGGCCGAAGGAGGTTTGACAGCCCGCCTCACAATAGCCGTCTGATTTACCACTATATGATGTAAGTTTTAATGCAGACTTACAGAAAGGTTAAGGGGCTTACCAATAGCCATACTCGCTGCAACAGTCGCCGTAACCAGAGTCTGTGCACGTATAACCAACTCGTCCACCGCATGAGCCATCTGGTGACGGCTTTCCTCGAGTCCGTTCGCAAGTACCGTACATGCTCTGGCAGCCATCGCCACAATACGGGCGAGTCGCACCGCAGAAGCCCTCTCTGCTGCAGCAGTTGCCGAAGATCGACCCCATGCAAGTCTGACCAGTATTCTCTCCACACTTGCCGTCGTGGCTGACTATGGTTTCCGACGATGACGGTTGCTCAGACGCGGGGAGGGCGCTCGCCAGGCCCAATAAGAGCGACCAGACGATGGTCCTCATCGTCTTGATATGTTTCCGTGGCTCTATGACTTGGACTAGAAGGGGAACGATTGAGATGAACGGCAGACAGCGATAGTAGACAACAAATGGCGGATGAAATCTGCTCTGCCAGAACTTCATACAACGAATGGCAGCTCACTTGCTCCACGAAGGGGGACAACCCTGTGATGAAGACAGAAAATATGTGGCGGGCACCACTTCCTTATATCACAACAGTCTTAAATCTACAAAAGCATGCAGCAACAAGCCGCCAGCCCATGCTTTGCCTGGACAAGACATAGAACTTGCAATGCGTGGCTAGCCATCTAGTCGCGATGACCTGGGTGTACCAGCCATGCGAGCTCGTGGTCAGGTAACACGGAGGTACCAGACGCCCGTCCCATTTTCGACAAGAGCATAACAGTGGGCTGGGTGACATGGTGGCTTCGTTGCTTGGGCTAAGAGCCTCTATCAGCAACCCGCAGAACGGGACCGACACACCATTCGCTCATGCAGAGCTGGTCGGTGGAGACTTGGCACTGGTGCATGTGGCGGACGCAGGTTATTGCCGATGTTTAGGGCGTAGGGCGGCGCTGTGAGGTTCGTTTGCTTTGCGGCGCCGGTATGTCGTTGTTGACACGATGTTAGTGAACGGGCGGCGTGTCAACGGTCCGTTCATGCAATGGGCGGGAAGCGCAAGGATGAGTCGGATCCCCATCGGCAGGGCATTGAATTTAATCAAATGGCTTTGCTCGGCGGCGACCATATAGAAATCGATCCATCTTTTGTACGGTTGTGTCCTGAAGTCTTGAAACCCCACCTGGCAATACGAGAGGCTTCACGTTTCTAGCAACTTACGGAGCACTAAAGACAGTCACCGAGCTACCCAATATGCTACTGAGGCCATATCCACTCGTTCTCGAGAAACGACAATATGGAGACAGATCCGCTGTCGTTGCATGTGGGTTTCTAGCGTAAGGCTCGGCAACTTGGTGTTTCCGATACAAGCCATCCCTTCCGTGGACAGGAAGAATGAATTGACTTTACAGCTTACTCCTGCCATTTAGATGCTGCTCTAGTAAATCAGGACGCCACAGGACGTCAGTGAATCTGACGGGCAGTAGTCCCATACAAACGCAGGGAAGGATTTTCGACAGCGCTTCTTGACCGCCTTCGAGGCAATCCTCAGGATCAGGATGGTGAGGAATTGCAGCCTTACCGCAATACCATGGGCATGGGGAGCGTCGTCCCACCAATCGGTAGCTTGCGTTGTCAGACTCCTTAAATAGCCGTGGCCGCGGAGAGCTGCTAGGACAGTGTCCTAGTAGCTGGTAGCGTGATTAGCTAAGGTATCGCTCATCCGTTAAAGCCGCTCTTCCGAAGGTCAGGCTTCTGGATCTGAATGGCACGGTTTTCGGTGTTGGTCAATCGGTCCTTAGTCGGAATGATCATGCCTTCTGGGACGGATCCGGATCTTCTGGATCTGTATAGCGAAGAACTGCATGAGAACTGAAGTTGGCTTCCCGGTAGCAATAGTAGGAACTCTGAAGGGTGAGATTACATGACGATTGGATCAGGCCGAGCGGTCAAGGGCATAGGTTCGTGGAAGAGAGTCTTTCCTGGCTGCGAAGAACCGGTATTGTGTTTACGGCTTTTTCCAGGCAACACCCGATACAGGCATCGAGCATGGCTCGGCGTCTGCAGAAACGGAAACTGTGGAAGGGGTCAAGCTTTTTAGGGTTGTGATAACTCTAGGTCGAGGATTAAAGAGGGCATAGGTTGCGTTTGCTCCGGTCTGATATCTGTCCGTGAGCTATGTACACGTGATTCAAGCGTCCGCCTTGAGCTCTATCGGGAGATGGCTTCCTACCTCTGTATTGTTTGTCCTGGCCGCTTCTGCAAGGTACAATTCTTGAATCCTCTATCTCCTCTGATGCTTGTCCCGTTCGTCGACGTGAGATACGATTGCTCGCACGACCTTATGCCTCTCGTTCCGGCCAATCCTTCCAAGGCTGGTAAAGACGGCGTTCTTGTTTCAGCCCTTCAGCCTTCAGGTCTGTTGCCCCTCGCGATCCGTGCCAAGCAAGCGACTGCCTATGTCAATTGCGCCAACCGGAACAGTTCCCCGGGGCTTTCCTTGTCGCCCAGCAACGCTTAAATGAACCAAAGGTCGGCCGCAAGCGTGCTAGAGTGCTCGTCGAGACGAGGAGATAGTCCTCCAATGCCGTTTTCAAGTGGCAGGTGTGTGTATGCAACGTGTTCCTGCCATCCTGCAAGCCTAATGAGCGTGCAGACTGTGCTGGGATAGCCTTCAGCTTCGCTCGTGACGTGCAGACGTCGGCTCAACCCGCAGATGCAACATCCCGAGATGGCTTGTTGCCCAAGGCAACAATTCACGGTCCCATTGACTGTCGTCCGCTTTTTGAGAAGGCAGCCAGTTTTGAAGATAGAGTAGAAGATTTGACAGTCTTGTCCAGGCCAGCTTTTACGGGGATCGCATTCTCATCGCATTTACCAGCAACCTCAGTGATTGAGGTCTCGGTATTCCTCGAGATCAATACCGCATACCCAGCCCCCAAAACAGATGTAAAGGAATCTCTCCAACCTCTTGCAGACCGGCTCGCGTGGCCATCAAACCCCCTGATGTTTGTGCAGATCATGCTGTCTCGGAGAATTCAGCAGCGCCGGATCGCTCATGCTGCCATTTCTCAATCCCACAACGCTAGGCGTTCCTGCAATCTTATCACACGTTACCCTGGAGACCTAAGTGAAGACCAGGTAAAGGGATTGCGTTTTAACCTCAAGGACTGAGCCCCTCCGGAGGCTAGAACATCTGCCAAAGCTCGACGAAATTGAGGCTTGATGTCGATGTTGACGGCTGAGGCCTCTGACGCGTCGGGACTGTCGCATATCGTGCTCTGTTGTCCAGGCATGGTCGTAGTAGATTAAAACGAGCTGCATTGCTATTTTGTTCTACAGGCGAACACCTCGTCCTTGGAGGCTGGCGTTCGCATTTCTGCAAGCAAGGCATCAGAGTTGTCGGAGGTCGGCTTCGGGCAATGCGCTGCGCATCGCTGATCACTCGTTTTCGTCGGGTCCAGCAGCGGTGGTAGCACTCTCCATTCTCGAGATGTTATCGTTCTTCTTGCGCTTTCACTCTCAAGTTCCTGCACCATGTTGTGTGCTTCTTGCTATCGTGCGATCTCTTGCCGTTTCCTCCCCATCTTCCACGAAGAGAGTCCACGCCTCATGATAGGGATTCTGTCACCTGTTGAAGATTTCATCACGGGCTCCTTCCGATACAGCGGGTGCACTTCTTGACTGAGTATCTCTCAGTAATCGTGACCCGGTGCAAGCGTCTGACTTGCTAGGTGCCAGGCGTTTAAAAGTCGCCCTAGCTCAAGTTAGAAGATGTAGAGTGCTCTCCGTCCGGTATCAATTCAAGTCTGGTGTCGTCAAGTGTTCAGACTGTCATCCTAGTCATGCGTTACATACTCAATGAGCAGAGCGCTAATGGTTGACCGAGTAGATTGGTCCTACCGGTCTGTAATTTGGCACTAACTCTCCGGGTACCCATTCTCCAGTCCCAGAGTTTTCGTAGCATACACAAAACCCCAAGATATCGGCCGGCCCAGCGCCGGCATACCAGTAAGTCCAGACACTAAACGAGGGTGAAGTCGTGTCACCCTCAGTAGTTCCAGTTGCAGCTCCTACACCACGTCAGCCTCCATCCCCACCACTCTCTTCACCCCACCCACTCACCATGCCAAATACGTCCAATCGACTCTACTCTGCCTCCTGGCACTCTTCGTCCTCTCATCCTCCTCCGGACACCCCTCCCCCTCCAACCACGCAAGCGTCCCCTTTCGATTCCGATACACCCTCTCGACATGCTCCAGCTTCTCCAGCACCTCCTCGTTCTCCGCGCCTAGTGCCAAAACCCGCGTCCACAGCGGCGACGCCTCCTGCCAGATTCCGCCCGAGTCGCGACGAGCATTGCGCTTGTCGAGCTTCGCTTGGATCTCATCGGCGGAAATGACGCGGCCCCAGAGCGTGTAGAGAAGGTCGGGGTAGTCGGAGACGGGGTAGGCGTCATAGCACGAGAGGATCGCGAGCGTGGTTTCTTCGTCGTACGTCCAGGATTTGTTGCTGGTGGTTGAGGCGCGAAGGGGCATGCTGGGGCGGCGGATGGGTTCTTGGAGTGAATTGTGTGAGGAAGACATGCTGGGGCGCAGGGTCGAGGATTGGGAAAGTGAAGATTGGTGGCTGGGTGTTCCGCTGGGACGGCGGTAGAGGCGGAGGCTCTGGTGCTCCATGGTGATGAGGAAGGTGGAGCTTTGGAAGATTGGTGGGTTGGTGATGGAGTTGTTTTGATGACGCGAAGGAGCTTGTTGTTTTATCGTGGAGGGAGATGACTGGAAGAAAGGCTTTCACTTCACTTCTGCGCGGTCACACCAGCACATGCTCTTTGAACCGCGTTCGTTTGATTGTGATAATTTGCCGACTCATCATGGGTGCTAGTGATCAAGCGACCTGGAGGATAGAAACAGTGTTACACATCGATGTTATGAAAGCTCGAAACGAGTTTCCCGCCTTCATGATTATCAAAACGCTCCCGAGATCTTCGTCTGAAGCCTTTACAGCGCTTAGGCACGAGTCCTACACGCCCATCCATACCGATTCTGGGTCACGGCTGCACAAGGTGTGTCGCCGTACCGTTCCGTGATCTGTACACTGATACCATTCTTCGCTCGACATGAGACGCTCTTACGGCTTGAAATGGCTAGTTGAAACAACAGAAGTGATAAGAATCGCCTCATGAATTATTGGGTCGGAATCAACACGGGTCTAGCTCACTGTGATCAACCCGGCACAGTTGTCTTTTCGGTTCCGATCATATGGAGTGAAAGGATATTCTGGACAAGTTTCACGCGCTACGAAAGCCTTCGTTCGAAGCGTAGGATCGCAGACTTGGCTATTGCATGGAAAACGAAACTGGGATGCCCTACATGTCCCCCATATATTTAATATCTACACATCGGCCAACGATACTGAAAGAACACTTGACTGCCTTGGGACGAGGCGAAGAGCGGAAAATGATGCGGACTGGAGACACGGTGATACTACCAGGATGCATAAACTCCTAGGACGCCTACTGGCTAAGGTGTTCCTCGTGGACATTACGGTTACTTGCAAGACGGTCTGAACTTGCAAAATAGCTTTCTAGGTAGAGGGTGACTTGCGGTCTCGATGTGCTCGATTATGCGTCATGCAGATTGCTGGACTAGTGACATGCCACGCTGGTATGACAGACTGTGCCTTGCAGCGAGACCAAACGATGCTCGCGTAAGCGATCCTACGACAGCGATGTACTACTCTGAGCAACGATTCAAGTAGCATGTTCCCCCTCCACGGAAGGCCGTCCGTTCTGATCGTCCATGTGATCCAACTGTGCCCGCAAGCCCTCTTTGCCCACCCTCATGGCTCTTTGCAGTTCCATCTCTTCCTCCCTCAACCTTCCACGTCCGTACTCCAGATCCCGCCTTTGCCGGCGCTTTTCCTCTTGGACACGCTTCTCTCGTTCCTGCAAAGCTCTTTCGCGCCGCTCGCGATCCTGACGTTTCTTGGCCGCTTCCTCATCCTCCTCTGCGGTGAGATCACTCGCCTCTGGTGCCGGTGGCAGTGTGGAGATGTAGGCGGTTATAAGCGGGTCACGTGTAGAGGGCTGAAGTGAAATATACCGAATGTCTGTCAAGACCTGTGGTGGAAGCGCGGCCAGCGCGGTTGACCGATTTAGCGTAGACAGCGGTATGCTCTTCAGCAAGGCGGACAAGTCGGCTTTAAGTGTGCTTTGGGGCAGTTTCAGGCGATTGATGTAGTCGCGATAGTACTTCTCTCGATCCTTGTCTTGGAGTTTTGTGCTCTTCATCTCGGGCTCTTTCCTATATTTACGCTTAAATTCCGGCCAGTAAAGCTTAGGCGTGGCATTGGTCTGGAGAAAGGCCAGATACGGGATCCGTGGGTCCTCCTTCTCCTGCTTCTCGCGCTGCTCCTTGAGAGTCTGTATCCTGTTACGAGACCACTCGTCCCAGGTTTCTTTCCGGGATTTCATGTTGGGCAGGACAGTGTAGCGGTCGTCCTCAATGATGCGGCCTTCCTCGATAACCTTTTCCCAAATGGTGTATGGATTGATTTGGTAGTCGTCCAACATATCCCTGAACAAGGCTTTGGAGTCGCTCTCGGTTAGAGGGAGCCCCTCAGCACCTTCCTCCAAATCCTCGTCTTCTCCCTGGCCGTACTCGCCAGGATCTAAGCCATAATCTTGTCCCATCTGCGCAAGCTGGTACGCTATGTCGTCCTCATTGAACTCGACGGGCTGATCTTGAGGTTGCTCATCGGTCCGCTGCCGTTTGGACGGGTTGTTCTCATCTCCCTGATCCTCCTCATCCGTCACCTCGACCTCTTCATATTCGTCGCTCGAGTCTCCACCTTCCTCTCCTTGAGCCACCGGCGGCGCCAGTGGACGAGGTCCCTGTTCGGCAACAGCCAGTTCTTCTGCCGCCGCCGCCTCCTCCTCGTCTTCAACCTCGCCAGTCTCGCCTCTCTCACGCCGTTCGCGCTTCTCCCGCTCCAGCCTATCAAACTCTATCACACCCTTCATGACATCCTGCGGGAACTTCCAGAAGCTCTCGTTCGTCTCCGGATTGTGGACGAAGCGCCGACCCAGCCTCGTCTTCACAAGAAGCCATGGTGCGCACCCTGGAATGGTGTACTTGTGCTTAGGGCGATCTTGAGGCTCGTGTCGGCGGCGGTCTTGGTACCCGTGTCCGCCGCGGAAGTTGCCTCGTCCTCGGTGGCCTTCTCGGTGAGCGCCATGGTGGTGATGGGGGCCTGTCTGGAAGGGCTGCGCTGGATACGCTCCGGGAAAGGCTTGTGGGGCTACTGGCGGTGGTATTGGAGGAGAGAATACAGGCGCTGCTATGGGACGAGTGTACGTAGACTGCTTAGTTTCTGAGTTATAGAAGTATGAATGGCCTGCCCGTTATTAGCGTGGGGTTTCAGAACACATGTACGGCTTCATACCTGTCGGAGCCTTATGCTCAGTCCAACCAGGTGGCAGGGGGGACTGAACTGGCGCCTGCACCGGCTTGTGTGTGGACTTGAGCATTCTGGTGCTAGGTGGTCTATCTGACTTATAAATTTCTGGTTGTTGAAGTTGACGTCGAAGGAAGCTGTACCTGAGATTCGCGCCGGAAGATGCCGCTCCGGCGAACGCGTTGTTGCAGCTTGCCTGGAGCTCCAGCATTCCATCACATCCACCAGCTGTCTGCAACCTCCATCCTCCACTCCTACGGCCTTCTCTTGCCCACAACTTCATCAGACCTGAGTCGCAGTACCTTAGTGCACCAAATCTTATCATGTCGAGGAGATACGACTCAAGGGTGAGATATGCTACGCCTCGCTGTACACTCCGGTACCACAGCTGACAGCCTCTAGACGACCATCTTCTCTCCAGAAGGGCGTCTGTACCAAGTCGAGTATGCTCTGGAGGCCATATCGCATGCCGGAACAGCTCTGGGAATCCTAGCACAAGATGGAATTGTCCTTGCAGCAGAGCGTAAAGTCACGAGCAAGCTATTAGAGCAGGATACCTCAGCAGAGAAACTCTATATCCTGAACGAGTATGACCGGAACCAACAGCCGTGACCTCATAATCGTACACAATACTTATCGATCCGTAGCAACATGATTTGTGCCGTAGCAGGCATGACCGCCGACGCCAACATCCTGATTAACTACGCTCGTCAAGCCGCTCAACGCTACCTCCTTACCTACAACGAAGACATTCCCTGCGAGCAGCTCGTCCGACGTCTATGCGATTTGAAGCAGGGCTACACGCAACACGGTGGTCTCAGGCCCTTCGGCGTGTCCTTCATCTACGCTGGCTACGATCCGCAGCGACAATTCCAGTTGTACCAGAGCAACCCAAGCGGCAACTACGGCGGGTGGAAGGCGACTAGCGTAGGAGCCAACAACGCGAGCGCGCAGAGCTTATTGAAGCAAGACTACAAGGAGGAATGTGACTTGAAGGAGGCGTGTGGGTTGGCGGTTAAGGTGCTCAGCAAGACGATGGATTCGACGAAGTTAAGCAGTGAGAAGAGTAGGCAGCGATTCATAGCCCCAGCTCTCTATGCAGACCCCGAACGCTGACATGTAACAGTTGAGTTCGCTACGGTCGGCCGGACGAAAACAGGAAAGGTCTACCATCATCTGTGGGGTGCGGACGAGATCGATGCGCTGCTCAGGGAGCATGGCCTGGCAAAGGCGCAGGATGCGGAGGAGACTACCGAAAGTGCCATGGGCAACGCAGGCTATGCGGAGAACCGACCGGAAACCTAGGGTGAAGAATTGCGACCAGCGTGGTAGGATCCTTTCGAAGACCACAGCTTTCTCACAGAACCAAAGAAGACAGGTCGCTCCGGAGTGTTCAAGAAGGAGGTCGTCCCAACCCATGGGTAAGATCCATGCTGTACCTCTACGTAATAGATCGGGCTGTAGTATACCATCGGGTAGAATGGGGCCACGCTGAGTCTTTAGGAATGGTCTTATGGCAAGCATCCTCCGTAATCCCTCATAGAAACGATGATGCGGTGGCCGTAGAGCTCGTCGCAAGTCCAATCTGTTCACCATGCGATCCACCATACACTAAAGCACAACATAATGAATTTGCAGTTCGACTTCAATGTACCGGCTTATTTACGTGGTGTCCGGCTGATTCAAAGGTGCTGACGCTATCAGAAGGCTCATTTGGATTCTTGCATACAGTTGTTTCAGCATTATCCGTCTTTTCCTCTTACGTTGAAGTTTAGATGTCAAGCAGGGCACCTTCACGTCTTGCCGCCGGATTCAGCTCCACTAGCTCTTTGTTCGGCGCTCGTCGCTCATCGCTTCAAGGCACGCATCGCTCTTGCAATGCTGGCTCCTTCCCAACGACTTTGCTTCACCTCGTGCCTCGTGATTACCATGTTATTCACAGGCAGCTGCAATGTTGCCGTACACCGGTCCGCTGAAAATCTCTCGTATCTGTTACTCTTCTACATCACTTACAGTCGTACACTTCTTTGACATACATCGTCGCCTTATCCGAACATAACACTCTCCAGCAGCCTTTTACGACAACTTACTCACGATTACTCAAAACATCTTTTCCCAAGTCTCCGCTATGCCAGACCCGGCGGCACGGGAGCAGACCTTATCGCCTAAATCCTCCGCCTCCACTCATCGTGATGCAGCGTCTGAGTCCATCCACCAGACGTATGCTCGGCCGCAGGAAGCAAACTATCGAGGCTACAAGAAACGGAACAGCGACATCGGCGAGACCGTTGACTGGACTTGCGAAGAACACACCCTCCTCGCCGTTGCGCTGAGTCATCAAGACAAGCGCCCCTATCCTGCCTTCAACGCAGAGTATATTGCAGAGCAGTTTACAGCGCTGTTCGGTCGGATCATCACGGAGAAAGCCATCGAGAGCCAGCGAGACAGGATGTTGCACCCGAAGAACGACGATACGGAGGCACCCAGGTGCTATCGCATGGCAAAACAATGGGATCACAACAGCGACAACGTCAAGAGGCGGTGGAACTTGATCGTCAAGGGCCAGCTGCTGTACGATAATGTGACGACACGGGTCCTATCAAATGCCACTCATCACGGCCTGGAGGTGTATGGCGCACTGGGTTTCTACACGTTTGGGCACCAACCTGGGATTCCAACAAAGAGGCGTGGGCAAGACAAAGGACGAAGGGACTCACTTTTAGACGGCGGAATGCCTATCGAAAGGTATGCGGCCTCCCATGCTCCTAAAGCTATCCTCCAGGCGATCGTCGTTGAGTGTCTGCGGGATTCACAAGTAGCTATTCGTGTACAGCTAACACCATCAAGGACTCACTCCCGCTTCGAGGCAGTTGCGTTGGACGAGCGGCAGGCGAAGAACGTGGGGAGTGGATGGGCTTATGTCCCTGATGTGTATCACCGAAGATGAAGGAGATGTCATAGTAACCTCGCAGGCCAGCTATCATTATTGACTTTCTCCATCGTCACCGCTCCGCAAATCTCATCGCCTCCAGAGTAAAGATTTTACTCTCGCAGCATCAGGCGTGTGAAGCCCGGACAAGGCATTTCTGACCATTGTTAGATCTTCATGCTTGAGTCGAAGGCCTCCATGTGCTGGCTGCATCAAGACCCCGAGCGTGCATGCTGCGCACGGTGATCTTCGTTGCCTTCCTGCTCTCGGTTTTCTCAGACGTAGATCCATCACATTGCCCTTCAGATCAAGTTCGATAGTCACTCGCTAATGACGAGTTAGCTGCCATTTCGACTCGCTTGTCTAGCGCAGGCTTCTCGTTGACACGATTGTAGCAATCCATTCATTACAGGTCATTGTTCACGATTTACTACATATCCAATGACGAGGTATAGAGGTCACCAAGCTCATAGCATTGTGCACTGATGTAAGTGATTCTTGCACACTCTGTGATTCCACGCACTTCCGATTTGTCTATTGTGAATGACTGTCGGGTACGCTGTTGCACCAAAATTAGATTAGCACAACGTTCGCATTCCGTTCACAGCTTTCCGTAAGATCTCATTGTCGTCAATGTGCTGTTACCATGAACGTCCACCACCATCACAAAGAACCATGGCGCTTTCGTCGATACAACCGCTCGCTTGTTCGTGCGGGCTTTGTCCGTGCGGGACTTCAAGTGCGCTGTCTTGCTCCTGCGGGCTTTATTCGTGTGGGACTTCGGGAGCGCTGTCTTGTTCCCGTGGACTTTCTTGGGCAAGTGGAGTTTGAGGTGATGGTTCTGGGGCTTGGAGTCTTAGTCTGCCCGGTGAAGATTCTGTGGATGGGCTGTGCCTGATTGTAGTGGTTTTGGGGTTTGTCTGGGTGGTCCGGCATTCGCGTACGGGCGTTTTGGAGTCGGCTTTGTTGGGGTTTGATGCTTTCTCTGCGTTCGTATTTACTGTCTACATAGCTTGAATTCGAAATGACGAGTGACTCATTTCTCTCCACTTACCGCTAAAATATATTACCATGCTATTAAAATTCTAAACCCTCTTGAAGAAGTTACGAGGGATATATAGCTTCGTGAGCACGACGCAGAAGTTCTTCCAGATGCAGGTGAGGACCTGACAATCCCTGTGGAGCCGTTTCGTTCAGACATGAGATACACCAAGCCTTCAACACCTGGATCTCGCGTCTCAGTGTTTTGAGATTTTGAGGCTCTCCTACTTTTGGCGGCGCTCACATGAGCTGCTGAGACCGCATAGCGAGCGCATTTGACGCACATCTCCAGCACTATGCAGTAAGGACGAGATAGCAGCCGCGAACGAAAGCGTTGTTTGTTCTCCAGCTACGTGCAGTGGTCATCGGCCGGCGCTATGTTCTTTGTTGATGAATTGAGAGGACATTGTTCAGACTTTTCTCTACAACAGAGCCATTGTCATGTCGGTGAAAGTAGACCTCTAGGACGGCATGTCCGCAGATAAAAGGGGGCAGAGCTGCTATCAAATGTCCCTCCAACGCATTCAGCTCCTGGATCTGTGTTCTTGTTGATCGAGAACTTTCACTTTTCCAGTAGCGATCTACAGCACACCAACCCGCAGAGCACAACAGCAGTACAAGATGACCACCTATTCGGACGAAGAGGAGTTCTGGAGACAGACGGAGACTTGCCATCCGGACCTAATTCCCGCAGACGACCGCAACTGCCCGATCTGCGGCGAGGCGTATGAGGACCCTGACAACGATCCAGACGTGATGGCCGTGGGCTTGCAGTGCAGTCATTTCGTTTGCCTCAATTGCCTGGATCATTGGCTGCACACTACGATCAGAGGCCAGGTTCGAAATACCTGCCCAGTTTGCAGGCATGTGCTGTATCGGGTAAGACAGGTAACGCCGGATTACACTTCTGATTATGCCGATGATGATGGCAGTGCTGACGAAGGCGAGGACAGCGACTCCGAGAACAGTAGCGAGAACGACGATGAGATGCCCGACGTCGATTTGGACCCGGACAATGACGAGGATGGGACCGAGCATCCGAGTGTGGACATGGCGCTACTCCGCGAGGAGCACCGCTGGCTCGCTCGACACATGCGTGACGAGTGCATCGAACACCTCGTCTATCTCAATAGCACCCGCTACTGGAACGGCGACCACCGGCTTGTAACTATTGACGGCCTCAGACAGCTTCCCGTCTGGTCTCTCGAGCCGAACGTCATCCGCAGTGAGGCGAGGGAAACGCTGCGGCGGGACGCGATTCGCATCGTCTCCCTAGAAGTCTGCTGGACGATCCACAGGCTTCACAACTATGAGACCACCGCCCGGCGCATGTACCAGCAGCTGGTGCACCTTGTCCGCTGCAACGCGGTCGTCACGATGTACGGCCTTGCCGAGAACGAGGACGAATCTCAGTGGCAGGTAAACGATCTCTCCCAGTTGACGCGGGAGGCTAGGCGGTGGATTCGCAACATCGTGTACACTCAGATGAATCCGGACGCGCAGTACAGGTCGGATCCGAGCTTGGAATTTCCGTATTCCGCAAGGTAAGTCGAGGTTGGGCCCTTCTAGTACCGCTGTCTTCATGCGCAAGTTTGTCGATGGACTGAGAGTTTTGTTTGAAGGCTGATTGGAGGTGGATTCCCCTTCCTGGTGTTTGAGCGTTTGCATGTCCTTTCCCGTTGGCGCTGGTTTGGCTAACAGACTCTCACGCTATCGCTATAACCATAAAAAAAGCAGTAAGAATAGAAACTTTGGCTGTGCCAATACTAAAACATCTCTCCATGGTATTCCTGCTGGTTCGTGATGGAAGTGATTTAGATGTTGCGCGACTTTGGGTTTTGATACCCTGATCTGTTTGACGGAGCAGTGCACAGAATGAGATTCTTGACATCTGGACTTGTATGATTCAGTCATTTACCATGAAGACTCTATTGGCATCCACAAAATTGCTCCGTCAAACATGTTGAAGCATTGTTCATGTCGGCCTGGAAAGCGAGCTCCTGTTAGCACGCACGTGACCTTAAGGCTCGCTAGAGAGTCCCTGCGCATTTCTGGTCACCGCCTTCGGCTACAGCAGAATGCCTTGGAATTTTTTTGAGACTCGCCCACTGCCACGCTTCTTTCCGTAAGATACCCAAGTTTTCTATTTTCTTGTGTGCCTTTGCATAGCGTTTCTGGATACTGGGTTCTCTTTCGTTTTGCACTTTCCTTAATACGTTCCAGCCATGAGTGAACAAGAATTTGTAGGCCTCCTCGAGAGCCTGCTCCAGCGTAAGCCACTTTGGATACAGCAAGCTTTGTAGCCCCGCTAACTTTTACTGCAGCGGACACTGAGCGGGTGAAGGCTGCTACCGCGTCTTTGAACAAGAACTACTATACCTCACCTGAGTCCCTAAAAGCCCTTCTCCATATTCTCACCACACATCCAACGTCCCAGCTTCGCCAGCTTGCGGCTGTTGAGGCACGGAAGCTCGTCAGTAAACACTGGGCGAAGCTACCAGCAGACCAGAAGCCCCAGATACGGCAACAGCTTCTCCAATTCACCTTGAATGAGGAGGGCACCCTCGTGCGGCATTCTTCCGCTAGGGTCATCTCAGCAATTGCCAAAATTGACCTCGAGGATGGCGAGTGGACAGAGCTTCCTGGCTTGCTGCAGCAGGCTGCGAGTAGCCAAACCGCTCGGCACCGTGAGGTGGGCGTATACATCATCTTCACACTTCTAGAAGCGATGGGCGACCTGTTCTCGGACAACCTGAGCAACCTTTTCACCCTCTTCAGCAAGACCATCCAAGACCCCGAGAGCATAGAAGTCAGAATAAACACTATGCTAGCGCTCAGCAGGATAGCGATGCTTATGGACCCTGAGGAGGATCCGAAGTCTTTGGCCACATTTCAAGAGACTGTGCCGAGCATGGTTGCGGTGCTGAAGAACACCATTGACTCTGGCGACGAAGACCATGCCATGCAAGCCTTCGAAGTCTTTCAAACGCTACTCGGCTGCGAGGCAGCTCTCCTCAACAAGCACTTTGGTGATCTCATCAAGTTCATGCTTCAGATGGCATCCGAGACGGACGTTGAGGACGAATACAGGGCGCAAGCTCTGGCCTTTTTGATGCAATGCGTCAGGTACAGGAAGCTCAAGGTCCAAGGTCTGCGTGTTGGCGAGACGATGACGCTCGCAGCATTGCGAATAGTCACAGAGCTCGGCGACCTGTCTAGCGACGAGGAAGATGTTACCCCTGCCAGATCCGCGTTAGGCCTGCTGGACATTCTCGCGGCCAGCCTACCTCCGAGCCAAGTTGTCGTGCCGTTGCTGAAGGCCATCGGTCCGTATGTCAACCACCAAGATCCGGATTACCGCCGAGCCGGTATCCTGGCCCTCGGTATGTGCGTAGAGGGTGCGCCGGACTTCATCGCCACGCAGCTCAAGGAAATCCTGCCCATGGTTCTGCGTTTGCTTGAAGACCCCGAGGTCAAAGTTCGGGCGGCCGCGTTGAACGGCGTTGCCCGGCTAGCGGACGACTTGGCGGACGACATGGGCAAAGAGCACGCCCGTCTCATCCCTGCCCTGGTCAAGAATCTCCACCTAGCCATGAACGCTGCACAAGGTCAGGACTCAGAGCGCAACCTGGACATCGTCAGGGGCAGCTGCAACGCCATTGACTCGCTCATTGAAGGACTGGAGAAAGACGACGTTGCAGCATACGTCCCGGAGTTGGTGCCCAGATTCAGCAGTCTGTTCCAGCACCCGGACTTCAAAACGAAGGTTAGCGCTGTCGGCGCTGTCGGCTCTGTGGCCGCGGCCGCAGAGGAGGCCTTTCTACCCTACTTCGAGGCCACCATGGCCGCGCTTGCGCCCTACGTAGAGATTAAGGAGAGCCAAGACGATCTTGATCTACGAGGTGTGGTATGCGACACCATGGGCAAGATTGCTTCTGCGGTTGGCGCTGGACCATTCGAGAACTACGTTCGTCCTCTGATGCATGCTTCGGAAGAGGCTCTGCACCTCGACCACCCAAGGTTAAGAGAAACCAGCTACATCTTGTGGAGTACGCTAGCCAAGGTGTATGAGGAGAAGTTCGAGCCATATCTTGCGGGCGTTGCCAAGGGTCTCATCGAGTGCCTGGAGCAGGACGAGACAGACCTCGAAGTTCAGCTTGGCGAAGAAGCAAAGGATCTTCTAGGTACCGAGGTCATCGTTGCTGGCAAGAAGGTCAAGGTTGCTGCAGCAACCGACGAGGAAGAAGATGAGATTATCGAGGGGGCCGAAGACGAAGACGATGATTGGGACGACCTCGGTGCCGTCACTGCTGTTGCGATGGAGAAAGAGATCGCGGTCGAGGTGATTGGGGACGTCATCACGCACACGAAGACGAAGTACACACCTTATCTACAGAAGTCGGTCGAGACTGTTCTGGCTCTGGTTGAGCACTCGTACGAAGGTGTGCGGAAATCAGCTCTTAGCACGCTATTCCGGACGTATGCCTGCATATGGGGTATTGCTGAAGACGAGGGCATGGAGAAGTGGAAGCCTGGCCTACCACTACAGGTTGAGCCAACTGCGGATTTGAAGCAGCTTGGCAACCTCGTCATGACCGCCACTCTTGCGATATGGCAGGATGAGATGGATCGGTGAGTACACGCAGCCCTTCATTCCCTTCTGTCATTTGAACGCCATTTACATGATGAACATTACTCGTTACTCAGCTCACTTTGACGCACAAGTTGCGCATGATGTGAACGCGAATCTGTTACTGATCTGGCTTGAATATATTTCATTTCAACCAAGAAGCATCTTGTCAGGTCTGGGACTGACGTAATCTGCTCGCAGGGGAACCGTAACCGACATCAACCGCGATCTAGCAGAGACCCTCAAGCAGTGTGGTCCGGCTATTCTGATCAACGACCAAGGCATCCTCGTCCCTCAGATCACGAACCAAGTCCTTTCCATCCTCACCAAGCGCCATCCCTGCCAGCAGGACCTTGGCGATGAAGCCGACGGAGATGTCATGGAGGAGTCCTCAGAGTACGATTGGCTCGTTATCGACACCGCGATGGATATCGTTACGGCCCTTTCCATCGCGCTAGGCCATGGCTTCGCCGAGCTGTGGAAAGTCTTCGAAAAGCCTGTTATGAAATACGCCAGCAGCCAAGAGAGCCTCGAGCGAAACACGGCTGTCGGCTGCATAGCAGACGCCATCGGCAACATGGAAGGCAATGTCACTCCGCACACCACCTCTCTGCTCAAGCTACTGCTTCACCGCCTAGGGGACGAGGACCCGGAGGTCAAGTCCAACGCTGTGTATGCCATCGGGCTGCTGTACGAGAAATCGAACTCGGAACAAGAGATCCTGAAGGCGTATCCGGCTATCCTAGGCAAGCTGGAACCTTTGCTGCATGACCAGCAGGTGGCGAGGTTGCTCGACAATGCGGCCGGGTGCGTCAGCAGGATGATCATGCGGCATCCGGATCACGTTCCTGTGCAGCACGTGTTGCCGAGTTTGGTTCAGCTGCTGCCGTTGAGGGAGGACTATGACGAGAACAAGCCGGTCTACCGCATGATTATTCAGCTCTGTAAGTCTTCTATGCTGTCGGAGTCGCGATGAACTCCTGACTAACTTTTATCACAGACCAGGCACACAATGACACTGTTGTGCGGCTGACACCGAACCTGATGCCGGTGCTGCAGAAGGTGCTAGGCCCGCCGGAAGACCAGCTGGACGATGAGACGAGGAGTCAGCTTATGGAGTTGGTGACGTATCTGCAGAAGCAGTGATAGGAACGCACGGGTTGAACTCAGATGCCGCATGTTATGATAGATGAGAGATGAGCTTCATGGGATATTGATGACTTGATACCACGACGTACTCGGAGCATTACCTGGAGCGGGTTTGGTCTGGTAGAAGTGGATGATAGACAGACTCTATAAATAACACACAAGACTGCCGTTCTGCCACACTACATGGACATAGTATCTGTGCAAGTTTCCGAGATCCCCTAGTACTAGTGCCATCTTTCACGCTCTTGGATGCATCGCTTGTAAGATCCCGTGATGGACCCCGAATCGCACCCTCGAGGCCCCACATCAGTTCCTGATCTCACCGCCTACCCTTTGCAGTTGGAACGCATTCCGCTTAGCTTCGCCCCACAGCTTCCAAGGGTTCCGAGGCGCACCTGGCGGTTCACTCAAACTCAACTTTAGATGCGCACATAGCTTTGAATTCCTCGCTCTTCTCCCCTTCAATCGCTTCTCGCCCGCGATCAACCCTGTTCCTCGAAAATTGCATACTCTTGGAACATTTGAAAAATAGACAATAGCAGGAATAAACCGTCCCTCGCAAGCTTCACAGTCTTACATCCCACCGCCAACATGAACACCTCCAGATGGGCACCGACTCCTCCTATCCAAGCTTCAGCACAACCTCAAACAACCCTCGCAGAGCCTGCGCCGCCGGAGTCATCGAGTATTCCTACGCCATATGACGGCGCAATGGATTCATACGACGACTACGGCGCGCAGACCCGCGCGGAGGACGACCTCTTCGACGACGACTTCACCCCAATCCCCCAGCCCACCACGCAGCACATCTCTGGGCCCTCGACTCCCTCACCACCTCGAACCAACTCTGGGCTCCGCGCCCGCGGCGGGCGAGGTCAACGTCGCGCCCAAGGCCCTCCACGCGCTTCTTCTCCCTCGAAACCCACCAGCCTGCCGGCCCACGAAACCGTCAGCCCCAAGCCTCCTATAGCAGCCCCTATAGCGCCATCCACAGCACTCGACGACAAACCTAAACCAGCCACCCCCGCCGTCCGCGGCGACCGCACCGCAACCGGCGGCCTCCCCCGCACCAAACTCAGCGAAGCAGAACTCGCTGCCAAAATGGCAGCCATCAGCCTCAAAAACGCCTCTCTAACCGCCGCGCACGAGCGCGCAGAAGCGGATCTCGCAACCTTCGAGAAGCGGGAGAAGGAAGCGAGCGAGCGGGCGGCGCAAGTCGCGCGCGTCGAGAAGATAAAGCGGCGCGCGATGGAAGGGGAGAGGGAGGCGAATCGTATGAGGAAGCTTAAGGCTGTTGGCGGGAGGGAGTGGGATATGGAGAAGGAGGAGGGGTTTGCGGGATTGGGGCCGGAGAGGGCGAGAGGGGGTAGGGGAGGGCGGGGAGGGCGGGGAGGGGCTGAGGCACCTGCAGCGCTCGCCCAGGCGCCGCCGGTGCATGTCAGGGAGGACGACCCGATTATGAGGTGGGACGATGGCGGCTTGCCCTTTCGCGGCCGCGGCAGGGGTGGATATCCTAGCGACAGAGGTCGACCTGAGCGTGGCAGAGGCAGAGGTGGACGAGGTGCTGGAAGGGGAATGGGCAGAGGAGATGCACCGGCACTGTCACAATCGAAGCATGCGCCGCAAGTTCCACCCACACCGGCGCAATTCCCAGATCTGCCGGCGCCCAAGGCAAGGGCAGAAGCTCAGGAGGTGAAGCCGGCAACGAAGCTGGAGTTTCCAATCAAGCATACGCAGAAGCAGGTGGCAGGTGAGAAGGACGGATCAAAGACGCCGCCCAGTGCGAAGATGCCGCCCGAGGTCAACCCCGGCAAGGGCACGCAATTCACGCCTAAGACTGCTGCAAACCAGGGCGCGACTGAAACGGCCCAAGGCAAGGACACCAAGAAGCCCAACACATCCAGCTCGAAGATCGCGCCGACAAACAAGCCACCCGCCCCGAAGAAGCGCGAGAGCTTTGGCCTGACAAGTCCGACTGCTGCCGGCGGAGAGAAGAAGAGCTGGGCTGATCAGGTCGAGGGTGCGCTCTGAGCATCTGCCTGTGGTAATGCCGGCTATGGGCTTTCGCCGCTAGTAGTGAAGAAGCGTTTTATTTTGAACCATCGCATCTGCATGGCGTTTGGAGGAGGGCTTTTGGGTGCATGAGTAGGCTTGGATCAGGATGGCATGGGCGGGAGCTTTGTGGCCTTCAAACCGTACATACGGACAGTCTGGTATGAAGATCACTGCATGGGAGTGGTGGTGTACAGAGATTTGCTATCACCAGTGCAGTCAAACGAGGATGACAGCAATCCTAGCATTGCCTATGCAGAGTGATCTTTATGCGGATGCACTGCCTGTGATGTGCCCCACTGCCAGCAGGGACATTGTCAAGCTGTTGCGACAGGCCTAAGATTACGTGGTGGTCGTCTTTGCTGGCAGACAGGGACGTGTTCCAGACTTTGTGCAAACCTTGGGAGCTTTAGATACGGTAGTTATGCAGGACGTGGCAGAGTGGTGCGCCGCGCCAAGCATGTGCCAAACGGGAATCGCTCCTGGGAGAGCTTCACTGCGAACATTTCACCTTCTCGTCTTGTCTCCCCCATCTGTGCGCCTGCCTGCTCGACTGTCCTTCTAGCGATATCCTTTACGCCTTTTGCTTTCATCCCATCACAACTTCAAAGCCTGAACCTTCCGTCGTTGAAGTTAGAACGCGTCTTCAGACGTCTACCAACCTATCCACGGTACAATTTCGCCGCATCAGAGAAACTTCGCACCCATGGCTACCGGAGTTAGTGGCGCCCTCTGCCAACCATGGCGTACCGCATCACAGAAGATGCACATCACTGACATCTCGCAGCAAGCTCACAACTACCCTCGCCCCTACAACGCCGCCGCGGCTCATCTGCCAAATGGCGGTACCCCCGGAGGTCCTGTGCCAGGAGCTGCACCGCTTCTCCCAAACCAAGGCCGAATAGTACAAGCAGGCAGTGCACGCGTGCTTTGCATCGCTGATGTGAGAGGTGAGTCAAGGTCTGCGAAGTTGCGTGGGAAAAGCTGTCTGACTGAGTGAAGGCAACTTACAGTCGCTCAACCAGCTTGCAGCCGACGCTCGCGCAAACTACGTCGTACACACGGGCGACTTTGGCTTCTACGATGACGCGTCCATAAACCGGATTGCGGAGAAGTGAGTTCTGCTCGTTCGTCTTCATGAACTACAGGACACTCGCTGACCGCCGCCTTGAACAGGACGCTGAAGCATGTAGCTCAGTACTCACCCCTTCTGCCTGACCACATCAAACGCCAGATCGTCCAAGCGCCGCCGCAACCATCGATCAAGGAACGTTTCGAACGCGAACGCCTCCCTCTCTCCGAACTTCCACTTTTCCTGAACAAGACCTACAAGCTGAATGTGCCTGTGTACACTGTCTGGGGCGCGTGCGAAGACGTCCAGGTTCTGGAGAAGCTCCGGTCCGGCGAGTACAAGATCGACAATCTACACATCATCGATGAGGCACACTCGCGGTTGCTGGAGATTGGCGGCGTAAGGTTGCGCTTGCTCGGACTGGGCGGTGCTGTGGTCATGCACAAGCTGTTCGACAACGGAGAGGGCAGGACCACAATTGCCGGTGGCCAGGGCACGATGTGGACGACGCTGCTGCAGATGGGCGAGCTGATCGACACTGCGAACAGGGTCTACGATCCTGCCGAGACCCGCGTCTTCGTCACGCACGCTTCTCCCGCTCGCGAAGGGCTGCTCAATCAGCTTTCCGTCGCGCTTAAGGCCGACTTCTCGATATCCGCTGGTCTTCACTTCCGCTACGGCAGTTCCTACAACGAGTTCAGCGTCAATCCGACGCTCGATCACTACCGTGGCAAGCTCGCAGCGTCCAAGACTTCTTTCAACGATGTCTGGGAGACTGTAAAGTCCGAAGTTGAGCCAGCAGTCGCAGATAGCGAGTCCCAGTCCATGCTACTCCAGTACGCGCTTGAGCTCGTGAACAGGATGCCTTCTACCGCAAACGGCGGCAACCCGTTCGGCGGCCAGAACGGAGCTCCGGGAGCTGGACAAGTCGATGAGGGCGCATTCAAGAACATGTGGAACTTTAACTTGGCAGATGCTGCATACGGCTGGCTGGTCTTGGACATCGATCAGGGCAGGATTGGCACGGAAATGAGGGCACAAGGCTTCAACTTCGCCCACCGTGGAATGAAGATGGGTGGTCCCCCGCAACCTCAAGGCATGCCTGCTGCTCCGCCGAATGCAGTCGCCTCTCCGGCTACCCAGATGCCACCTCAGCCCGCGCCGGTACTAAACCGTTCGCCGGCTGCCCCCCAAGTGCCTGCACCGCAACAACCTCAACAGCCTCAACAACTCCAGCAACCTCCGCAAGCCAGGATGCCGCCGGTAGCAGCTCCAACACCACCAGCGCAGGCACCTCAGGCGAAGCCACAGCCCACACGAACCGGACCTTCGCCAGCTCCAGCAAACGCCAGCGCACTGGTCAAGCCAGCAACACCCCAGCCCGCAGCAACCAACGCACACGCGGCCGACAAGACGCCCGCGCCCGCTACCGCCGAAAAGTCCATCCCAAGCGAAGTCAAGCCCAACGGCACCACCGCCGCCGCCACCGGCGGCGGAAACAACGACGCCAAAACCACCGACACCTCCACGACGCCCAAATCCTCCGACGCTCCCATGCCGCCGCCCCCACAGCGCGAAGAGAACAAAAAGCCGAGCCAAGCCCTCTTCATCAACGGCGTGAAATCCGAAGAAGAGGCCCGGAACCTCCTCCCCGAGGCCGACCGCCCCAAGATCGAGCGCATCGAGCAGATCAAGCACTTCTACATCGCGCATTTCGCGTCCCCGGAGGAGATGCAGGCGGTCTATGCGCGCGTGCCGAATGAGCATAAGCAGCAGAGCGGCGATCAGAGGAAGCCGACGGTGCAAATTTATCGCCAGCATGGGGGGCCGTATCGGCAGTATGGTGCGGGGAATTGGGGGGGGAGTGCGAGGGGAGGTGCGCAGAGTGGGGGTGGATACCGCAGTGGTGGTGCTAGTGATAGTGAGGGCGGCAGGGGAGGTAGGGGTGGGTTCCGTGGAGGTAGAGGACGTGGTGAGGGACGTGGTGAGGGACGTGGTGAGGCACGTGGTGAGGGACGTGGTGGGCGTGGTAGGGGACGTGGAGGTATGGGAAGGGGAGGTGAGGGTAGTGCGAATGCTTCGCCGGCGCCTACACCGGCGGCTGCAACGGGTGGTGGGGAGTGGTAAAACAGACTTGCCACTCTGCTCATCTGATGAGGAAGGGGTCTGTTGCATTATCGCTCCACGTCAGACACACTCCTGGGACGTTCCCGTCTCGAGAGGTGTTTATTGCCGGCGAGGAGTGAGCATTTCCACATGGCTCCCGAGAGTTCGGGCGCTGTCTTTGCTTTTTCTTTGCTCTCCGGTCCATTTCGAGTGTCATACCAATCTTACATGTAGACGGGCGACGGGGCGATTGCAAGCAACCATGTAGCGTTCGTTTCTTCTATGTAAACCTTCGGTAAACATTGTACTCTATTCTGGATGGAGGGAAAGGGGAGTAAAAAGTCTTCGTGCTATTTAGACAAGCCTTCCTCCGAGATTTTGTGTTATGCGCTTGACTCTCGTGTGAGGACAATCCTTCCGCATAAGACAGAAGTGATTCTTCGTGCTCTTGAGGTACATAGGTAGAAGGTAGAAAGGCATTAAGAGAGTCACGTGCCAGCTTTTGAGGCTCATCTGGGGCAACCGGGTCGGGCAGTGACGTCGGCGATCAGTGAGGCTGGATCAAGCGCGACAGGAACCGTGGCGGGTGACAGCAAGCGCCACATCGTACCTGGGTTCTGCTCCATCACTGACATACTCCACGGCCACGAACCGCGGCGGCATCAGGATAGCTACAGGCTGTTACGGATATTTGAGGCCTGCAACACCACCCGAAAGCACCTGGCTTTGAGGCCAGAGCTCCAAGCGTTGGATCCTCTATCCTGAATCCTGAATCCTTCCTGCCGCCTGACTGGAACAGTACGGCGTCTATAGCTATCCCGACACCCCCGTACGCCGCCCATAGCAGGCTCCAGCAACTCGCAAGCCCACTTTCGCATCTCCCAAGACTTCCCTTCAACCGACGTCGCACACCTCACTCGCTCATTACCACGAACTCAGCATTCTCCCGCACGAAACATTAGCGCCAACCTCAGTCTACCGCAGAGCACAGCATCCACATCATTTTCAAGGTGCCCGCTGCACCTGACGAATCGACGCATACGCGATGCTAGGGCGTGGGATGAGCAGCTGGGGACGGCTCGCGGCCTTGTTGGTTGGCATGCTGGCTGCTGGGGGCTCCGCGGCATCAGCAACGTCATCAACATCAGGAGCATTAGCAGCAGCAGCAACAGGACCCAGCTTGACCCAGAAACATGAAGCAGGCCGGTGCGCCATCCGAGGACACTGTGGGAAGGTGGGCTTCTTCGGCTCAGACCTCCCGTGTCCGGACAACGGCCTTGCGGAGGAACCGGAAAAGAATGTCAGGAAGAAGCTAGTGGAAATCTGTGGATCGAAGTGGGACGATGGGAAGATATGTTGCAAAGAGGAGCAGCTCGACTCCCTGAAAACAAACCTCAAGAGGGCCGAAAGCCTCATCGCCGCCTGTCCTGCGTGCAAAGAGAACTTCTTCAACCTCTTCTGCACCTTTACCTGCTCGCCGGACCAGTCGCTGTTCGTAAACGTGACCAACACGACGCCCAAAGGCGACAAGTTCCTCGTCACTGAGCTAGACACGCTGATCTCGGATGCATATGGCTCAGGCTTCTACGACAGCTGCAAGGATGTCAAGTTTGGAGCGACCAATAGCAGGGCCATGGATCTCATTGGCGGCGGCGCAAAGAATTACACTCAGTTCTTCAAGTTCTTGGGAGACAAGAAGCCATTTGGTAGTCCGTTCCAGCTGAACTTCCCTCGACCGAGCGGCGCAGCCTTCCCAGACATGAAGGCCATGAACGACAAGGCTTACCCGTGCAACAGCACCGACGAAAAGTATCGCTGTGCTTGCGTCGACTGCGCTTCTTCGTGCCCGGAGCTGCCAAAGGTTACGGAGACAAAGCAATGCATGGTCGGCCTCTTGCCGTGTTTGTCTTTTGCGGTCATTCTAGTCTACTCTATCTTTATCGCGTTTCTGGTTATTGCCGTTTCCGGACATGTCGCATATGCCAAGCACGAGAAGCACAAGAATGAGCGTCTGCGCTTGCTGCAGGACATTGAGCCTAGCGATGATGAGGATGAAGGGGATATTGTACACAACGCCGGGATGCTGGACCGACCAACCAAGCACTACTATCTCAATACACTGTGCGACAAGGCCTTTAGCAAATTGGGATATTTCTGCGCCAGCTTCCCAGCTATCACGATCAGCATCAGCGTCATCGTCGTCGGCCTGCTGAGTTTGGGATGGATCAGGTTCGCCGTCGAGACCGATCCCGTACGTCTCTGGGTTGCGCCGGACTCGGCTGCTGCGGAGGAGAAGGCATTTTTCGACAAGAACTTCGGACCCTTCTTCCGCGCGGAGCAGGTCTTCCTGGTCAACGACACCTCACCATCGGGCCCCGGCCCGGTCTTGAGCTACGACACGCTGGGCTGGTGGTTCGATGTTGAGAATCGAGTCCAGCGGCTCAAGTCGATGAAACAGGGCGTTACCTTTGACAAAGTTTGCTACAAACCCACCGGCGATGCTTGTGTTGTGCAGTCCGTCACTGGGTATTTCCAGGGCGATTTCTCTGCTGTTAAACCTGAGAGATGGGAGCAGCAGATCGCGAACTGTGCCGACAGCCCGGTCGATTGCCTGCCCGCATTCCAGCAGCCTTTAGATCCGAAGATGCTGTTTGGAGGCTGGAATAAGAGCGTTCTGGACTCCGAGGCTCTCATCGTGACTTGGGTGGTCAGCAATCATGCCGAGGGTACGGAAGAGATTGAGCGGGCCATGGATTGGGAAGATAGCATGAAGGGCCTCCTCATGTCCGTTCAAAACGAAGCAAAGGAAAGAGGCCTACGATTGTCGTTCAACACCGAGATCAGTCTGGAGCAAGAACTCAACAAGTCTACGAATACCGACGCCAAGATCGTGGTCATCAGCTACATCATCATGTTCTTGTACGCCTCGCTCGCGCTTGGGTCCACAACTCTGGCGGTCAGGTCAATCCTTCACAACCCAGCAAACGCGCTTGTGCAGTCGAAGTTCATGCTCGGTATCATCGGCATCGTCATTGTGCTGATGTCGGTATCGGCATCTGTTGGCCTGTTCTCTGCCGCCGGTGTTAAGGTCACATTGATCATCGCGGAGGTCATTCCGTTCTTGGTCCTCGCTGTGGGCGTTGATAACATCTTCCTCATCGTCCACGAGTTCGAGCGTGTCAATGTCACGCATCCGGAAAGTCCGGTCTCTGAGCGCGTGGCGAGAGCGCTGGGAAGAATGGGTCCCAGTATCCTGCTCTCAGCTTCCACCGAGACCGTGGCGTTCGCGCTGGGAGCTGCTGTCGGTATGCCCGCTGTGCGCAACTTTGCAGCTTATGCCGCCGGCGCTGTCTTTATCAACGCGCTGTTGCAGGTCACCATGTTTGTCTCGGTGCTCGCGCTAAATCAGCGACGAGTGGAAGCCAGCCGTATGGACTGCTTCCCTTGCGTTCGGGTACGACAGGCCGATGCGGCTGTCGTGAACGGCGGCATGGTCTATGGGGTCGATGAAGAAGGCACCCTTCAGCGCTTCATCAGAAAGACCTACGCGCCCGCTCTTCTTGGCAAGAAGGCCAAGGTCGCCATCATGACCGTCTTCCTCGGCCTGTTCGCCGCAGGTCTCGCCCTTCTTCCGAGTGTCGAGTTAGGCCTGGACCAGCGCATCGCCATCCCAAGTGACTCGTACCTGATCCCTTACTTTAATGACCTCTACGACTACTTCGGCGCCGGTCCGCCCGTCTACTTCGTCACGCGCGAGCTGAACGTCACGCAGCGCGCGCACCAGCAAGAGCTCTGCGGCCGCTTCTCCACCTGCCAAGAATACTCTCTCACCAACATCCTCGAGCAAGAGCGTAAGCGGCCCGCAGTCTCCTATATCGCCGACAGTACCGCCAGCTGGATCGATGACTACTTCCTATGGCTGAACCCCTCGCTCGACGCCTGCTGCGTAGATGGCTCAACCACGTGCTTCGAGAACCGCAACCCGCCTTGGAACATCACGCTGCACGGCATGCCCGAAGGCCAAGAATTTCTGCACTATCTGACCCGCTGGCTCGACTCGCCCACCACGCAGGACTGCCCCCTCGCGGGCAAAGCAGCCTACGGCAACGCTCTCGTCGTCGACGAAGCCCGCCTTACTATCCCAGCCTCCCACTTCAGGACAAGCCACACGCCCCTCCGCAGCCAGAGCGACTTCATAGCCGCCTACACCTCCGCGCGCCGCATCGCCTCCAGCATCTCCTCCGCCACAGGCGTAGAGGTCTTCCCCTATAGCAAATTCTACATCTTCTTTGACCAGTACACCGGCATCGTGCGGCTGGCCACCGCACTGCTCGGCGCCGCCCACGCCATCATCTTCGTGCTGACAAGCGTGCTCCTCGGCTCCATCGCCACGGGCCTCGTCGTCACGATCACCGTCGCCATGATCGTCGTCGACGTCGCGGGCACCATGGCACTCGCCGGCGTGAGCCTCAACGCCGTCTCTCTCGTCAACCTGGTCATCTGCGTCGGCATCGGGGTAGAATTCTGCGCGCATGTTGCAAGGGCCTTTACGTTCCCTTCAGCATCAGTGATGGAGAGGGCGCCGCGGCAGGGGAAGAGGGGGAAGGATGCCCGGGCCTGGACGGCGCTGGTCAACGTGGGCGCGAGCGTGTTCAGTGGGATTACGATCACGAAGTTTTTGGGCGTCGCGGTGCTCGCGTTCACGAGGAGCAAGATCTTTGAGATCTATTACTTTAGGATTTGGTTGGCGCTTGTGGTTTTCGCGGCGGGGCATGCGTTGGTGTGGTTGCCGGTCGCGCTGAGTGTGTTTGGGGGGACTGGTGAGTTTGCCTTGTCGTTCCTTCTTCTCCGCTTCGCGTTCTGGTGGCGGAGCTTCTGAAGAACTGAGCTAATGGTTTCGTGCTAGGCTACGTTGACCCGGAGTCCGAAGGCGGGCTGGAGCAGGATCTTAGGAGCAGGCGGTACCCGGCTCTGTTAGCGGACGAGGAGTACGACAGCGACGACTATTGAGGCCGGTTATCCGGGCCATGTACTATGGTGTAGGAGAAATGGAGTATGGACCGATTGCATATTGCCGCGGCGTTTTGGAACATCATCTTACTCGATCTGACTTGCTCGGGTTGATCAGAAGAGTAAGCTAGAAGACATTAGCTGCATTAGTCAAGAACGGGCTTTTCTTGGTCGACTGGCTCAAATCACTTCAATTCGAGAGGAGCACGCAGTTTATGCTCATGCTCGTTACGTCCTTTTCTCTTGGTCACTCGATCGCGCAGTACAGAATGCCGCATCAACGGTTTCCGGGGCAGGGCTGGCACCGATGCTGCAGAGTGAAAGGTGCACTTCCATACTTTGGTCAGGGGTTTTGTTGCAGCTGCGCTACGTGAATGCGACGGAATTGCCGTCTAAGGACAATCTCCATCGTTCCGAAAAGCAGGTCTTGAATGGCACCAGAATCCATGTTACGACGTGCTACGAGGACCTGTCATCACCAGCAATTTACAACACCACTGCTCCCCGGAGGACATCAGCGTCCAAGCCATGTCAGGCTTCCATCCCGCCAAGCCACTCACGTGCTGAACACGTGTCTCTTTGACCTCTCTTCACGTGATCTCTATTGTAATCTGGAACACCATGGATGCCACCAGATCTGTCGAACGGAGCATCGATCAGCAGTTTCGCTCGGTCGCTAGGCTGCTGTCGTGCAATACTAGGAAAACCAACATCGGAGCGCGAATGGGGTATGTCAGAACACCAAAAGCGCCGAAACCCCCCCAGCTTCACGATCGCCGCTTCCTGCCGTGCCCAGATTTGCCGCGGCCAAGACCCTGCAAACCAGTGGATGAAGCCAACGTAAACCGTGCACAATCTCCCTCCCTATGACCTCCATGATCTCAAAACTGGACTTCTCCACCCCGTCCCCGCTCCCGCTTCAGCCAGGCGGGAATTGCGTCTCCACCCACTCCCTCGCCCGTGCATACCACACCTCATGCTCCTCCTCGGACGGATCCATCTTCCCCTTGGCGACGAAATCCTCCAGCGCGAGCAACATCTCGCCGTCCTCGCCCCTCCTCCCGCACCAGTCAGTAAACAGGTGAACGAGATGCGCATGCACGCACGCCCAGTAGGCACCTTCACCTGGTGCCCCGTCGCCGCAAACGAAGCCGAAGACATCGCCGTCGCCGGCCTGCTCGACGTTCAGCACACCCGGCAGGTGGATCAGCCAGGTCGCGGATGCGGGGAGTTCGTGCTGCTCCCAGAAGGGGTCGAAGTACATGGCGTGCGGGTTTAGCGTGTCGCTGGAGCTGTTGCTTGCGAGGAGGAGGGCGCGGACGGTGTTGGGGGAGGGGCAGGAGTAGATGGTGATGCGTGCGGAATAGGCTGAGTAGGGCAGCATGCGGAAGATTGGGGGGGCGGGGGTTGCGGGTTGGGGTTGCTGGGAAGGTGTAAGTCAAGTGCTCTCTTTTTTTTTCCTGAAACGTGTGTGGATTGGGGTAAGGAATACTGTTGATGTGTTTTGTTGCGGTGCAGGTGCGTTCATCCATAGCGTGGCTGGGTTCTTCCGCAAAGAGTCTTTTTGCGCCTTAGCTAAGAGCGCTAGGAGTTGTCCGTTGATGGCGGCGTTGCGCTCGTCATGCGACATAGGTTGCGGCTTAGGTGGTGGAGTAGTTGCGGGTGGCGTGATGTATGCGGAGGTGGAGGAATGAAAATGAGTGTGCGAAACATTGTCGACGCAGTTCGCCATTTTGTATCGATCTTGGTGAAGGAATGGGGATTATTGAAAATTCGTGTCGTTGAAAGAAAGTGATGTGAAGTGATGGAATGATGGAGTTTACTCTCGCGCGATGTCTCAGAACCGCTTATAAAGGCTGGTAACTTCAGGCAGTCGAGAAGAAGGAACTCCAGGACAGTCACAGGTGAGTTCGCGCCGTCCTGTGTTAGATCTACTGGAAGCGACGATCGCGACGAAGTATAAAGTCGTCAATAGATCAGTTAGCATCAACGATGTGTCTAGCAACCAGTAGACACAAGCCTGGTCTTTGCATAGTGCGACGATGAAGTGTGGTGTGTGAGATGTAGTTGGGAAGTTGAAGTGAAAGGTCCCTGCGAACGAGGTACCTGGCACGTATTATGTCATCCAAGGCCGCAACAGGCAATGAGGATAGGTAGCGATTTGTTGGATGCAGTGGAAGAGGTTGGCCGGCTTGCCCAAGCGGGATGTTCCAGCAGCAAGGTAAGCGAGGGATGGAACTCTTGGGACGGGTAGCAAGCCGTGCCAGCCCCCCACCAGACACTAAGCCATACTCGTGCGCAGATCTTAACAGCAACGTCCTACGACCATGCACATCTTCACTCGAACTGCGCTTCTTTTGAGCGAGAGCCTGCTAGTAGCGGCGAAATCTAGTCAGAGATGGAGCTCTGTAGAAGTACAGCGCAGCGCAAACTTCAAATTTCTTCGAGCCTTGATCAGCCGACGATTGTGAACCAAACGAGCAGATGGTGTTCGGCGCGAATGCTACCAGAGTAGCGTGTTCGTCATGGCGAACGCTCCATGGCGGTAGATCTAAGGACGCCATGATGGTAGGATCTGAGGATGCATTAGCGGCAATCGTAAATGGGAGGTGACGGCTGCTGGATGCCGCTTTTGGAAGTTCTTACCTCAGGTTGCTGCAACGTACTATGCATAACGACCCTAGCAGGTGCTCGAGATGTGCGTCCATTCGCACCAGCTATTGAGCAGTGTCTGCCCACACAGCTGTTCACACGCACCAACGCGAGCCTGCATCGAATCTTGACGGACTGATAACACGAGCACAGAACGGACCGGTAGAATAATCCCACCTACACAGTCTGGAATACCTTTTCTCGCCGTGCACCAGAAATGAAAAATCTAAGGAAGCTATCGCAAACACGCACGAGTAAGACAAGACTTCCAGATGTTGGACAAACCGGTAGTACCACGTTTGGAGGATTTTGTTATCTGCAATGTTCAAAGAACAACAACTGACTCTTGACATGAAGCCGGAGGTTGCTGCGGAAAGAAGAGTGCGAGATAATTCTCAGGCTAGCGGCTTCAACGAAAGTGTTTTAAACCATGATCAAATTTGACCACAGCAAGGAAGCGAAAAACGGTAATTCTTGACCCGTCGCAGTGCGCTTCTAGGAGCGCTGACCCAGCTGAAGCAGCTGAGAAAAGCCAGCGCCCACAGCATGCTCCGTCGCAGAGGGAATAGCAACCTAAGTAACTTCTGGAAACACGGGGGTGCAGACATGTCTTTCAGAGGAGGATAATCTAAGCGGCAAATTTTCCATGTCAGAAATCCGCACATTTAGTTCTTACTTCTGCGATCTGTTAATGAACTCCAGAACAGCTAGCGTGACAAGGCGCACTGGGCCTCAGCTGAGAACGCCATGAGTTAATAGTGTCAATCTTGTTCAATGACAGAATAATTAGATCCCATAAGCATACAGTGCGGGCAGCTTCCAGTTCCGGAGCACTATCTGCCGCTTGCTTTGCTACAACAGTCAAGGCTAACTGGATAGGCTAGCGTGAATATCCCTTCGAGTGGCTGGGAGCTTGAGGTCTTCAAGTATGCCTAGCTCGTTCTCGTCCTGACCGCTACAAGGGAACCGCGAAACACAACAAAACTTTGTGATGCCAGTGGAGTAGCCTGGAGGTGCCATGAGCGTCAGATGCACAGCGAGGTAAGTTTGCTTCTGCCACCGCGGAACGAGGAGAACTTTTGTACACTGGGAGTTAATAGAATGGGACACAACGAATTCGTAGAAATCTCTTCAGTCTTTCGAGCTCTGATTACCGTGCTCCGAAAGCCCATTCGTCCACGTCGTCCTCATCCTCTTCTTCCTCCCCATCGTCGAGCTCTGCTTCTCGAGGACTCGGTTTTTTGGAAGTCTCCGCGGCTGGCACAACCTCTGCTGTACTCAAACTGGCCCTCCGCAACTGCTCCCTCCTCTCCCTTAGTCTTCTCGCTCGTGCCTCCAATGCTTCCATCTCATCAAACTCCTCTTCGAGATGCCGTGCTGCGTCTTCCTTCTCCGCTTCCAACTCGGCTTCCCGGCGTCCTCTATGCTCAGCCTGCCCCTCCCGAGCCTGTGCTGCAAGCTCTTCCGCTGACATCGGTGCCGCCTGTATTGTTGCTGCGGAACTGTAAGCTGCGATGGCTGGTGGTTCCGGCAGCGGTACCGCTATGTCTCGCTCGAACGCGGCCCATTCATCCTCGTCTACCTCGGCCGTGACCGCAGGCTGGTTGTCGGGCGTGGGCGGTGGTAGCATTGGTACATCCGGCGGACTCGACGTATCTTCAATTGGAGCACCTACTGCTGGAGCAACCTCGGCGTTGGGCTCTACGGCGGCTGCGGCTGCATCGGTGTCCTCTCCGAAGAAGCCTTCAGGTAGGAAGCCATTCATTGGCGCGACTCTCGCCCTTTTTCTTCCTTCATCTCCGTCATCGGCGGCTTTCCGCTTCTTGCTCAGTGATGTAGGCGGGGGTCCTGTGGCTGTGGAAGTTTTCGCGGGCCTGTTCTTGCCTTTCGGCTGACCTCTAGAGGCGAGTTCGGAGCGCAAGAGCGAGCGTACATCCGCCATTGCAATGAATCCAGCTGTTGCTGGCGCAATCTTCGGCTTGATGTACGAATCTTGGGATGCGCTTGCAAGCTGGATGGTAGGGGTGCGGGATCCGTGTCCTATGTCCGACAAAGACAACAGGCGGTTGTAGACACTTTCAAGGGAGCTTCCAAAGTCCAATATGCGTACCAGAATCGGAGCGAGTGAGGCGCGGTGCCAGGGCAGAAGATTTGACGTTTATGCGGTAAGGTTTCACTACGGGAGCTGTCAGCGCTCGGACCACATCCAAGCTTACATGATCAGCCTCTTGGCGCACCTCCACTTTCTGCTGTCGCAAGCTCTGCCCTTGGCCCATCGCAACTTCCATCAACGACACACCATCCCAACAACAGCACATTAGCGGCAACGTGAGCACGCAGTGATCCTCGTCGCCTTCTGGCTACGGTAGCACCAACACCGCATTAGCCGGCGCGGGGAAGACACGCGTGGCTGGGTCGTGACTTAAAGCGCGAGTGGATCTTCTTCACTGGGGAACATCTGTCTGCTTCGGAGCATCTCCACGGGCATCTTCACCAGCATCTTCATCAGCATCTTCACCTGGCCAGCCTCTCTTAGCAGAGTCGGAACGGGAGGCGGTGTCAAGCGCCTCAGTTATCTGTTCTCCAATCCTTTGATCCCTATTAGCGAGCAACCCACTGCGTGTGTGTCCTGTCCATAGTAGCAAGTCGTGAAGCGCAGAGAAAGCGCAGAGCATATCGCCCTTATCTGAACGACGAACAAAAGCCATCTACGCCGTGACCTTGTCTACGTGTTGCGAAGTCCATCGTCATGTCTGGTAAGCCATCCTATGCGTACCGTCTGAGCGCCGTCACGGAGCCTTCCTGGCACACATCCGTACTCTGGGAACCCCCACATATCGAAAGCAAGATCGCTAATTCTTTCGCCAGAACGACGTTCAGCCAGAGCCACCAAAGGCCAACACACCAACCGCGAGCTCCCTGACGCACCACCTATTACGAACCGCAAGAAGGGCAAAGCCAAGAGCAAGAAAGCCGCTGCCGGAGACAACGAAGATGAGGGCGACAAGGAAGATATCTGGCGCTGTATCTGCGGTGCAGTCAGCCAAGAGACCGACGAAGTAGGCGGTGCTATGGTCTGCTGCGACAGTTGCGATGCTTGGCAACACAACGTCTGCATGGGGTTGGACGAGGGTGACGAGCCCCCGACCTACTTTTGCGAGCAGTGCAAGCCGGAAAATCACACCGAACTCCTCGCTGCCATCCAGCGGGGCGAGAAGCCGTGGGAGCTGAGGGTGGAACAACGGGACGGGAAGAAGAAGGGAAAGGGAAAGAAGAAGGGCGGCAGGCAGTCCCGGACTAGTGCCATCAGGGCTGGGATTAGTGAAGACGGTAGCAGCCCGAAGCCGCAGCAATCGAGTCCAGCGATGCTACCTCAAGAGAGTAGCACCCTGCAAACTACGGAAGCTGATTCTGAAGCTGCAGTTCCGGATCAGGAGGTACATCGCGACCCTCACACCCTCCGTCACGGTTATTTGCTTACAGCGTCGCAGCAGCCGCCACCACCACCACCAGCGCAAGAGGAACAGATCAAATACGAACCGATTGCAGAATCAGATGATCAAGGCAAGAGGAAGCGCAGCCGGTCATCACACGCGAACGGAGATGCCGCTCTCAAGCGTCGCAAGCAGTCTGGGGGTAGTGTTGCTGAGGATCGTAGAGGCAGTGGACAAGGACCTGTCGCGCAAATCAAGGACCTGCCCACCGATCGTCAAAAGGTGGCACAACATCTACAGAAGGTCATGGCGGATGGCATACAGAAGGCTGTCAAAGATGGCTCTTATAGAATCCCGGACGTTGATTCCAGGGCTACTGTGAGCGAACGTCATGCGATTGCTGTTGAATACGCCATGCATGTCCATCATGGAGAACGCACACCAGCCTACACCACCCAGTTTAGATCCATAAGTGCCAACATAAAGATGAACCCCGCCTTACTCAACCGGCTATTGAACGGCTCCCTGACCGCCGACGAACTGTCCGTCATGTCATCAGAGGACATGGCAAGCGAGGAGCGGCAGCTTGAGGACGCAAAAATCAAAGAGCAAGCGGACAAGCAGGCGATGCTCATACACGAGGAGGGACCACGCATCCGGAAGACACACAAAGGCGAGGAGATCATAGACGACGATCGCTCGCAGCGCCGCGCCGAGGAGGTGTACCCAGAGCCTCCAGTCCCTCGTCGAGAATCTGCCATCCAAAGCGATGAGGTTATGCGAGAGGGAAGCCCCAGTGTGGAGCTGCCTGAGGACGTTGGAGCTGTACAGCCCTTGCATATCGACACCTCTGCCGCTCACCGTTCTTCAACCAGCAGACCCTCAGCGACTGGATTCGACATCACCAACATATGGTCGTCGGTCGGTTCGCCAGACGAGCATCACCGGCGCGCATCGCAGACGCTGGCCCGACAGAATTCAGAAGCGATACCACATCAGCAGCAGGGAACAGTGCACGACCCAGACATCGATATGCTCCTCCGCGACGACGACAACGACGGCTACCAACCGTTCTCCCCCGCCGAGAACGCCGCCGCACCCGAGATCTGCTGGTCCGGCCAAGTCACCATGCCGCACATCGCCAGTTTCACCGCCAGCGCCCGGCACGTCGCCGGCGGCGATGTCAGCCAGAAAGTCCCCTGGAGCGACCTCCTCGTCCCCACACCTCTGAGCGTCAACGGCCGCATCTCCGTGGCCGTCGGCAACGAGTACATCTCCTCGATGAAGTTCACTCCCACCATCGACGTCGCCGTGCTAGCCCTGACCCCCAACCCCTCCGACCGGGACGAATTCGCCAAACTCTACGACTACTTTCACAAGCGGCAGCGCTGGGGCAGCATCGGAGCGCACGACCACGCCCTCCTCAAGGACCTCTACATCATCCCGCTCGAGGCGGGCGCAGGGCCCTTCCCCCCCTTCTACGACGAGCTGCAGTACAAAGTCATCGAGATGCCGCGCCCGGAAAACATGCTACTTCTCGCGGTGGTTTCTAGGACCGGCTCGCCGCCTGGCTCGAGCATTCAGACGCCTAGTCGGCCAGAGGTCTCGGATCCGGCGCCACATTCGGGTCAGCCTCAGCAGCCGCTGCCGCCATACACGTTGCTGCCGCCGCCGCAGTACTCACCTGTTGCGGGCCACAATGCCGGACCGCCTAATAACCTGCCCCCGAGCTACGGCAGTCCGTACGCGTCGCTTCATGGCCAACCTCAGCCCCAGCCTCAGCTCCAGCCCCAGCAGCAACAGCAGCAACCTCAGCAATCGCCGAGCTTCCCGGCCTATCCGCCCTTCGGCTCGCCGCCGCTGTCAATGGCGCAGCAGATTCTAGGCCCCTACATCGATGCCCCGGTCGTGCAGATGATGATGGCTAGCTCCGGTGGGAATATGCCGGAGGAGCTGCTGCGGAATCTGCGGGCCGCGCTGGACAAGGTTCCGGCTGCTGCTAGCGACTTTACAATATTGCAGCAGGAGTTGTATGGTGGAGGAGGGGGGAGGTGATGGAGGTTCTGGGAGCTGCTTTGCGCTCTGGAGGACGAGGTGGAACTTATGTGTTGTGCGTGTTTTTCAAATTCTTGGGCGGAGTGGCTGCTCAGGACGAGAAAGCTTTCCTATTTCCGTTTTTGCTTCGTGTATTTTCACGTATACCCAGGTGGATGGGAGGGAGGGGGGACGGAGGGATGGGGGTGGAGGGAGGAGAAGGGGTACGCGTGCGCTTCGCAACATGAGGAGGACGGGGGCCGCCTTGTCAGATCATGTGAAGTCTTGCGGCCGGTGGCCCCTCGTGGTCCTTTTCTGTTCTCTACTACAGGAGCCGAAGGTTTTTCTCGTCCTGAATGCCTTCCAGCCTCACTAGCCGTAAGGCAACAAGCTCCTTCGCTTGACAGACCAGGTTTTCACATAGGTCAGATTAGCTACACATTCAACCCCATGACAGTCGAACCCAACTGCAGACCCAGATGACAGTATAACGTGATACGGCGCTCTACGTCACTCTTGCAGTTCCAAAAGATCCTCTGCTTCCGCACCGTCCGCGCGGAAGTTATGACATAGCCACCCATAGCGTATCCACTCCACGGCGCGAAGCGGGACTGTCTGATCGTCAGTCCCGGCCAGCTCGCCGCACAGCGGCCAGTCTCAGTTCGACCGAGCATACCCGCGCTCCACAACGGTTGAGCAGCACTACTCCCCCAGCCCCTCAGATCCACCAGCAATGACGGCTTCCAAAATCATCTTTGTACCTCCTGAGGTGGACGGAGCCCCCCCCCCCCCCCCCCCCCCCCC